GATGGGAGAACAATTTTTATGGCCTGATTAACTAAATATCAGTTAAATTGTGATAACAAATATAATTGTTATGATAATAATAATGATGATAATGATAATCTTTAAAAGTTAACTGTACTCACTTTTATTCGGGTCAAATTGTATTATTATTAAGATTATCATTATGTTGATTATCAACACAATTAAAAGAAAGTAAGATCAACAGACTCAATAGAAAGTGATTTATCTTTTGTTTTAGAAATTTTTTCACTTTCAATTCATTAAGATTGGCAACCCTTTAAATCATTAAGAAACTTATTAGAATAATCAAGATGATGATTATCATTATTTTTAATGACAATTTAGTGTAACTGTAACTTGAAAACACAACATGATTAACTGTTAACTAATTATGTTTATACAGTAGCAACAGTAGTTACCTGAAGGATAATAAAGCAATGACCTTGGGTGTTGGTTTTTTCGTTCGTAACAGTTAATCAATAAAGTTTTTTAATAGATAAAGTATAAGGGAGGACAATCAAAGGTTATTGATTGCAATTAGTCCGATAATTAGTGGTAGTAATTGATCATCTGTTGGCTAGAGGATTAACAATTACCGTTAGTTAGTTAAAGTTATTTTTAACAATTTAATCCAGTTTGTTAGTGAGGATTAATCAATTGATTTAGTAGATTTGTTCAAATTCAATCAATTATGATGAAGTTAGTAAAAACAATCATTGAATTAACACTTTTGATTGCAATTATAGATGATTAATGTTTTGAGGAAACTAAAAATTATGTAATAATTGTATGATATGGTAGGTGATGATGTAGATCAATTAACTGTTAACAATATTGGCAAATGAAATAATTAAGAGCTTGTTAATTAAGCGATACAATTTTCGCAGACAATTGCAATTAAATTTGATTGCTAGGTCATCATCACCATAATTAATTATTGTATTTATGTTTAACCAACGATTTCAGTGAAAATAATAACAAAAATAATAATAAATTTGCTTCCGCATTTATAATTTTAATTTGTTTTCATTATTACTAATATCATTGTTTATATTAGATTGTAACAATTTAATATCATCCAGCAAACCCATATGGTTGAAAATTATTAATCTCTATGTATCGTTAATGAGTAAATTGATTGAAATGGTTTAATTAGCATTATAAGAAGTAAATTATAATAGGATTGAAAACTATTTAGACTTGAAAATTAAAGTGAAAGTTTGATAACCTCGAGCGTTAATTTAGTGATTTACTGATTTGAATTGTTTCATCTAAGGTTAATCAGTGAAGATATTGAAGAAGATGATGAAAGGAGAAGTAGAACAAAGGGGAAGATAAACGATAAAATTATGTATTGAAAAGATGCTTCCTCAAAGTATTACGATAAAAATGTTTCATCTTATCGCTCTCATTGAGATGACATTATAATAGCTGATAAAGAATAATAAAGTTGAGAAGTTGATGAGGTACAATCGGAGGTCAAAAAATTCGTCGTCAGTACCACTACCATCAAAATGATTACGATAACATTTGAAAGTTAACACGAAAATCATGTTAAAAGATATATAATTGAAACGAGTTCAAGAAAATCAAGTGAGAGTGAGAGTTAAATTAGGCTATTGGCACGACGAGTTCATTCACTTTTCAGCACAATTAAGGCCTTTTTCTTATTACTACTAATCTTTAGTGTTGTTTTCTTCTTCTCTGCAATCTCATTCAATCTTTCCACCAACCTTGACCAGACTCTTAATTTCTAACAATTTAATTAATTGTTAAGCTTAATCATATTTAACAAATAGAAAGAAAGTAGCAATCAGTTTCACTTTCATTCGGTGATTAAAGATTTAGCTCTCAAGCTTTTCTTTTCTTTTTTTTTATTTCTTCTTCTCTTGTTTTATTTACTGTATGAAATTATTATTAATTGATTGATTAATTATCATTTGTTTCCAATATTATTAGTAAACAAACAGTTAATGATGTTGTTGATTAGTTATAAAGATTTATTGATAAATCTTATTCCAATTCAATCATAATTTATTATATTTCTGATACAATTATTATTACTATGACCTGGGAATGATGATGATGATGAATAAAGGAAATGAATAAAAGTGTGGGAGTTAAAAGGACTCTGTCTTTTTCCTCTTTACTTTTTCTTCCTCCACTCTCACTACCCCCACCGCTCTCTCATTTTCTGTGTAAGTTTATCTGAATAGGAATGAACCTTCAATTGAGTTCTTCAGTTATCTGTTTATCCATAGAGTTCAGAGACCTTTATTCAGGTCAGACCTAGTTTTATTTCCCTTAAAAACTCACTATTTTTTCTCTCTTCTTCTTCGTTTCTCCCTTAAAAACTCCCTAAATCTCATGTACCTTATCTTGTTATACTTTCTTCATTTTCTTTCTATCACCAAGAAAGATGAATGAAAGAAGAGAGAGAGAGAGAGAATAAGAGAAAGTGGGTTACTTGCGTAATGACTTTGATATGAAACGAAACACTCGGTCATTGACCTCCCAATGAAAACGAGGATGTAAAAGAAGAGAGGTAAAAAGAAAGTAGAAAAGAAAGAAAGACTAAAGAGAGAGAAGAAAGATAGGAATCAACACTTTCCCTTTTCTCTTTTTACTTCTTCTTCTCAATCTTCATCATCACTATCATTATTATTTCCAATGAACAGTTATCTTTTTTCCCTTTCACTTTCTTTGTCCCCTTCTCTCTTATTTCTCTTTCTTTCTTCTTGACTCTTACATGAACTCAATTGTTTATCATCATTTAGTTTACTCTCTTTCTCCTTTTTTTCACCTTAAAATGGAGATGATGATAAATTGAAAGATAACATGAAGTAAATTTAATATAATCAAGGTATTGAAAAAAGGTGAATCGAAAAAGAAGGTCAAATAGGCCGAGCAAAAATTAAAAATCGATAAAGATTAAGATAAACACTAAGATTTAATATCCTAATAAGCTGATGACAAACTAAACGTAATTGATATTAAGCTAATTATTGGCTTGATTATTGGATTTTTCAAATAATTCTGATAGATGGAAAACTATTTCAGGTGACATTTTGTAAGAAGATTGTGAACTCTGAATGGGAAAATATGATTAGAGAAAAGAGAGAAAAAGAAAAGAGGAGAAAATCTCTGATGATTTTGTTAGCCTCAATTTAGGTTATCAACCAGAATTTTGTATGTTCGAGAAAGAAAGAAGGAAAGAAAGAGGAAAAGAAAGGAAAACAGAGAAAAGAGATAGAGTTCAAGATACTCTATCGAGAGGGAGGTAGGAGAAAGAGATAGAAAAAAAGAGAAAGAAAGAGGAGAAAGTAAAAGAAAGAGTATGAGGTGTGACCGAGTAAGAGGAGAAAGAGTTTTATTCAGAGTACATTGAACTCTAGAACAGAAACATCAACCATCGATATTTTTGCCTTTTCCCTTTGGTTTAGTTCCTAGTTTTCCTCTCTCTCTCTCTCCCTCCCTTTCTCTTTCTCTTGCTTTGAATATTTATTCTAGTTCCTAGTTTAATTCATTCTTGATTCTAAATAATTTTCATTCTTTTGTTTTGAAACATTATCATAATTATCCAACTCATTAGTAAAGAAACAAATAGATGAACACAGAGTGAGAGGAAAAAAATAAAATATCCAATCTAATTTTCGCAATTTTATGGTAGAATCTCTTGAAATAGAATCTATCAGGGTGATAATATCAGAGAAATAATAAAGCTTCTTAAAATAAATTTTAGGTTAATCGAAATTGATTGGAAAACTTACCTAGGAAGAATTAAATATTTGTCTAGTAAATAAATCCAATTGTTTTTACTAAAATTTGAGCAATAATCCGTAAACACAGTAAGTCTTAAGGCTTTTGGTCCGATTAAAGATGCTGTTGATCCAAAGTGTATATGATATTCAAGAATTTATCACAACAAGTACACAGTATAAAGTTTAATCCATTAATTATAAATAAATATCAGTTGATTAAAGGTCTTTAAAGTGGTGATAATGAAATACCAAAATGACAGGGATTTCAACTTGCAAAGGCACAATAATGATAATCACCTGATGAAAACCTTGCGACGATAATGGGGACTGAAGATTAGATGAGATAACATTGACCAATCGTTCCGATGAAAAGAAGAGAAAAAGAAAAGAAATCCGAAAATTGTTGACAATTAAAATTTAAATTCAAAGTCAAAACAAAAAAGAAAAATGAAAAAAGAGTTTTTCTTTCAAAACGTTGAAAGTCTATTCAATTTAAAGACTAAATTGATTTTGGTTGTTAATCACTGAGAGGGAATAACGATAATATGATGAAAGATGAGACACGCGAAGAGAATATTCTTGAGATTTAAAACACAATTAAAGGTAAAAATATGAAGAAAATTTAATTGTATCTGTGCAAAAGATGAAGAAAATTTAAATTATCCAAGAGAGAAAAAAGTCAATCCAAATGTTGAAAGAGTAAAACAATTAAATGGCAATTGATGGATCGAGAAAATTGTTGATAATTCAACGAGATTATACAATCTACAGTTGATTAATTAAAGCACAAAGTGATAAACACACACATACAATTGATTATCCATCTAATTGAAAGTTAATTTGATAACAATTAAGAGGGAAATGGTAACATTAACAGCGACATGTTCATTTTCTGACACTAACACTTTCCCTCAATGAAAAGAGAACAAAATAAAAAAAAGAACAAAAAATGTTCTTTTTTTCGGAGCGACACCTATCGTTCGATTTTTCGATTCATTTTTATTCTTTTGCTATTTTTTACTCTAATTACAAGTTTTTCTTTTCTAATTAATTTTATTCTCATCAAATTTTCTCTGTTTAATTGGTTTAAATTGCTTTTTTTGTTGGTCTCTTGATTTAATTTCCGAGATTCTAAAGAGTTTGATTGTTTCAATTTTCTATCAACGTTGTGGTTGGTTTACTTTTCCATCGAGAGATGGAGCTTATCGTGTTAATGGAAATCATGCTCAATGGTAATGTGATTAAACTGCTGACTAATCTTGAAGTGAATTGATTGTTGGTTTCAATTGTTTTTTTCTCTCTGGTTTAATTAATTTCCTTTGCAATTTAATTTTCATTTAATTTTCTACTATGGATCGTATATTGAGTCTTGGTGGTGGTCTTGGTAATTTGAGACAGGTAAGTTTTGGTTATAATCTTTAGATTTTGTTGATTTGATTGTCTTGTGTTTGTTTTTCATTGCCTTGCTTTTGATTTCCAATTTTGATGATGGTTATGATTTGTGATTTGTGATCTTTGATTTTGATTGTTTTTTTTTAATTTTTCTTTTTGCTTATAGGGAGGTGGTGCTTCAGATGGACCTGTGGTTGACACTGCCGAGCAAGTTTATATCTCATCTTTAGCTTTACTTAAAATGTTGAAACATGGTAGAGCTGGTGTTCCTATGGAGGTTATGGGTTTAATGTTGGGTGAATTTGTCGATGATTATACTGTTCGGGTTATTGATTGTTTTGCTATGCCACAAAGTGGTACTGGTGTTAGTGTTGAAGCAGTTGACCCTGTCTTTCAAGCTAAAATGTTAGGTAAGTTATCAGATGTGACAGTTTCTAGTTATACTTGTGTGTTTTTTTTTGAATATCAGTTTTAATCACATGGTTTTCCTACAATTTTAATTTGCCTTACAGATATGCTTAAACAAACTGGTCGACCAGAAATGGTTGTTGGCTGGTATCACTCTCATCCTGGTTTTGGTTGTTGGCTTTCTGGTGTTGATATTAATACCCAACAAAGTTTTGAAGCGCTATCAGATCGAGCTGTTGCCGTGGTAGTTGATCCCATCCAAAGTGTCAAAGGAAAAGTTGTCATCGATGCTTTCCGTTTAATCAATGCTAACATGATGGTTTTGGGACAAGAACCTAGACAAACAACATCCAACTTGGGCCATTTAAATAAACCCTCAATTCAAGCCTTGATTCATGGACTTAATCGTCATTACTATTCTATTTCGATTAATTATCGTAAAAATGAATTGGAACAGAAAATGCTTTCCAATTTACACAAGAAAAGCTGGATAGATGGACTTTCTCTTCGTGATTACAATGAACATTGTTCCCTCAATGAGAAAACAGCTAAAGATATGGTTAATCTTGCCAAAGCATATAACAAAGCGGTAGAAGAAGAAGATAAACTAACCCCTGAACAATTAGTGATTAAAAATGTTGGTAAACAAGATCCAAAACGACATCTTGAAGAAAATGTTGATGGTCTCATGAATAGTAACATTGTACAATGTTTGGGTGCAATGATCTCCAATTCAGTTTTCAAATGATCCACGTTCATAACAATCAACAAACAAATAAACAAAAATAAAAAATTTTTATTAAAAAATTAAAGGTAACAATTTTCTTGCAAACTTAATTAAACTCCACAAACCTCTAGTTAAATTATTCATCAAATAGTTTCATCATTGGTAAGTTTCATGATTATAATCAAATCTATACTCATCGTGAAGACTAATTGTTGAGATCAATCAAATCAATTTCTCAGAAAATTAAAAGAAACAAAATAATGACTCAAATTAATTAGCTCTTTTCATCATAATCACGGTGACAATCCCTTTTTTTCATGATAACTTTTCTCAGGCCTTGATCCCTCATTAATAGATAAACAATTGATCTAATTTCATTATTGTTTAAATTAACCAAAAAAAAAGCGGTCATGTAATTGTTGATCACGTAAACCATTTGTATAACAATCGATTGATCAGGAAACAAGAAATTTATCAACATCAACTCTTGAATGAATAATAAAGATGGACATTTGTAATTGATTAAGTGACTCTTTAAACAATCAGATGGATAATCACTTCAATTTGTACACAAATCACTTCAATAATCATTACCGTTGTTTAATTTATTGCTATTGACCAAATAGCATTGAAGTGACAGCGAAAAATATAAAAATGAAACCACCAGCAATTGTGACAGTGCGAACGGATATCATTGTGGCCACTAATCGTCCACCAACAACGGCGATTCCTGTACAAATTGCATGTCCCAAAATGGCACCAATAGTTACACCGGTTGTTGACTCTTTAGCGGCCAATATTATGGTTGTTATTTGTGACCTGTCGCCCAATTCAGCGACAAGGGTCATGGTAAAGGTTTCAATATAAACAAGAGACACAATGTGCATCAGTTTACGTTTCAACCTTGTACTAAAAGGAACTGAAGATATTGTCCGTAATATTCCAGTCTCCGGATCTTCCGTTGTATTTAAAATATTTTGTTCTAAATCTTTACTGGAACCCGTTAAAATAGTTCCATTGGCATTGGTTCCAATTGATCCTGATTCTTTTTCTTGAAGGCTCTTCTGAACCTCTTCATACTCTCCTTTGGCTTCCTCTTCAGTCATGGTGTAACCATCTTTTAGCATTTTCGCACCAAAACCAAGAAATAATATAATCGATACAAAATGAATCACTTCTTTACTAAATATTGCAGTAGCCACACCAACGGAAACCGATAAAATTGTCATCAATATTAACGCACTAAGAGCAGCCATAAATACAGTCCATCGATTATGTCTCATGGCCATAATTGCAGCGATAAAGAAAGTTTTATCACCCAATTCGGAGACAATAATAACGGAAATGGATGCGATGAATCCATGGAAAAATTTAAATTCTAAACTACTTGAAAGCCCTTCTGGGGCTGTCACTTCTTCGTCCATTGTAATTACCTACAAATAAACAAAAAGACTTTTCAAATCAACAAACAATTCACTTCAACATTTGTTGGCAATTTAATCACATTACCATTGAGCATGATTTCCATTAACACGATAAACTCCATCTCTCGATGGAAAAGTAAATCAACCACAACGTTGATAGAAAATTGAAACAATCAAACTCTTTAGAATCTCGTAAATTAAAGCAAGAGACCGAGAAAAAAATTGCAATTAAACAGAGAAAACTTAATGAGAATAAAATTGATTAGAAAAGAACAAAAAAGAATTGTGTTTATCACTTTGTACTTTAATTAATCAACTTTAAATTGGATAATCTCGTTGAATTATCAACAATTTTCTCGATCTATTAATTAACATTTAATTGGTTTACTCTTTCATCATTTGGGTTGATTTCTTTTTCTCTCTTTGGTAATTTAAATTTTCTTCATCTTTTTCGCAACTACAATTAAATTTTCTTTGTATCTTTATCTTTAATTGTGTATCAAATCTTAATTATATTCTCTTCGTTTGTTTCATCTTTTATCTTGTAATCGTTTTTTTCTCTTAGTGATTAACAATATCAATCAATTTGACTCTTTAAAGTCAAAACTTTCCTTTTAATTTAGATTTAATTGTGAATATTTTTAATAACTAAAAAAAAGAGAAATTAAATTAATTGGAAAGAGAAAAAATGTCAGAATTTAAATTTGCCGCTGGTTTGGTTTTGATGGAAATTGAAAGAAAATGAAAGAGAAAATTTTTCTCTGTCTTATTTTCTGTCTCTTTTTCCTCTGAGTTGGTTTTCTGTTTTCTTTTTTTCTTTCTTTCTCTTTTTCTCTCTTGTTAAATATTAATAATTATTCTTATTTAAGTAATTTGTTTTATTTAATTAGTTCTCCTAATCAAGATGAGTTTCTCTAATCCTTATGCTGGTTATCAAAATGTTCCCGGAGGTGATGCTTATAACCGTCTTTCCAATACAACAAGTGTTAACGTTCAAAAGATTTCACAAAATGTCAATTCAATGCAGCGAATGGTTAATCAATTGGGCACTCCCTCTGATTCGGAAAATTTACGGGACTCGTTGCAACAAATTCAACATTATACCAATCAGCTTGCCCGTGAAACCAATAATTGTATTAAAGAGCTCTCCGCCATTCCACAGCCTCAGAGTATTTCGGAGCAAAGGCAGCGTCGTATGTTAAAGGAAAGGTTAACAAATGATTTTTCTGATGCTTTGAAAAATTTTCAAGTAATTCAACGGACTGCGGTTCAAAAGCAGAAAGAAAGTGTACATCGAGCAAGAGCTAATTCAGGCCTTAATAAGATTGGACCATTTGAAGATGTTACTAGTCAACAATCAAATCAAAATCTAATTGATCTGGCTAGTCCAGGAGCTATTGGTTCACAGCAAAGTGTTATACAAATGGAGGAAGAGGTTGATTTGGAAACAATGAGAGAAAGAGAACAAGCAATCAGAAAATTAGAGAGTGATATTCTTGGTGTTAATCAGATTTTCAAAGATTTGGCAACCCTGGTTCACGATCAAGGGGAAGTGATAGACAGTATTGAAGCTAATGTTGAAAATGCCACCTCTCATATTGAAGAAGGTGTTCAACAAATTGCTAAGGCAAGGGAGTATCAGGTAAATATGGATTAATAAATGACAAGTAATTGTAATCAATTTACGTTCTGTTCATAGATTAGATTCTTCTTTTTTCTTCTCTATAGAAAAATTATGAATCATTTTCATGAATATGTAACACCTTCCAAAAGGAAACATCGTCAATATGATAACAATTAACCTTTTTAAAAAGAAGAAGAAACAAAAAGCAAATCAATACCCCTAATCATTAGACTAATCATGACTTGCTCAAGTTTTTTAACCTTTTACTTCAATTAGAATTAACTGATTCTCATTCTCAATTGATTTGGAAAACAAAAGAAAAACAATTCTAATCTTATCGTGTTCTTTTTCTCTATTTTTCTCTTCTCTTTTTCTCATTTTATATAGACAAAAGCACGACGAAAAAAGCTACTGATCATCTTAATTCTTGCCATAGTTCTTGTGATTTTCATTACCATCATTTGGACATCATTAAAGTGAATGCTGCTATTAAATCAATTAACAATTGTTACCTGAATATATCTATTTGGTTCCTTGGAGATATTGATGGACAAAAAAACCACCCAACCCAATACATTCGTTTTAGATTTGCTTTATTGTTTTCTTTATTCTATATACATATAATAATTATTATTATATTATTATTATTTGTTCTCTTCTTTTTACATAATTATTCGGATTATCTTGATAACAAGTGAACAGATAGAGAAAAGAGAGAGAGAAAGGCACATACACACAAAGATCCACCCACTCACCCGAATCCATATCCACCTTTACACATCAATTTGGCGGAAATTATATCAAGAAAACGTCACTTAAGGTGCTCAAAACTCTCAATCAGCGGAAATTAATGATAATTAATTAATAGATTTCTCGATGTGAGAGAAACAAAAATTCTGCATGTAAATTGTTTGATTGATTTAATCTGCAAACAATGAGATTTTAAATTTTATAAATTCAATCTCAAACTCAATCGATTCAAAATTTACAACAATTTAAATGGGTGAACCGGAAAGATTAAGAGTGACAGAGATTATTTAAATTTGATTGTATAAAAATTTAATTGAAAGAGAGAGAGAGAGAGAAAGAGGATGGAACCATTTTCTATATTATTTACGTCCAACAATTAACTAATTTTCCCAATTTCATTATGTATTAAATTCTCTTTTCTTTTCTTGAGCTGCTAAATTGTTTAATAAAATCACAACAATTATCAAATCAATTGATTGAACAATTTTTGATGAACCAAAAATGAGAAACATTGAAAATGGTAAATCACTGATTCGCTTGATTAACAATATGAAGAAAATATTAATAATAGAAATAATCAATTATCGATGTAACAATTAACTCGAAAAATTTGATTTAATTTGAGATTTTCACCTTGATTGGTTTATTTTGTTATCGTAATTAAATTAAATTGTAACAAATTTGGTTTCATTTCCTTTCTCGTCAATCGCTTATCACAACAATTACAACTAAATTTAATTCCGTTGATTTGATTTTGTTTAATCAACGTAACATATTATTCCGGTTGCAACATCCTCTTGTCTTAACACAATTAACATTGAAGATGATTAACAATTAACTAGATTGTCATTAATCAATTAGCTTTGCTTTTAAGAGCGTTAATTTTTGGTTATCATTTTGATGACCGAAAAAATTTTCCTTTCAAAATGTTACCGTTGATTATTTTTCTTACATTTTTGATTAACTCTAATTGTTATGGTTAGTGTTGAATTTTTTTTTTCGTAATCACGTTGATTGTAAATTGATTGACTTTGTTTATTTTAATTGTTGTACAGATCCAATTGGATCTTTTGGATTCGGTGGACCTGAAAACCAACAAGGTCAAAGTTGCCAATTTTTGAAAAACGGACAATTTTATCGTGGACCTTGTAACAATCAGGTTAGTTGATTGTTTACCATTTTGATTGTTCAGTTAATTATTTTAATGATTTTTTGATTACTTTAAGAAACCTGGTTATGGTTCTGGTTACGGGGAAGTCGATTCTTTCGGCTCAGGATATCAACCTAATCGACCGCCAAAGAGTAAGACTTTTTTATATTGTGGTTTTCATTTAATTGTTTGGATTAAATGATTATCTTTATGATCATTAGGAGGTGGCGGTGGTGCGATAACTTATCCTGGTCCAAGTTCTGGAGGTTATGGTGGACATGAGAAAGTTGACCCGGACTTCGGGAGTCAGGGTGGTTTTGGTAAACCAGGTTATGGGGAAGGTGGTGGTGGATATAAACCTGGTTATGAGAGTGGCTCAGGTTTTGTAAGCAAGCCTGGTGGTGGATTCGGCGGTGGTAATAAACCTGGACATAATAAGCCGGGTGGGTTTGGTAAGCCAATAGGTGGTGGTCATGGAGGTGATGGTGGTTATGGTCAATCAGGCAGTGGATTTGGTAAGCCAGTTGGAGGTGGTTATGGAAATGGTGGAGGTTATGGTCAACAAGGGGGTGGATTTGTTAAGCCGATTCGAGGTAGTGGAAGTGGTAATCGTAAGCCTGGTTATGGAGGTGAAGTTGATTTAAAACCAGAGGTTGGATTTGAGAAGGAGACATTCGGAGGGGAAGGATTTGGCGGTGGAGTGAAACCTGGACAGTCTGGTTATCGTCCAGGTCATGGTAAACCAGGGGTTAATCCTCAGCCTGATTATGAAGTTGATGGTGGTTATGGTAAACCTCCTAATGTCGGTGGTGGTAGTGGTGGTTATGGAGGTGGGAATCGACCAGGATATGGTGGTAATGGTTTTAAACCATCCAAACCCGGTGGCTTTGGTAAACCAATTGGAGGTGGTCACGGAGGTGATGGTGGTTATGGTCAATCAGGCAGTGGATTTGGTAAGCCAGTAGGAGGTGGTTATGGAAATGGTGGAGGTTTTGGTCAACAAGGGGGTGGATTTGGTAAACCACCGGGAATCGGCGGGGGACATGGGGGTTTTGGTAAACCCACACAAGGTGGTGGTTTTAAAGGCGGTCCATTAAAACCCTGTACAACCAACGATGGACTTCAGGGTGTTTGCTCACCTTTAGCTCAATGTTTCTATCAGTTTGATGATTTATCAGATTTCCAAGAAAATTATTGTGAAAAAATCTCAAAAGTACCGACAGTTTGTTGTCCAGTTGAAGGTCATCGCCAAAGTAAAATCGGACCAAGTGAGTATCAAACTCATATGAGTATCAAATTTCTAACAATCAAAGAATAATCTAATTAATCATCTAACTATTAATATTTCTGATTTAGTTCCCATTCGAATACCGAAAGAATATCATTACAGTAAAGTAGAAATTCCACCGATCAGTATTGACGATATCGAAAATGCCGCTCGGGAGAGTAAACAAATCGTAAAGAACAATTTAGAACTAGAAGTTCAACTTGTTCGTAAAGGTAATAAAAAAAAATTCTGCTCGAAAAAGTTTAATTCTTATTATGAATTTTAACCGATAAGTATTAAACTCTTTATAAAGGACTAATTCAAACTCCAAATTCAATGGAAGCCTATCATCAGGCCTTTTTCGGTGGACCCGATCCGTTCACTCGAATAACGACCAAAAATGGACTAATTGCTTTAGAGACAACAATTCAACTCGCTAAAAGGTAATCAGTCAGTTTTGATTGTTCACAATGATTATTGATCAATTGTTTCCAATTAGATTTGGATTGAATAAATATGAAGCTCGTGATGGATTAAAACAATATTCGTTGTTTGAAACCTCGATTCGTGACAATTGTCCTAAAGAACCAGCTTGTAGGAAGGACAAATATCGAACCATTGATGGATCATGTAACAATTTAGAGCACCCGCTTTGGGGTATGTCACATACTTCCTTTATTAGGATCGTTCCCCCCGATTATGCCGATGGACTTAACGAACTGAGGAAAGCGGGAGATGGGTCAGTGTTACCTGGAGCTCGAGAAGTGTCCATTACTTTAGCTACCGATGTCGATTTACCTGATGTTAAATTTGCTCTGTTTGTTATGCAATGGGGACAATTTATTGATCATGATTTGACCTTAACAGCATCGACTCGAAGTAAGTACTTGGAAATGTCATTCGATTTGATTTAATTGGTTCTCTGTTTGATTTGATTAGTTGACTCTGATCGAGGTGAAGGAATCATTTGTTGTAGAGAAGAGTTTGCTCGAAATCCAAGTATTCGTCATCCCGCTTGTAGGCCAATTTCTCTACCTCATGATGATCCGTTCTTTTCAAAGTTTGATCATCATTGTACCAATTTTGTTCGTAACTCACCTTCACCTCGACCTGGATGTTTCCTTGGACCTCGAGAACAAAGTAACACTCTAACTCATTACATCGACGGTTCAATGGTCTATGGATCAACGGAAGATCGAGCTGCCCATTTAAGATCATTTGTAAAAGGAAAACTACGAAATTCAATAATAAACGGAGTTGAATATCTTCCATTTGATTCGCAAAACAGGTCAGATGAATGCGCTATTCCAGCTCATCGACAATTACAATGTTTCGTCGGTGGTGATGTTCGAGTAAATGAACAAACCGGATTAACCATAATCCATATGTTACTCTTACGTGAACATAATCGTATTGCCGATAAACTTTCCTACCTTAATCCCTCTTGGAATGATGAGATTATCTATCAAGAGGCTCGACGAATAGTGGCCGCCGTTATTCAGCACATTACCTACAACGAATGGATGCCGTTAATCATTGGAAGACGAGTAATGAAAGAGTTTAATTTACTATTAAAACCTTCCGGTTATTCATTTGATTACGATCCAAATCTTAATGGTGGCATTTTAAACGCCTTTGCAACGGCCGCTTATCGTTTCCACACCCTAATCCAAGGGGTCTACAAATTAATGAACAATTTCGGTAAAATAACCAATAAATTACAACTTCGAAACCTATTCAACAATCCGGAATCCGTTTATCAACGTGGTGTATTTGATGAATTTTTAAATTGTCTCACTGGTCAACCAACTCAAACCTTTGATCAATTTTTTTCTCAAGAGGTCAGTTAGCCGAGATTTGAAAATTTAGCCTTTAACTTTAATTGTTTTCGTTTAATTTTCATCTTTCATTTGATTATCGACAAAATGTTAGTTAACAAATCACTTGTTCCAAGAGCACGATCGACAATTCGGAATGGACCTGATTTCTTTGAACATTCAACGTGGACGCGATCACGGGCTACCTGGTTACAATGAATTCAGAAAGGCTTGTGGTCAACCTCCGATCAGATCATTCCAACAATTAGCTCAAGTCATGAGACAAGGATCAGCTGAAAGGATGTCCAAACTTTACAAGTAAGTGATTCAAATTTTTGTCTTGATTGTGTCTTTTGTTTTAATTGTTCAATTTGTTGAAAGATCGGTTGATGATATTGATCTGTTCATTGCTGGAAATCACGAGAAACCTTTACCCGGGGCCGTTGTTGGTCCGACCTTTGCTTGTATCCTCGCTGAACAAGCTCGTCGATCTAAAATCGGTGACAGATTTTGGTACGAAAATGGTGATATGATTCATTCATTTAACAAAGGTAATTACAATTAGTTGATTTTTGTTCCTTCTTCTTAATTGTCTTCTTTTTTTTCACACTCAGAACAATTGGACGAGATTCGTAAATCAAGTTTAGCTGCAATTATCTGCGCTAATTCTGATGGTATTGAGGCCATGCAATCATTAGCTTTCCTTCAACCCTCTGAATTGTAAGTTAATTGTTATTGTTAATTGAAATTGTTAATTTTCTAATCATTTATATCAATTGGTTATTTTGTCCAAACAGAAATCCAAAAATTCCTTGTCAAGAAATACCACAAATTAATTTCGATTTTTGGGTCAATGAGAATGCACGAAAAGGATAATTTCTCATCAAATCATTTGATTCTCTCTGTCACAATTAACTAATAATATTAATTAATATTAATTACTTTGATTTCTTTTTAAAAGCTCCAACTGTAATTTCCTTGTTGATCATTTTTCAGATTTACTTTCAATATTAATCAAAATAAATTTCTCATTTTATCTAATATCTAATTATTTTCCATCTAAAATCATTTATCCATTAAAATTAACCATCGATTGAATTAATTAATTTAGATTCGGTTAATTGAAAAAAAAATTACAGAGGTTGCTACACTTAGAGCAACTACACTTAGAGCAATTTTCAGCTCTATCTCGAGGATTAATTAAGTAAACTGAGTATAAACAATTATTTTCAGTACGTAATGTAATCAACCTGTTCATCTTTTTTTTCGTGGTGATAATTTCAAGTGATAATTAGTAGAAAATAATGAAAAGAGTCACTTTGGGTGCAAAATCAAACATTTTGAATCAACTGAATGAAGGTAAAAGGGCCATCGATTTGTGTGAGGACAATAATATTGACCCAAGTCAGATTAGTAAATGGACAGAAAAAGAGAACGAAATTGTTGAATTTATAAAAGGTAATGATAATAATATTAATAATTGTATTTAGATTATTCTAATCAGTGTTTTTGTACATAGGTAATAAAAAGATGGAATCAAGAGTACGACTACCTAATAATGATTTATTCACGCAATTAGATAAACGCCTTAAAGCTTATGTAACTATATGTATCGACAAAGGTTTTCCATTCAATGCGAATGTAGTTAGAGCAAAGGCTAGATTAGAAGCGGAAAAATTAGGAATTACTGGTTTCGTCGCGTCCCGTAGTTGGTTCACAAAGTTTGCTAATCGTAATGGTCTCACTTACGCTAAAATTTCAGGTGAATCTAAATCAGTTGACCAATCGGTCGTTTCTTGGTTTCTCTCAACTCTCCCAAAAAAGTTATCTAATTATACCTTGGATGAAATATATGTAATGTAAAGAAGAAATTGGAGAAAGAAAATCAAAGGGATATTAATTCCTCTTTCTTTTTCTCTTTCTTTGATTTAATTTCTCTTTCCTTTTCTCTTTCATTTCTCTTTCTTTTGCTTAATTTTTCTCTTTCTCTGCCTCCTACTTTTCCCCTACATTTAATTTTGGTAATTAATTAATTGTTGTAAATTTTGATGTCGCTCATTGTTGCGGTTGTTTTTGAAAACAACATTTGATTTAATTGTTGATTGTTGATTAACAACAATAATCATTTTTATTAATTAATTTCATTGTTGATGATGATGGTAAACAACAACAACAACAACAACAAGAGGAATCAATCATTAGCTTTTGATGGTGAAGGTTCAACTAATTAATATGTTTGATTCTAATTTAATTTAATAAAGTTAATTTGTTTTAATTTTAAATCAAGTTGATTTAGTTAATTAATTTAATTTTCAGGAATCGATTTGGTTTATTTCCAAGGAAGTGAATTAATTGGAATTCATATTTTGTGAAATCAAACTAATCGTTTCCATTGCTGAATTTCTGGCTGTTACTCTTGCTGCTGCTGTCCCACCTTATAAGTCGACAGGATTATCATCTGTCGGTGATAATCTTTTGCTGTTACGTTACTTTTGTTCATTCCTGTTTACTGGATTTTCTCTACTGGTTACTTTTTATTACTAAAGGAATCAGTAGATTAATTGAAGGTAAACGGGTTGAATCATTAGTTAACCATGGCTGATGATCAATTTGATCAAGATGAATCCATCTCATCTCCCGCTGAACAATACTACTACCGGAAACCAATTTATCGACCTCGATTAAAGATCTTTACTGGCTTGAAACCCAATGTTTCAATTGAAAATTGGATTAAACTCTTTGAGTCTGCTGGTATCCGATACAATTGGTCCGAAGACGAAATGCTGGATCTACTAAGTGAGTACCTTGATGAAGACCCTCTGGACTTTTACCTTTGTGAGAGAGACACTTCATCATGGTCTGAAATGAAAATGAAGCTGATCAATCGTTTTGGTATCAAGACCGTTGAGCCAATACTTGAATTTCTCCACCTAAAGTTCGATCAATGTAAGGATGTCGTTGACTACTTCGAATCGAAACGACGATTGGCCAATAAAGCTGGTGTCTCCGAAGATCACGCTGTCACCATCATGATTGATAATCTAACAGGTAGATTACATGATTGTTTTCTTGGACACCGTGTTAAAACTTATGACCAGTTTTTCACAATCGCTAAAACTGCTGAGAGTCAACTCGCCAGAGGTAATCGTGGCTACTCCAACCAACAAGGTAGTGGTCATGTGAACACTCATCGTCCCAATCACCAAGGTAAACCTCGAGGAAATGATAAGAGATCATTTAACCACAATCAACGAGGTCAAGGCCAAAACACTGATAAACCTTTCGTCAAACGTCCACCGAAAAGCTCTTGTTGGACTTGCATTAATAATGGTAAACCCGATCAGTACCATTGGTCCGAAGATTGTCCAATAAAGAAAGGGAAACAAACCAAGGTCAACTTCGTTCGAGCTGATGATTCGAATGCCAATTCCGCTGATTCCTCCCAACACCAAAATAATTTAAATTAATTGGGAGACTTGAAAACAAACCCTCTCACCTCCTTATTCCTGGTTTAATCAATGCTGATCCAATCTCTGTACTCTATGACCCAGGCTCTAACATCACTTTAATTAATAAATCAATTGTTGATCAATTGAATCTTAAATCAATTCAATTTAATGGTTCAAGTTTTTCAACTATGACTGGGGAAGGGGAAATTTCAAGTCTCGCCAAATTTAATTTAACCATTGGATCATTTACTCACCTTATTTTCGCTTACGTCACCAACCTACTCTGTGTTGATCTTCTGCTGGGATTGGACTTAATTTGGAAGTTCAATCTTAAATGTGACGCTGATTACCAAATCAAACAAACTCTTGCTGCTCCTGTTGAACCAACAACCATCAAACTGATTCCTCTACCGCTGAAGCTGAATGATAACTTCTATTTGGACCTAAAAACCAAATTAGTTGCTGCTGATCAGGTACATGCTGATAGTATCAATCCCGCTATGCTGAAGCTGCTGACAAAATACAAAGGGGTATTTGCTGAAGGGAAATTCGACATGGGTCAATTAAAGGATGTCGAATGTATCGTCGAATTGGATACCGAAATTCCCATCAATTCGAAACCTTATCGTACTTTACGTGAAGATCGAATTGTCGCTGAAGTCAAATCTCTGCTGGAAGCAAAGTTGATCCGTCCATCTCACTCATCTTATGCTTCACCTGTAACGTTGGCCTTCAAGAGGGAAGACAACGATAAAACCCGCTTCTGCATCGACTATCGTAAACTCAACGATAAGATGCTCGCTGATAAATATCCGATGCCGAGGATTGAGGACATTATTGATTCCCTCTACGGGAGTAAGTTCTTTAGTGTCTTCGATATTAGGTCCGGATTTTGGCACGTTAAAGTCAGGGAGAAGGACATTCATAAGACCGCCTTTGTCACTCAACATGGTCATTATGAATGGCTGGTTATGCCGTTTGGATTGAAAAATGCTCCTGCCATCTTTCAAAGGTCAATCCGTAACATCCTGGAGAAACATCAATTGACTGGATTTTGTCACAATTATATTGATGACATTATTGTTTTCTCTCCATCTCTACAAATTCATCTTGACCATCTCTCTCAACTTTTCTTTGCTGTTGCTGCTGAAAATATAAAATTGAACTTTGAAAAATCAAAATTGTTCCAGACTAATGTGAATTATCTTGGTCATAATTTATCTCAAGATTCGATCAAGCCTCTCCATTCGAACATTGATTCAATTCTGAATCTCAAACCACCCAAAAATGTATCAGAGGTTCGACGATTCTTGGGTAAGGTAAATTATAATCGGAAATTCATCAAAAACATTACAAAGATTCTGGACCCAATTCATCATCTGCTGAAAAAGGATACAAAGTTTAATTGGACTGCTGATTGTCAAGGATCATTTGATCAAATTAAAACCTTGTTCACCTCTGATCCAGTGCTAAGAATGTTTAACCCAAATGCTGTGCTGATCCTAGAAACTGATGCTAGTCGTATTGGTCTAGGTGCTGTTCTGAAACAACCGGATGAGAACAACAAGCTTCACCCGATTGGATACTTTTCCAAAAAGTTAACAGTTCATCAAGTTAACTATCCTGTTACTCATCTCGAATGTCTCGCTATTGTTGAAGCTGTTAAGTTCTGGCACCACTATTTGTATGATCGCAAGTTCACCGTCATCACTGATCATATCGCTCTTAAGGCCATTCACAAGATCAAAGAGCCAAATAGTCGGTTATTTACCTGGTCATTCTTCCTCTCTCAATATGACTTTGAGGTCAAGTATCGTCCTGGTAAAGAGAACGTGGAAGCTGATTATCTCTCAAGAGATCCTGTTGCTGCTGATCCGGTGGATTATCCATTTAAATTGGTGAATTTCATCACTGCTGAAGAAATAAAAGCTGAACAATCTAAAATCAATGATATTGATTTACAACTTGCTGATGAAACCGGAATCCATTACAAGACTGATAAAAATGGAAACAGGAAGATAATTTTACCTTTATCTTTAAGGTATAAACTGATGGAAGCTGTTCACCAACAATTTGGTCATGTTGGTATTAGGAAAATGATAACCATCATTAGCTGGAAATACACATGGACGAAATTAACCGAGGATGTAATTAATTTCGTTAAAAACTGTAATCCATGTCAATTGGGTAAAACAAGAAGGTCGAAACAAATTGCTGAAATGGGACACTTTGGTCCTGCTGAACGACCATTCCAAATAATTGCTATCGATACTATCTGTGGGCTGGATCGATATGGATCCAAGAAACGCTACATCCATTTTGCTGTTGACCATTTTACTAGATTTGTCTGGGCTATTGCCTCGAATCACCAAACTGCTGCTGAATTTATATCACTGATTAATAAAGTGATTGCTGATGGTAAACCTGATACCTTGCTAGCTGATAAATACACTGCTATAACATCAAATGAATTCGCTGAATATCTGGACCGGATGAAGATTAATATCACTTTCATTCCCAAATCATCACCCCAAAGTAATGGACTTTGTGAGCGTGTTGGAAACACAATAATCGATAGGATCAGAATCAAGATGATCTCCAACAATTATCGATATGGCTGGATCAAGTACTTACAACGTACAATCTTTGAGTACAATCATACTCCTCATGCTGTCACCAAATTTACTCCATTTTATCTGTTTAATGGAAGTAAACCCGAAAACTGTGATGATATTGAATTCCCTGAATTAGATGAAGCTCGAACTCAAGCTTTCAGAAATTCATTGGATAATCATCAAGCTAATGCTGACCTTTTCAACCATAAACACGATGACTATAAATTTGCTGATAACGAAATTGTTTACGTTAAAAATCTTGCTGGGATCAATAAGAGGAAATTAGATCCAAATAGCTGTGGACCATACAGAGTCGCTGGAAAAATTGCTGATAACATTTACAACATTGCCATCTCGGAATCACCTCTCAGAATTGAACAGGTTCATTCCAAGCACCTTATTCCGATCACCAAGCTGAAGAGAAACCCTGAGCCACCATGAATCATCTCTCCATCTCCCTTTGTTTAATCATAAGGGTGGGGGTGTAATGTAAAGAAGAAATTGGAGAAAGAAAATCAAAGGGATATTAATTCCTCTTTCTTTTTCTCTTTTTTTGATTTAATTTCTCTTTCCTTTTCTCTTTCATTTCTCTTTCTTTTGCTTAATTTTTCTCTTTCTCTGCCTCCTACTTTTCCCCTACATTTAATTTTGGTAATTAATTAATTGTTGTAAATTTTGATGTCGCTCATTGTTGCGGTTGTTTTTGAAAACAACATTTGATTTAATTGTTGATTGTTGATTAACAACAATAATCATTTTTATTAATTAATTTCATTGTTGATGATGATGGTAAACAACAACAACAACAACAACAAGAGGAATCAATCATTAGCTTTTGATGGTGAAGGTTCAACTAATTAATATGTTTGATTCTAATTTAATTTAATAAAGTTAATTTGTTTTAATTTTAAATCAAGTTGATTTAGTTAATTAATTTAATTTTCAGGAATCGATTTGGTTTATTTCCAAGGAAGTGAATTAATTGGAATTCATATTTTGTGAAATCAAACTAATCGTTTCCATTGCTGAATTTCTGGCTGTTACTCTTGCTGCTGCTGTCCCACCTTATATATATAATGCTGATGAGACTGGTTTACAGTATAAAGGGTTAAATGATTACTCTTATTCATTCAATTCAAGCGATAGACATGGTACTAAGACTCGTAAAGATCACATAAGCATCTTACTTTGTTCAAGCGCATCAGGTATTAAGAAGAAACCTTTGGTTATCGGTCATGCTGCTAAGCCTCGTTGTTTTAGAGAAATTAATTTTGATTATGCAAGTTTAGGAATAGATTATGCTTATTCAAAAAAAGCTTACATGAATTTAACTATTTGGCAAAAATGGCTTAGTGATTGGGATCATGAGTTGATTAATGAAAACAAGAAAATATTATTATTTGTTGATAATTGTCGATGTCATTGTAAGTTACCAGAATTAGTTAATATTAAGGTTGAATTTCTACCACCAAATTGTACTTCGGAAGTTCAACCTCTTGATGCCGGTATAATCGCTAGTTTTAAGCATCACTATCGAGAAAATGTTTCAATGTTGTTATCGCAATTAATCACTACTGACACCACAGTAGATGAACTTGTAAGTTCAATCTCTTTATTACATGCTTTTAGATGGATTTCAGATTCATGGGAAAAAGTTACTCAGCAAACATTAACAAATTGTTATAATAAATGTGGATTTATTAAAGACTAATTACTTAAGCTAATTGAATTCATTTTCATTGTTCATCTCGGTTAAGTTACCACTAGATGGAGACTGTGAAAGTCAAGTTGCTCTAAGTGTAGCAACCTCTGTAATTCTTTTCTTTGTTCTGAATGACAAGAGATGGCGCTGATTTCGATTCATTGAATTTCTTGTTTACATTTTTTTCTTGATTCCTCCTTTCCTGTCTTTATTGTCAGATTATAAATTACTCATCTTAAATTTAATTATTACTTACTATTGACCTCTGTTTAAGCGTCCCTTTATTTACACAATTAGTCGTACAAAGTTGATAAAATCGGGTTATAAACAGCGAGAATATCTTGTGATTAAAGTGAAATGGATCTTCATGCTACCCTTGGGTTTCCTGACAGAACCACCAGAAGGAAACCAAACAAAGAACGTTACCTTGAGATAATGAAAACGATTGTTGACGATGGCGAAGAGATTGAGATACCAAAGTGCTTGATGGAAGCTGCTCCTGGAAAATTCGATCCGAATGACACAATGGCGGTTAATGAAGACGAAACGCGAACATATTTCTATTTACCTGAATTCGTCTCATCGACAGTGTCAGCTATCCAGAGACAATTACTACATTATAATGATTGGAGTGATAAGGATGTTGTATCCTTTAAGGTCACACGATGGGACAAGTTGAACCTAAGAGTGGACATGGTTATGAAAAAATCGATGCGAATGAACTTAATCAACAAGAATGGACTCGCTATTCGATACAGAGAAGCTAACTATCCAGGCTTTGACTTCATGGAAGATACCCCGGGGTGCATAAGCACAGCCAAAGACTTACAACAATCTAATCCCATGCTCACGGATTTAAGTCAATCAGAAAGATTGATTTTCCTTGAAGTTAAGGATCTAAAAAAGATTAATCGTGATCTATTGAAACGATTAATAAACAGAGAGACATTTGTCAGAGGAAAAGAAACAATCCTACGACTTACAATAAGAATCTAACACGAAAGATGTCGCTACTTATGATCGAGTCTGAGAAGAATATTAATCAAATTGAAGCCAATCAATCATTAAGTAGCAGTAGACACAACCAACTCACAGCCTATTTTTACCCGAACCTTCTGATCAAATTTAATATTACCCTTTCTTTCAACTAATACTAACCCTTTACATGTTTCACTCTGGCAAAAACAGGTGAATACGAAGTTAATTTAAGTGAATAATCCAGATAATCCTTTTCCTCTTTTAAACTATATAAATTCAAGAGTGTTTATATCATCACAATCAACAAGTTTACTACAATGGAACAAGCAGATCCAAATTTAAGTGATCAAATTGGCATCCAAACGGGCACTAATGGTAGACGCTTGGTTCTCGAGGTGGGATTTGTTCAGTTCCATTTCGCAGCGGGTGAACAAACGGTTTTACAAAAGTCTTATTATAAAGTGAAATTGGTTAAGACGATGTGTACATTAGCAGCAGAAAACGACTCTCTCTTTATCGACATCAACAAGGCAAAACCATTGGTGGTATTTGAATTGAAATTGGCCTCCTCTCTGATGCCTCAATTTGAAGAAACAATTTCTGTTTGGTTCAATCATGGAGACGATGAATGTGAAATTCTGGTGGCACTTGAAGCGGAAAGTGAACTGTTTGGACGACAATTAAAAATAATTGGGTCACTAATTAACCTTGGAGCAACTGTCACAATATGGAACTGGCGAAAACCTAATATTCTATCACAGTTGGACTCGATCTCCTTTATGTTCATGACTGACAATTTGGACGAATTTATTATGACAATTCATCCTGATGGAGAGAGGGAAATCCTTGTTCGAGATACACATGCCGAGAGATCGCTCACTTTGTTCAATTCTAACCAACCAAACATAACCATTGTACTGAATAAAGTCACCTCTGAAACTAATCCTTATGTTGCTCTAATTGCTTTTTTAAGAATCAGTGAAAATTGTAGCAAACAATTAAATTTTTAATTTGTGTTTGTAAACAACTTAATTTGAATCGTGTTGACCAAATGGATGAGAAGATCGTGGTGATAAATTTAAAAAGATCAAGGAACAGTGAAGAGCAACTGAAGACGTTGATAGATGATAATGCGATAATGATAGAAAGTGAGGATGAAGACTTAACAATGTACACGTACCAATATAAACCAGCAAATAGTTACATATGTTAGCCTTCAATGAGATCTCAGCCTCTTTCGGCTGACAAATAAACAGATCTGATCTATCGTGTAACTTACTCATGTAATCTTCAAGAATTACCAGTGTCCTTTGTAAATTATAATCACGAGATCGCAAAAATTTGAGTAACAATTCATCTTCATATTTATAAACACTCAGAATTGAGCTCTCTCCAATTAGGCATCGAAATTGATTAATCACTTCACTTGGATCCTTTTCATAAACAATACTCTGATCACTTCCGATTCTACTATTGTTGTCGGTATTACTATTAGGAGCCTTAACAATTTTTTTAACAAATAAATCTTTATTAAGATTATATAATAAGACCAAATTAGGTTGAAACAATTAAAAGACAAATAGTTAATTACTCAGATGAATTGGTCAACAAACACCTTCCAACGACTATCGACAGAAACTGACTGTTGATTGTTTACATTTTTTGTGACAATCTATAACAAATGAGAATCATTTCTCACTCTCTCTCTCATTTTAAAATTTCAATTTTAATCACCATCAAGAAACCAATCAACGATTAATGGGTAATTTTCCTGATTGAGACCATTGACATTCAATAAAAGTGGTTCTGAAATTTCGCTTCAAGAAACTCAGCCAATTGTATCTACTGAATAATCATATTTCTATCCTTAAATAGTTAATATCTAAATCTCTCAGAATCAGCTCAAAGGGTATTCACCTAATCAACAAAATCAAATAAGATTGACGTAAATTAATTGAGGCACATCCATTGCCATTCAAGCATAATAATTGACAATAGATACAAATCTAAAATGGTTACTAATTAACGGATTATTTGAAATTTAAGGTTGACACTCAATTAGTTTCAGACTCGATTGCTAATTCTGATTGATGACAATTTAAATTGAATGTGATTCAATGGGAATACAATGAGAGACAATTTAAAACAATTTACTTGCCTTCGATTCCAATATATTGAGAAAACTATTGTCTCTCTGTTGAAAACCATTGGAGCTTCAACAAAGACCATTAATTCAACGCAAACAACTATTGCTTGTGGTAGATTTAATTACTGTGATTAATTAGTGATATTAAGATGATGGAACTACAATTTGATGATTGCTCACCTCTAGAAATTAACGTTGACACCTTCAAATCTAATCTTCGTACGATTTAGAGGTATCAAAATTTACCACTGAACAAGGATCAAGATTAACGTCTTTCTTTCTGTCTATTCGACCGTTAAATCCAAAAATTACAATTAAGCTCAAGAAGTGGAATTTGCATTTTGATTCATATGAATGTTTTGGCAGAATCATAAACCCATCTTGAAGCTACACTCTCTTTCTGCAAGCGATTGTCTCTGGTTATTGTTAAATTTACTACAAGCGGCGCTATATAGAAGGAAGCTTAGAACTTCTCATCTCTTTTTTTACTTAGTTCAATCTCGCAACGGGTTAACACTTTGTACAACACAATTGTTCATCAATGCTAACCAACAAAACATAATCATTGTACTGAAGAAAGTTGAATCTGAAATTAATCTCTATATTGTTCTAATTGCTTCTGTAAGAATCAGTGAAAATTGTAGCAGACAATCAAGTTCATAATTTGTGTTTATAAAGAATTTAATCTGAATCGTGTTGATCAAATGGATGTGAAGATAGTGGTGATAAATTTGAGACGCTCAAGGAACAGTGAAGAGCAACTGAAGACGCTGATAGGTGATGATGCGATAGTGATAGCAAGTGAGGATGAAGACTTAACAATGTACCCGAACCAACTCAAGGGTCACAAAATTAGTGTAAGCTGGCCCAAGAAATGGACGATAATGAGAGGAAAAATTTTGGATGAGAGCTTACTTCTAATCACACTGAGACAGAAGAAATGGTTGATTAACATTCTTGCCATTTATGCAAATCCGCACAACATCAAATGTCTAACTGCATTGGTTGAGACAATCAAACGCCTGCCCACGAATATAACAACTCTAATTGCGGGTGATGTTAACTGTGAGCTGAAAATATGGTGCGATGATCCTAGGAAGGATAATGCCTTGAAACGATCGGTGCTTGAAGAATTAGAAACTGCCTTAATTGATAAGAAATACAAAAGTGTCTTACCAACGGACAGAAATACAGGTGTGACGCGATGGAGCTCCTCGGGAGGGACAATGATAGATATTCTGCTTGTAAACAAACGGCTGTTAAGGAAAACAATTGACTTCAAATCTCAATCTAACTTAGATCATCTGATAATTACTGCTCAGATAAAATGCAAATTCACACGAAACAACAGTTACTTAATAAGGAAAAAGAGGCTGATTTATGATAAAGTCATGGAGTTCGAATCACCATTCCTTGAAGTTAAGCTTTGCAATATCATGAATGCTGGAAAACCGAAGGGCAATCGAAATCAATCAGATGAGAATCGGAAAACGAGGAGAATGAAGAAAAGAATGAAAAAAGCGAATGGAGAAAGCAAACAACAACAATTGTGTAAGCTAAATGCCTACCGAAATAGAAAAAGGTCATTACCAGATGATCTTCCGATTTATGTCCTACACAAGATGATGGCAGAAAGAGGCAACATTGGAAATTCAATCGGGGACGAAACAATTAAAAACAAATACCTCCTCATAGCGAGAGAACGTCCATATGGTGTCGAGATTCCCTCGCTGGGCTTTGACGGTATCACTGCGACTGAACGAGCCTCGCTGATGGAGAAAACATCATTCAATAGTAGCTCTGGCTGGGCGGATTGTTTCACGAAAAATAGATGGAATAAGGTTTGGCAAAACTGCAAATTAGTCATCATTGAGTTGGTGAACGAATTATTCATGAGATCGTGGATTCCTCCTCAACTTTTGATATCTGGTGGCACGAAAATTCCGAAATCAAATGGGGACTTCAGAATAGTAAGAACGCAGTGTTTCATAGGGAAGATTGTTGACACGTTGCTAGTTAAACGTCTCAAAGAATGGGTATTGCAAAACAATATTGTTGACACCGACATCCAATTCGCTTATTTGGGTCAGAACAAACAATCTCTGCTGTTGAAAGTATATGAAAACCACGTAGACTTTAAATTCATGCTGATTATGGACCTGACGAAGGCCTTTGACAAGCTCGACAGAATGACGATCAGAAAGAAACTCTCGGGTATTGACTTGCAAACCATGAAGATGATATTGCAGTTCATATCGAACAGAAAACTGAGACTGTTTGAAGAAGGCAACTTGAAAACGATTGCGGATGAGGAAGCACTTCAAGGTTTTGGACTGGGTCCTCTTCTTTTTGTTATGGGAATTGATGATACCTTGAGATGGTTGAACAGAAAACCGAGTAGACAGATGGTACTATCGTTTGCGGATGATCTCATAGTTCTTACGAATGATCTGGCAACAACTTAGGCTGAGATCTCGAATGCCTTCTTCATGATTGGCTTGTGCTGCAATAAAGAAAAGACTAAAATAATTAACTTCGATAAACCAAAGCCTATGGATAAGATTTTGGGCTACGATCTAAAATTCAGAACGGACATTCAAACATTGGTCAATGATCTGTCGAGCAGATCGAAAATGAATGTAATGCAGAAAATGCTTCTTAACAATTTACGATTACCCAAAACCAGGATGATGATTAACTGCCATCTCTCACACATAATGCTACCACTAGGCTTATGTCCATGGTTGAGATTCAGACTCTACAATTATCGCATCGAAGCCTTGATTAAAATTGGTCGGCGTGTGACACAGAGGGAATGGATGCTGAAGACCCTCTATAAAGATTCTCAATTCGAATGGCTTCACTCGATACCGAACCCATTTGTTAATTATTTCACAAACATGATAATGATGCTATGGGAAGAGGAAGCGGACGAGACACTTTTTCCAGTTGTCAAATGGGGTAATGAAATAAGGGAACACTGGATGGAAGGCAAAATCGAGGAATGGCAAGGTTTGAACAGCCTGAAACGTCCTGAGCTGATTAGTATATTTGAAATCAAGATCGAAGGTGACAGAGCTTGTATGACAAATGGAGAGACTCATGAACATTATGACTTGATAGCAAGGGATAGTACATTCGATGACCAAATGGCGGTTGTCACGATCGCAAAGTATCTTACGAGGTCTCTTGATGGCTTTGTGCTGAAGAAGAACGTCAAAATGACTAAGTTCACGATTGATCTTATACCGAGTGTTCAAGTTCGGCACGTGAAAGGATCGGAACTGTCCCTGTGTAATGGTGAAAATAGAAGGATTAAAGAATTACGAATATTGAAAACTAAGAACCAGATTAGGAAAATGATTAAAAGGAAACTTGATAAAATAGAGACGGGAATATACACACGGGACAAAAAAGGCCTGCTAAGTGCAATCTTAAACAACTCGATAACAAGAGGCATAATACGAAACAAATTATTTTACCAACGGAAACTAATGAAACTCATTGTCCTGATTAAAACACGAATAAGCAACTTGAGGCACTCGTGTGATGTACCGATGACGGAACTACACTTAGTAAAGTGTGGTGACTATTTACCCAAGCATGGTTGTCAGTTGAAAAGGGGAAATTGGAAATCTCTCTTTAATCATCTGGGATTTATTGCTGAACAAATAAAAGAACGAGGTGACGATGTCACCCAAGAAGATGCTCAGAGACCATGCGTCAACCCTCAATGAGAGGGCCATCTGGTAACTGGATGGGAGCGGCTGTTAAATCAGCTGAAACACAAACTAGAGTTTCGCAATACTCTTGCAAAGTATTTATTGGTATCAAAAGTATTGTTATACAAAATATCGATAATATTGGTAATATTTATATTGCTAAGTATCGATAAAGTATTAACAATATTAGATGAATTCTTGAGGTAGTGACTCTAAAAAACAAAGCATATCGACATTCTTTGGCTTCAAACGATTACGTTTTTCTGTGATGATAGATCCTGTCTTGGAGAAAAGGCGTTCACATGGTACGGAAGTTGGTTGTATACATAGATACTTTAAAGCTAAATTGTGCAACTGAGGCCAATTGAGTTTGTTATTTCTCCAAAATGACAGCGGATCATCAGTCAATGGGAGAACATCTGAGTCCTGGTAATGTTTTAATCCACTGTCAAGTGCTGTTTTTGTTGCAGTAAGAGCTTTGGCTCGCTTATTGTGTACACTCCAAATACCAATATCCTCTTCAGGTTCAGGTAAATTCTGAGAAAGTTCAACCTGAGTTAACAGTTTATTGAGCTCAACGACAGCATCTGAGCAATCACTTGTTGAATTAAAATCAATTTTCTTAAACCGAGGATCGAGTAAAGTTGAAAAGGCAAAAAGTTTATTCCTCTCCAACCCACCAAAGCGTCTTTCGATGCTGGTCAAGAAGGTTACGACAAGGGCCTTAGTTGATCTCTCCCACAAGACAAGTTTAGTCAATAACGACTTCAAGATGTTGATCACTGGGATTATCCTCGAAATTGTTATGTATTTCTCTCCTGAAATATCTTTGGTAATTTCATCAAAGGGTTGTAGAACCTTTGACACTTCCTTGAGTAGTTCAACATCCTCTGATGAGAGATCAATATCACGTTTGTCATGTTCGATGAGAGCACAAGAGATCTCTTTATGCAGAACAAGATACCGTTCTATCATGTGGTAAGTTGAGTTCCAACGGGTTGGAACATCTTGAATTAACTTGAGAGATGATTCGTTGCGTTCTTCTTGTAATGATGTAAGTGATGACATGAGAACGCTACTTCTCTTGAAAGCTGTTACAATCTCTCTCGTTCTACAGATGAGTTGAGATAAGGTTATGCTATTTTCCAGTCCGTCCTCAACAATCAAATTCAATTGGTGAGCGATGCAATGAATATGATTACTGACTGACTTAGCAGCTCTTGAATAATTAGCTGCACCGTCTGTAGTAATACACATGATGTTTTCTTTTAAAATCCCCCAATCCTCGATAGTTTGATCAAATATTGATGATATATTATCACTGGTACTTTCTTGGATCTGATTTGCTTTCAAACAAACACTGTGTAATTTATATTCATCAATGAAATGAGCAGTTAATCCAATATAAGATATTTGGTTTGACACATCTTTCCATCCGTCGGATGTTAACGATAGACCCTTAACATTATTTAAAAACATGGTAACTTGAGATTTTTTCGTATCATATAACTCTCTTATCAATCGGTTAACTTTGTCCTTTAATGGTGGAGAATAATGTTTATTCAACGATGTAATGAATTCTTTAAATCCTTTTTGTTCACATACTCGATATGGATGTGCATTCTTTATTATCCACCACAATAACTTAGAGTTAATATTCTTGTTCATATCACCACCTTGAATAAAAACAATAACAAAAAATAGCACAAATTAGTAGAAATTCACTTCACTTTACGAAAATAAACTTACCTTTTATTGAATTGATATCACTTATAAAAGTATCAATTTTTGCTGTATCATCCTGGTTAGTTTGACTATAATCATTGAAAACACTAAAATGGTTTGCTTTCAAATGTTTCATTAAATTGGTTGTGTTTCCTGTTGATTTTATTGATTTTCCACAAATCACACATTTAGGATCACTTTCACCATTAACACTAAAATATTTCCATATTTTGCTCGATTTTGGCTTTGGCATTATGATAAAAAACAATATAAACTCTTTAACAAAAGAAAAGACAAACTGTTTAAAAATCAAAAGATAAAACAATGGTGACCATCGACACAAAAGGATTAACTTAAACAGTTTAAATTTAAACAGTTTACGATGTAAATCGATCTATTGATATATCGATAATATTGCTTCTAATATCGATATAGTATTGTTATTGAAATATCGATATAATATATCGATACAATAGTATTACAGAAACACTAACACAAACCGAATTGAGGTGACATTGGTTAGCTAATTGTTTTCATTTGTTAATTGTAATTTGATCTTTTCGCTGTTTTTGTTTAAATTTATTTCAACTAATTGATTGATTAATTAATTCTCTGATGGCTTTACGATTAACCTTAAACTCTTTCTTGAGTCGATCAGTTGTCACATCTCTAAGAGCAATGTCTTCAAGTGGTGGTGGTAAAGGTGAATGGGGATCTGGAGCTGGAAAGGTAATTATCTTAACAATTAAATGATTACTGGTGTTAAATTTACTTGATTTAAGTAGTTTAATTAGTTGATTTACTGTGTAGAGACATGTGACTTGAATTTAATGAATGTGCTCTTGATTTAGATGATGAATGTCTTGAGATTTTCATCAAATTGATTATCTTATTTTTAGATTTTTAAATTTTTAAATTTTCTCTGATTACTTTTTTTGTTCTATTCTTTTTTCTAATTTTATTCTTTTCTATTATTTATCTTCTATTGTATATCTTTTATATTTATACTTGTATCTCGAACTAGGGAGGAGGATCAGGTGGTTCTATTCGAGATGCTGGTGGTGCTTTTGGTAAACAAGAAGCTGCTCGAGAAGAAGAATTCTTCAGACGCCAACAACGAGAACAATTAGAAATGTTACGTGGTCATCTTCAGGAAGAAATTGACCGACATGAGTCTCTAATTAAGCAACACGAAGATGCCATCAAAGCTTCAAAGGAAAAAATCCAAGAATTGGCTGAGAAGACAAAATAATCAACCAACTACTTCACCCATACTCTTAAATATATTAATCAAACCTAAAAATCAATTAGCAGGATGAAGGAGAAGCTGAAAAAAAATAACATTCACATGTTGAGAAAAATGTAAATGAACAAAATCTACTAAAAAATAAATTAGTTAATTTTATTCCAAATCTAACTAATCGATTTCAATTCGATAACATGAAAATCATGTGGAAGAATCAAATCTCACATTTCATTTGCTCTCTAATGATCCAACCTTCTCATTATTGATCAATTGATGTTAGAATTTGATTATTAATTGTTGTTCGGTGTTGATGTTAAAATGTCTTCTAATGTTAATTGTAACTCTAATTTTGATGATTGTGATTTGATGTTCAATGAATTTGCTTCTGCCTTTGGTTCATTGGATCTCGAAGGTTTCACTCGGATGATTAATCAATTGTTCAATGGTTCTAATCAACAATTACATTCATCATCATGTTCACCTGATCAATTGATTCAAGTTTTTAATACCTTTGATTGCGATGGCGATGGTTGTATTAATAGAGATGAATTTAAATCCATGTGGTCTAAATGGTTGTCGATTGTGATTAAACCAAAATCAGCTCTAATTGTGGTCGATGTTCAAAATGATTTCATTTCTGGTTCATTGGGATTGGAAAATTTTCCAAGTGGAGTTAATTGTTCATCAATTGTTCCAATCATCAATTCACTGATTGATCAATGTTCATTTGAGATTGTTGTTTATACTCTTGATTGGCATCCAGAAGATCACATTTCATTCATTGATAATGTTCATCTGAGAAAAGTAAAACAATTAAATGGTAATCAGGTTGATGGAAATTGTGAAGAGAAATCGTTGATTGTTAATCCATTTGATTGTCTCACTTTTCATATCGATCATGTTGGTGAAAGGAATCAAATTGTTTACCAAAACATTGCGTCCAATCAACTTGGGGATCACAATTACATGACCAGTTGAAGGTGATTAAAGGAGCAATTAAAGTCTACAAAGGGACCAATCCAATTGTCGACAGTTACTCAGGATTCAAGGACAATGAAGCGATAACATGGACACAATTAGATGAACAATTAAGATCCAATGGAATCACCGATGTTTATATTTGTGGTCTTGCTTACGACATTTGTGTCTATCACACAGCCAAAGATTCACTGTCATTAAATTATCGGACAATTATAATCGATGATTGTTGCAAGGGGACAGATGACAAGAAAATTGATTCAATTCGTAAACAATTAACTTCAAATGGTTGTTTAATTGTTCAATCCAATCAAATTGAACCAATTGTTTCAGGAACAATCAAACCTTGGCCATTAGCTTATCATTTGTTTTTCAACATAATTAAAACAAAATAAAGTTTTCTATCCATTTTAATTTCCCATAAGCCATTTACCAACCACTTTAATCACTTGTAATATCTACAATTACAGTCGTCATTACACTTATCGCAATTACACTTATCGCAAGATCAGTGTGTTAATTAGACAAAGAGCTTGATGTTAACCCTTTACTCATCTCTAATTAGCACACCAACTTTAAGTGATTTATCCAAATAACTAAGAAACACTAGGTGGCGCATTTCAAAAAAAAATTGCGATAAGTGTAATGACGACTGTAGCTAATTTCTCAATTGATTATCTTTCCTCAAACTCAAATTCGAGATCCAATCAAACAGCGACATCTATGATCGCTAAAAAGCACGAATTCGACAGCAACGAACTCTGGTGGTTGGAACATTTAATTTTCTTCGTTTTTTAATTGTTATCAAAACAAAAGTTTCTTTTTAATTGTAGTTTTAATTTAGATTAAAAATAAATTACATTAATTGTTAATTCTTTCAATTACATATTAAATTAGATTGTAAAGGTAAATGAATATATCTTTAAATGGTTAAATTGTTTATCACTTTGTGTGTGTGTGATGACCAATTGATTTGTTGGTCTTGTTAAAATATAAAAGGTAATTTGATTTAATTTAATTGTTGACCTAATTTTTGTTCTATTCTCTTTATTATTATTTTTTTTCTAGATTTCTTCAATATTTCCACTGTTTTCTTCATGTTTCTGAGATCTTATAGTAAAGACTTAGTGGTCCACTTCTCCTCCAGGAATAGATGTAAGCTAAATCAACCATAGTGTAATCATCTTCAAGACGATCATGTTTATAGAGTAAATCAATGTTGTTATTTTCTTTTAATTCATATTTCATTTGTAGAAGTTTTTTCAAATGTCGAACCTCCATACTTCCCTTACATCGGAAATATCTTCGTTGATTATGTTTAACTTCACTACCATTGTTATTAACCGGGAATCCATTTGTACCAACCATTGTAGTTGAACGGATAAGTGGAATATAAGAATAAGAAGTTTTCTCTGGCTGATATTCAATGGAAAGGTAGAAAATATCATCTGGACTGAAGATGAGACGTTCACCTCTCATTTCACCTTTTTCTTCATTGGTTAGATTAACCAAACTTTCTGAATTTGCCGTTGTTGCTGTAACCGTTTTATAAAATTCTCGCCGTCGTCTCATCTCATCAGTAAATAGTCCGGGAACAATTTTATAAACAATATCCTGGAGACTTGGATCGGATCGGATGTTTTTCTGAATTTGAGCCTCACAAATTGGACAAACTTGATGTTCTTTAAGCCATTTAACGATACAAGTTTTACAAAAGGTGTGAAGACATTCAGTTATTGTTGTAGCATCGATTAGATAACCTTTGCAAATATGACAGGTAATATGTTCATTCAAAGCTTTCAGGCAAATGTTTCCTTCAAGTTTATCCATAGACACTGGAAATATTGGTTAACCCAAAGAGACAAAGATGATAAAAGGAAACAAAGATACACCGAGAGAGAGAGAGAAAGATGAAGAGAGTTGGAGTTACACAGGTAAGAAGATAATGATTTAGATTAATCAATGATACTTTTAATCAAATGTGAAGAAAAAAATTGTTGACTCAGAGGTGATGAAGAGAGAAAAAGAGAGAAATAAAAGAGAGAAAGTTACACCTTAGTGAGAGAGAAAGACCTTTCCTCTTCTACATTTTCTCTCTTTTTGCTTTTCCTTTTTCTCTTCCATTTCTCTCTCACTTTCTCTTCCTTTTGCCGCTCTTTTTTTTGGACAATGGAGACACAGACAGAACGAGTTTTTATCTTCCTCTACTAGAGAGAGAGAGAGAGAGAGAGAGAGAAAGGTACAGGTAAGCAAGAGAGAAGAGAAAAGAAAACGAAAACGAAAATCTTTTTATCATCTTCATCATTTACTTTCTTTTCTTTTCTTTAATTGTTATATTATCTTGACCTTTTGCCAACAGTTAATTAACTTGTTCTTTCATAAGTTATTACTACTTGATTGACTTTTCTCACAATCAATGAAACGATTACTACAACTGAATAAAATCCTTATTTATTTCCATGAGTAGATAATTGAGATAATTAGTTGTTAACAGTTAATCAAGTAGCTAACAAAACATTTGATTATCTCTTGTTTTATTTTTCGTCCTTAAAAAAACTCATCAAATTAATTCTCTTTTCTTTATTATTTTCTTCTAGATCAATTATCGACTACGATTAGTGTGATACAACAATAACGACGATTTATTAATCAATTGCTGTTCCTTTTTTCCTCTTGCCCAACGGTCAACAGAAATTTTCAATCTCCATGGTAACAAAAAGATGAGAAAACTTAGTTACCTGATGTTATTGTTTTGTTCCAACCAAATGGGCTCGGTTTTTCACTCAATTTACTAACTAAACATTTGGAAACAATCAAATTATTTCAACTTTTATCCGCTTTAATTATTAATCATGTTCGCTTTTAATTGTTTCCTTCATTTGGCCATCTTGTTATCGTTCATTGTTTACTGTAAGTTTTGAGATTGGAAATGTTTTCTTTTCTTTTTCTATATCCACCTGAACTTAATTGTTGATTGATTGTCTCGTTTTCTATTTACTCTTTTCTCAGGCCAATCACTTGATTGTTATATTTGCTCAAGTGACAATGATACCGATTGTAGTGAAATATTTGACAAGGAAAACACCAAATTACAACCAGTAACTTGTGATATTCATTCAGCTCAATATTGTATCAAGACAACTGGTATTTATGAAGGTAAATTGTGGTTTCTTTTTTTTCTTTTGTTCATTCGAATCATTTTTTAATTGTTTCGTTCTTACTTTTGTTAATTAGGCTCTGTTGGTGTACGAAGATTTTGCTCTTCTCGTAAATTCGATGATTATTGTAATTATGTGAAAAGAGAGGGAGATGTTAAACCTCAACGTAGTTGCGTCTATTCTTGTGGCTCCGATGGTTGTAATCGAGGAGAAAATTTGTCCAATGTCAATTTACGATTGATTGTGATTAATTTAATCATCGTTTTGTTTACCTTCTTATCGTAATCAGTCCTCTTGGATCAATTTCCCAATTATCTCAACGTAATTGAATTACAAGGACCAATAATCATCGATCAAAATGTTTCTACTTATTTGATTATTCTCACAACTCAACTTTTTATATCAACAATGATCAACAATCAGCAAAACAATTATGATTAAAAATAAGCAATAAGCGGAAATTTTCATTTGTTTATCATCGATAAATAATTATTAGTTAAAAAATCATATATGTTAATTGTTAAGGCAACATCAATGGTTATCAAGGGTTATTTCCAAATAATTTCGGGCAAAAGTATAAGAATTAAGAATTGGGTTAATAATTAAGTGTGTAAAATATTGAGTAAATTAAAGATGAGCTTTTTTGGAATTGCTATTTGGTGCTTTTAGGTCTCTAAGTGCTCTCTTAGCGGCCGTGTATTTGGCTAATCGACGATTGCGACCAATTCCGACAAATTTACCAAGATTAAAAACTTCAACGCTCATTCGGACTTTAGCTATTCCATGAATAGTAATGTCTTCCGGTTTACTGTTGAACAAAAGGAAAGATAATCAGATAATTTGTATAATTAGCTTTCAATGAATATTAGTCTTACCTGAAAGAAACTTTTTGTGGTTTCATTTCGAGAAGTTCACGAATCGGTGATTTGGGTGGATTTTTACTGAAATATTCCATCTCTGGTTTCATCATGTTGTAATAAACTCTCCATACGGTGTCAAGGGAGAAACCGCTGTCCAGGTAAATCGCTCCAGCGACAGATTCAAAGACATCACCTAAGGCTTTTGGTACTTCGATATCTTCGGGTTGTTGACAATCATCATCTTCACTACGAAGTAGTAAAAGTGCTGATGGATCTCTAAGTTTACCATTCGATGCATGATGTTCAACAAATCGTGCGATAACTTTATGAAGATCAGCTGTTTTATACATGAGATATTTATGAAATTCATATTCAACAGCTAAAGAAGCAAAGAAAGTATTATTTGCAAGTGCTGATCTTAGATCGGTTAGGACACCGGGTGAATGTTGTCTTGGATCATCGAAAAGATGTCGAGTGATTAGAAAATCGAGAACAGCATCACCAAGAAATTCGAGTCGCTGATAACAATCAGTTACCCGATTGTCGGAAAATGAATTATGGGTAAATGCTTGTACCAAATAAGCTTTGTCTTTAAATTCGTATTGAATGATTTGCTTCTCAAATCTATCCAACCCATAGGAAAGGTACAATTTATCAAGATCATCTTGCGGTGCGTTAGGAAAGAGCGGAGGTTTGATTGGGTTTAACCATCGCCAAAGTCCAGTTTCCGGTTGAGGTTCTTGAACATCATCCATAACCATAACTCCCAACCAACGCATGAAAAGTAAAGCACCTCTTGGACCACATGAGATGAGATAAGCACCAATTAGCGCTTCAACACAATCGGCAATACTTTTGTCGGGAATTGATTGTTGAGTTGAAAGACAGTTGAAAAATTTTTCCACCTTCTCACCAGATTCACTGGTAGAAACTTCAAGATTAAAATGACCACCAGGTATTTTGAAACCGGGTGGAAGCCAATTATCGGAAGGTTCAAATTTAGTGGCCACCATTAGTTCACCAAGATTTTTCTCAGATCCCAATTCGTACAGTTTTAAATTACTAATTTGGGTACTTCGAAGTTGAGATAAGATACCTTCGTGTTGATGACATCGACAGTACATGAAAACGGTGACCGCATATTTCAGGAAAGAATCACCAACAGTTTCAAGACGTTCCAAGTTAATTCCGTCACTGGCATTCGACATGGTCAATGCTTGAAGTACCATTGCTGGACTTGGACCGATTTCAGGATCAAACTCTTCGTTCAAAGGGTCAAGGTGGATATGTTTTGTTTCACTCTCTCCAGAGACGATAATTTCATCTCGATTTGGTAATAGTTCACCGAAACTTGGAATCACTTCTCCAAGAGTTTTTTCATCGCGATCCAATGATTGTTTATCAGTTTTAGTTGTTTTAATTGTTGACGAATTGTTATGTTTTGGTAAGACGATTGGTTTTAAAACTTCTAGATCAGCATCTAATTTCATGATAATTTCATTTATAGATTCATCTTCATTGGATATTTCATCATTTTGGACAATAATTTCATCGTATGAAAAAATGTTCTCAATTTTTTCTTTATCCAGTTGAGCGTTTGAAACAATATTCGGGTCAACCCATGGATCGGGAATTTCAATTTGATCATAAATTGAAATTTCATCACTTTTTTCAGGCTCATCATTGTGACTAGATAATATAAGACCAGAGGTTAAGATATCTTTACATTTCTCTTCCTTGGCAATTTCAATGGTATCATCAGAATCGGGAATTAATAGTTGATCTTGATCAAAGTGATCTTCAAAATCTTGATCACAATCATCGTCTGGATCTTCATCTTCATCTTCATCTTCCGAGTTATCAAAATCATCATATGCATGAATGTTTTTCAAATCCTCAGACAAGTTTTGCAAATCAACTCCGATACCAGTAGTAATTAAATTTAATCCAGGAATATTTAGATCAATTATTGTGTTTGGTCCAGTTGATTCGGCCATCCAATTGTTGGTGGTATCACCATTGAGATCAAAGTTACTGGGTGATCCAACACGGAAGCCATTGCTTTGCTTAATTGGGTTACCATCATTATCCAATTCTACAATTCTTGGTTCATCATCAAGATCATCATCAAGGTCGTAATCAATTCCAGCATCGAAAGACATTGGATCAATTTCAAATGCTCCACCCAGGTAATCATTTTGATCCCAATTACCTACTGGAGGAATTTCACCAAGATCATTATCTTCCTCTATGGGTTCAACTTTGTAAATATTAGGATCAAACGTATCAATTAATAGATCATCATTGTTATCATTATCCATTGGAACCGGAACTGGATTTACTGAAGGAGATTCGATAGGAATACTTTTTGAAGGAGCTGAAGGGGTTGGTGGGATGTTAGTGGAAATCGATGAAGATGGTACACAATTTTTTATCGAATTTTTTGACTTAGAGGTTTTAGTATTTGAACTTTTTGCTACCGGGAGATCAAATTCATCATCGGGTTGATTAAGGACTTCGGTTAAGGACCAACCAAAATCGAGTGCAGGCCATGAAAATTGGGGATCATCTTTAGTTACTCCAATTCCAATATCTAACGCAACTTGTCGTCTTAATTGATCAGCTATTAAAAGATGATTAACTCGATATAAAATACTTGGAAGACAAACAGCTTTATTCCAATAGGAAGCTGAAAATGGATGGACAATACATAATTCGGGTACCAAAAGTTGCTTCGATTGAAGGTTTTCTCGTTTAGCAGTTCGGGTTTTCTCAGTGCTCTTAGGTAAAGGCATTCCTTTCCTGTTGACAAATCTTGGCGTTAGGAAGTTGAGACGAGCTGAGGTATGATCGACATCCAATAGGGATTGATCTTTATCGGTGATCTCGATTCCATATTTGGATAAATAGTAATCGTAAAAAGTTGCATAGGTATCGGTTGGAAATGGACTGGTTGGCCTTAGATCATCACAAATATTGGCAACATAAAATGGTAATTGTTCATTAGCTGATCGATACCAGGGTTTAACGACAGCATCTTCGAAAACACTTCTATCAAATTTGAAATCAGTCTTTTCTTTAGTGTGATCGGTTCGCTCATAGATTAAAACTTTATCGATAAACATCCAATCAATGGAAACACAATTAGAATCAATGGTAAATGAGGTAGGAAGACTTTTCGAAATTGTTGGCATGTAATTTACTGGAACAATAAGAATCGTTGATGGAGCACCGATTGGATCATAGACCATTGGATCTTTAACCAAATGGAGAACGTCATTGAATGTAAATCGATGGAATTGTTTCAACTTTTCAATTTGATCTTCATCAAATTTAATCTTTTCCGCTGTCGCTTTCATGGAGACAATCACTTCACCTGATCGAGTATAAACCGGGAAATCACAGATTCTAGAAATTCTTGATTTAGTAATTAATCCAAAGAATCGAGGTGAATCCATTGGGTCAACAAGTTTTCGACCTCGAGTATTTTGATCCTCTGGAATTGGACAAGTTAAAGACATGAGAAAAATATACATGTAACATGGTTCACCGGGTATGATGTCTCCTCCCTTCAATGATTCAGCGACACTTTTTTGATAACTTTGTCGTCTCTTCGTAGTACCTGGTCGATCAAGAACATTCTCGCCACGGGGACCTCGCTTATGACGCTTTATACCCAATTCTTCAAGGCACTTACTATTTTCTTTACCAACTGGCCAAAGGAGATCATTTATTTCACCAGCAGCGTGAAGGGCTTTACATGCTTCCAAAGCCGCTGATCGTTGAGCGATTTCATGGTGATTAGCTGGTTGACCGGTAATTGGACCTCGAACCGGTGAATTGGTTGGAAGGTAAAGTGTACACTGAATTTGTCCATTTTCCAGAGTTTGATTGCTGTAAATTGGAACTAGATGAGTAAATGTATCACTTGGTAATCGAGTACAATAACGATGAAGGATGAACATTGAATTGGCCAACTCAACAGTCGCTTCTTTACATGTTTTAAATGGCGGAAATTCATCGGCCAGTAATTCGAAGGGCGGAGGTCGTTCAATTTCTAGTTCTTTACTTTTCATGATATTTTCCAGTGATACAAATTCACTCAATTTTTGTTCACATAAAGATTTCGTTGGCTCGTTTTTGGGTATAAACAGAACATATTTACCATTATCTGTTCGTAACTTTTGTTTACTGTTAAGATATTCGGTAAATGTTGACGGAAAATCGTATCTTATGACCAGATTACATTTGGTCACTTCGAGTTCTTCTTCGTATGAAGTTGAGATCACAAGTAGATTTACTTCTTGTTTACGATATTTATGCATCATAGTTTCCAAACGAGAAGTTGATGGGAAGTCTTTAGATTTGGACATCTTATTGTTGGGGACAAGATAGTCGACTTTAAGGAAATTAAACTGTTCAAGATTTTCAGAAACACCGGAAAGCCAAGCACATAAAAGTCGAACGGTTGTCCGATCTTTGGCAAAGATTATCCCATGAAGACCTGAGGGATTTTTAACATTTTCCGATTGTAGAAGTTCAGGGTTTGGAATAAAGTCTAAAAGTACTTTCAAAATGGAGAGCATCTTTTCTGACACGTTAACTTGGAGTTGATGGTTAATGTAAAATAGTGATAATTGTTGTCGAAAAATAACTTGAACGTATTGACAGAAAGAGAGAGTTGATGCAAGTATGGAAGACAATTGGACATCCTTACAGTTTATGATAAGTTCAGAAAGTTCCTTGGCATAGATTTCAGCCAATTCCATGGCACAATATGTTCCCATGGTTTTAGTTGTATTGAAAATCGTTCGTATTATTTGTAACAAGGTAAACCCATTGATTCCAGTTCCTTGAGTGAAAACATGTTGACATCCGTTAATCATAGTCTTTAAATCATCCAAAAGTTTACCAATTACATTAGGATTGTAAAGGTCATATGTTAACAAGTAATCATCATAATAGATAATTTTACCCTTTGGTTTAACGGATAAACGATAAGACATTTGGAAATCGGTACTGGTGTTTCTCGAGGCTTGAAGTTTCTTCTCCATTTGACAAATTATCGCTTCAATTTCGGCTGGTTTTCGATTACATTTCATTAAACTGGGTGAAAATGCAAGTAAACGTGTGTTTAAAGGATCACAAGACTGTAGAAAAATGGATAATTGTTTATAACTATCATCCGTTAAGACTAAATGGCAATTATTGAGAATAATTAGATTAATGGTTGATAATGTTATCAATGATCTAGAGAGGAGGGTTGAGAATAATGAGCAGTTCATAACAAGAACATGATGATCAGCAATTAGTTGATTCCATGAGTTAACATCCATTTCAAGATAATCTTCATTTTTAACCAATTCTTCAACTGAAAGGTTTGTATGATTTCGTATTGTTTTACTTTCCAAAGCAATTTGATTAGGATCAGAAACCAGGATAACACTTCGTTTACCAATTGTCCCATTAGATTTTCCATCTCTAATCTGGTAACTAAAATGATTAATGACACAAAGAGAAATGAAACGACGGTAACCATCATTATCGAAAAATGTTACTACATTTTTCTTTTTAACCTCCTCGTAAAGATCCATTGTGACACTCGGAGCAAATGGAGAATACGAACAAGCCGATAATCAATATTAAATTTCTACTAATCAAGAAACTTAATCAAAAATCATTTAGAATAGAAACTAAATATTAAATGGAAACATCGAGAAGAAGAAGATGAGAAAAAGCACCAACAATGAATGAGAGAAAATGTTCTCCCAAAATCAATTATAAAAGAAATAATCTCACAGTTGGAAAGAAGACAATGTATTAGTTATAATTAGAGAAAGAAAAATAATTTGATTACAATTGATTTAGAAACAAAACAAAACAATTAGAATTAGAATCACATTTAAAAGTCAAATATTCTCAAAAGAGAAAATAAAAAACATGTTTTCCAATTGAATTTTTTTTTCTTCTTCTTTCGATTAATCGAAAAATAAAATAATCGAATAGAATTTTTTTTTTCTTCTATTGATCAATTTTGATGATGGAAAATGAAATTAACTTTTAAAGAAACAACTATTGACACAAATGGAGAGCAATTAATTAAACTAATTGACGGTAATTCTGTCCGAGATATAGTTACACAAAATTTGATAATCCGATTGGTTGGTATAACAAATTGTTCACAGTTTTTGTTGATTCATTTCAAAATGGAAAGTAAATAATTTTGTTTGATTGTTTGCTTTTCTAATGTCACAGTATTTAAATTGGTGATGTTAAATGGGATAAATATAGAGGATTGAACTGTTTAAATTGTTGCTGTTGTTATCGTTTCTTTGGTAAAGGTGCCATTAAATTAGAGAGTTGATTGTAACTTGAAGGTGAACCTTTGGTGGTTTTGGATAAAGATGGCGGATTGAAAAAGTAACTGATCATACTTGAGCCGGAAGGACTTCGTTTAGTTGTGGTCATCGTTTTGGTCACTATGTTTGTGGTCAAGCTTTTAGGCTTCGGAGGCTGTTGCGGGGGATAAGTGATTGTTTTCGTTTGTATGGTTTGGTCAATGACGATCTTCTGTTCCGTTGGGTTGGTCTCTTCTCCTTTAATCGTCAACGGAGTACCACCAATACTTTCAGCAGCCGACCTGGTATCGTATTTGAAAAGCGCTGCTGCCTCACTTGCTGCACTTGGTGAGACAAGACCAGCATCGATTATCTCACTTGGAGTGACAACACCCTTTTCAATCATTGATCGGGTAATTGGGGCAATATTTTTACCCCGACGACCACAAATAAACCAACCACAAAGACCCAAGATAATAACTAAACCCGCTGATACAATAAAAGCACCAACAGAATAATTGATAAAAATGTCTTGTTCTAAAGTGAGAAAAGAAAAATAATCCAAGGATTAAATTAAGATTAACAAATTGTCCATGACAAGGTTAGAAAAACAATTTAGAATGTTCAAATTCAATTCCAAATTCTGTCTTCAAATGGACCGCTAACATTTCAGCCAATAGTAAAACGAAGGTGTCACTAGGGTTTTGAAATGATCGGCAAAATTTTGGATTTTTTTTTGTCTCTTGTTGTTTGTTGATTAAATTTAGAAAATCAATTCATTTAACTAAATTGTTCTTTTCTCTTATAATTAAATTTAATTAGTAAATACCTGGTAAGTCATCATCAATGTTTATAATCTGATCATTACTCGACATTGGTTAATGTTATAAGATGTTGATTCCAATTTTAATGATAACGAGTTGTTGTCTTTTTGAATAACATTTTCACCAATTTTTTTATAATCTTTGTTGATTGTTTTCACCATTTGATTGTAATTACAAATTGTTAACTGTATCAAGTCACTTGATTAATAATTTTATTTGTGTGTTGACATTTTTGTTGTTTGTTTCCTTTGTCCAAGTTAAATAATTTTTTCTTGTTTGACTTTTTTTCTCTTTTTTTGATTTTGTTTAATAGGAAAAACAAGTTAACATCTTTACAATGGGTGTCACAGATTATTTGAAGTCAATGGAATCCCAGTATCCAGAGTTTACTGAATATTGGACTGCATTTGAAGGATATTATAATAAAAAGCTTTGGCATCAGTTGACTAAAAAGATTGAAGCTTTTGTTACAACACCTGAAGCTAATCGAGTTGATTTGGTTTCATTTTATACCAATTTTATTGCTGATTTTGAATCAAAGCTTAATCCATTAGCATTGGTTGAGATAATTGCTTATATTATCAAAGAGATGAAAGATCACAAGGAATGTTTACTTTTCTTGGAGAAAATGAAGGATAAGGTTAAAGCAAATCAAACTGCTTCTCTTCTTTGTAGCATTTTAATGGCACAATTGAAATTGGCTCATAAAGAGTTAGATGGTTAGTTGGTCTTATTTATTTCTATTGATTAGTGTGTTGAAATTTTTAAATCTATTATTTTACTAATCTTCTTTTCTTTTTCCTCTTTACACAATCATAGGTGTTAAACAAATTATTGGTGAAATTGGTCCAATTATCGATGAACAAACTGGTATTACTCCGATTCATGGAAGATATTTCCAACTTTCATCTGATTATAATCAGATTATTGGTAATCATGTTGAATATTATCGAAATGCTCTAAGATTTTTAGGATGTACCAGTATTGACAATGAATCTGAGGAGACTCTTGAAAATCGTGCTTTCGCTTTAGCTCTTGCAGCTCTTTTGGGTGAATCTATTTTCAATTTTGGTGAACTTCTTCAACATCCAATTGTTAACTATTTAAAGCATAAACATAATTGGGTTCTTGATCTATTATGTGCTTTTAATGCTGGTGATCTTGAAAGATTTGAAAAACTTAAACCCCAATGGTTTGGACAAGCTGATCTTCAAAAACATGAATTACAATTGAGGAAGAAAATTTCTCTCCTCTGTTTAATGGAGATGACATTTGTTAGCAATGATGGAATACTAACTTTCAATGAGATCGCAAAGAAAACTTATCTACCCGAAAATGAAGTTGAATTACTAGTTATGAAAGCTCTTTCCCTTGGATTGGTTAAAGGAACCATCGATGAGGTTGAGAAAAAGGTTTATCTCTCCTGGGTACAACCTCGAGTTCTGGATAAACAGCAAATTAACTCATTAAAAAGTAGATTAGAACATTGGTCTAAAGATGTTAGAAAAATGGAAATTCTATTGGAACAGAAAGTGCAAGAGATTATTGGATAAAGAAAATAACAACAACATCCCTTACAAGCCAACATGAGAACAGATGAAACAATGGAAAAACAACAAATCGTGAAAAAGAAAAAAAAAATTTTTTCTTACCTTTATTACCTGAGAATATAAAAAAATATATTAAACCAATTTAAAAGGAAACCAAAACAATTTATAAATTGAGAAGAAAAAAAAACCATTTCCTTCAAAATAAACTAACATTTAACTTTGGGCTCTCTCAGATACCACATTATCTTTCATTCATGTATAATTTTCAATTCATTTCAAATATTTCGAAAATTCTACTAATTAATCCATAAAATTGATTAGAAATTAACTAATCAAAGTTGCGAAAAATTTCAAAAGAATTACTATTTGAATTGGCCGCTTTTCGTAGATGAACATGTCAACCAATGAGAGCGATTTGTTTACATGTGAGAGAAAATTTAATTTTGTCAAATTTGATTTGATTGGAAATTAATTTCTTTCTATTGATTAATTTTTCGTTCATTAATTATTCGAAATTAATTTAATGTTTTTCCGGTAGAAATTCATTCAATTCAATGTTCCAATTCTATAAATGATTACATGGTAAGTGTATTTGTTTCATTTTTATTGAAATTCTTAAATTGAGAAAAAATCTCTTGATTTAATTTTATTGTTCTAAATTGATTTTAATTTGTATTTAGATTGTTTGGAATATTTGATGGTTGCAACATCTTTTTAATTAGAAGATGAGCATTTCTAAGATTTGGAAATCAAGTTTAACTCGGTATAAGAATTGGTATTCATCATTAAATAAACCGATAGTTATACTTTCATTAACGGCAACTGGATTAATTGGAATCTTTGGTTATAGAGTTGGCGAGAATTATTTCTCAGTAACTAATCCACTTTATGTAAAAGGAGTGGCTCTTTTCCGGAACAATCAGATTGTCACTGATATTGTTGGTGATCCAATTAAACTTAAATCGATTAAAGGTTTATTAAGTCTAAAATATGCCATGAAAATGGAGGATAAGGTTGTTTTTACCGTTGAATTTAAAGGTAAAAATAACAATGGAGTTTTAACAATTTATGGCCTTAAACTGGAGGACGAATGGAATATCCAAAGATTAGAAGTTAAATTACGTAAAGAATATTATTACAAGAATTATATAATTTACAGAGATGCTAAAAATGATACCGAATCAATTTTCCTCTGAGTTAATTGTGTTCCTAGAGAAACTCGTCCATGTTAAATTTGTAATATGTAATATAACAAAGAAGAGAAAAAAATTAGTTTAACCAAACCAATTAAACTAACTAATCGTTGGATACACAATCGGATTAATTGGTGAGAAAAAGGAAACAAATAACTCGTTCATAATAAGTTACCCAGCTGATTGTTAAGTTAATTAGCAATAATTGTTGCTGAGCAACTACAAAGACCTTTGACTCATCATCGTTGAATTGGTTAACAGCAAGTGTTTTGTTTCCCAAGTTAATTGGATTACAGTTAATTGTTTCCTTCCTTTTCCCATGTAGATTTAATTAATTTAAATTCTCGTGATGAATTAACAAAGAACAGTAATCATGGTAACAGTGTCAACAATAGAAATCGATAGAAACATAAGTTGGTGTGATTAGAAAAACTAAATCAAAGGTAAATATATTTTAGAAAAAACGTTTTTTTTTATTCTATTCTTTGAAATTTGTTCTTCAAAAAGAACAAAATTTATCGAATTTTTTTTCTTTTCCATAAATTGATTATAATGTTTATTCTCTATCTTTATGTCAACCAGATAATCTCAACTTAATCTCTCGCTAATCTCTAATGATGTTTTCCTATCTTTCGTATCATCTGTAGGTTTTAAAAGCTGTTCACCCTTTTGAAGACCAATTAAATTGTTATGACGAGAGTTAATTAGAGGAAAAATTCATTATATCGGAAGGTAATTGTTGTCCTACAAATTTTATCTCTTCTTCTTCTCATTTAATATCAACTGTATCTCTGTGTTTTTTTTTCTTCACCTTTTCTCTTCCAATCCTGATTAGGTGATTTAGTTAAGTGATTATCTCTCCCTCTTGTGATTGTTGGTGTTTTACTGTTTCTTCATAAAGAGCTGACGTTATGTCAAATCGGAGGAAATATTGTCATACAATTGATGAAGATGATCTACAACTTGAATCTCAACCTCAACCTCGACCACATGTTCATCAAAGATCCAAGACATGGTTAACTCATCAACAATCTATTCGTAACACAAGATCGGTGGCAAATAGTTTTATCCTTGGTGGTAGAAGAGGCAGAGGAAAAGGAAAAGGAAGAGGAGGCGGTCCATCTTGTTCATCATCATCTTCCACTCCATCAACCCCCTCAACAAGAAAAACAACATCAGTTCCACCAAGTAGAATATCACCTTCAACAACATCATCATCTGTATCTTCTAGTTCACTTTATTCAATTGTCTCACCAACACGAATATCAACATCATCTTCATCCTCGAAAAAAGTGTTGTCCCGATTTTACAGTGTTGAGGAAATTCTTGGTCGCCGTGAATATCAGGGGAAAATTGAATATCTACTCAAGTGGCAAGGTTATTCAGATCGGTTTAATTCTTGGGAAACGGCGATTAATCTGACCCAAGATTTGATCATTGAATTTGAAATGTCCAGTCCAGCAATGGAAATGTTATCCAAGGAACCAAAAGAACCCGTTATGCTGAAAGATACGCCGATCAAAATATGGGACATTCGAAAGGCCAAAAATGAAGAATTGGAATATTTTGTTCAATGGAAAAATGAATCTGATTTTGATTGGATCGTTGGGACAATCATGAGACAAGCGTTTCCTAGTTTAGTGATTGAATTTTATGAAAGAATATCCAAACTTGTTGATTAACCATTTTGTCTTCGTATATTTTTCAACTTCTCTCCTCTTCTAACATTTGTAAATTTTGTTCTGTTTTTTCAATTTAATCATCAATCATCTGAAAACCAGAATCACAATTTAGGATCAAAATCCTGATTTTGATCAACCTGATTTGAAATGTCTTCCAATTACTATTCTATTTTATGTGTATATTTTTTACTCCTTTGTCTTACCTCATCTTTGACACAATTATCTTAATCATTAATTACCGATCTTTGTCCATTACAAAAACTAATTCCACTTTTCCGTCTTAATGGAACGAGAATGAAAAAAATGAAGGAAAATGTCACACTTATTGTATCCTTTTAACTCCTTCAACAACAATTGTTTTTTTTATGAAAATTCCTCTTAGAAACTAATAGAAAATTAAAGTAAAATGATCAATTTGATTAGAATTTAATTTCAATTGTAGTTAATTTGATTTTCGCAAAAAAACAAATCTCTTTGTTTTCACTTGTGATCACATGTTTTCTTTTCCCGCCAAAGAAAAACAAATGTTTCTCTTCATTTGAGTTTCTTTTTATTTTGAATCATTTGTTTTTCTAATTTCGTTTGATTTTCTTTTAATTGTCTTGTTTTAATTATCTTTTTTTTTCTATTTTAAATCATGGATGATGATTTGGGTTACGTTAATCTTGTCGATTCCGAGGAGATCCTAAGTGAATTTCTGGATGCTGGTGTTAAAATAGCAAATGAAAAGATTGTCGATGAATGTGAGTAACTAAATTTGCTTTGTGATTTTCCCAAATCGGATTAATTTATTTTTCTAATTATTTTTCATTCTATTTTGATTTTTTCTCTATAATTTACCCTGTTTGCCCTTCTTTAATCGTTAAATCATTTTACCAGTGAAAAAACTGAGCATTGAACATAATCTAACACCCGCTGATCTTTATGCCCAATGGTTATCCTATACCAATAAGAATCCGGGTATTGAAACATTGGATTCTCATGTTTTGGATGAACTTAAAGCCCGAATTCATTTGAGTAAAATCAAAGCCGCTCAACACAGCTCATTGAAGGCCAAATTTGTTCCCAAAATAAAGCCCAGAATTGAGACTGACATTTTGGAAACTTATGTCTCACTTGGTAAGGTTAAGAAAGAGGTAAGATCATTGCTCTTTGAATGATATTAAATCAGTTATGTTATTGAATTTTTCGCTCTTCTTTTTCTGTATTAGCCCGTGGACGATGAATTCAAAGCTAGTGATCGTGAGGACAGTTTCGTTGAGCTCAAATCGCCTCAGATTAAAATTAAAAGTGAACCTGTTGATGAGCCCATGGAGCAAGTACAAATTGCTGGAAGCTCTCCAAATTTCTCAAATGTGGAGAAATTTTTACCAACAAGGATTAAGATTGAAAGGATTGAAGACAATCAAGAATTAGCTGTTGAATGTTATGAGAATAAAGAGATGAAATCAGATCCCGATGATGATTTATACAAGAAAGAGATTCTTTGTGAATTTGGCCGAAAGATTCCATCGAAAGCTTGGATCTCTCTTAAAACAGAACGAAAATTAACATTCTCACCTTTCGATCCCATGAGACATTTGTCTACAGAAGAGAAATTCTTTGATTGTAATGTTGGAAAAAGTAATGAACTTATGGATCTCATTTTCTTCCAAATGTATGATATTTTCGTTGAAGAGCAACGTGAAATGATTGGAGATTTCGAGAAACCTCAACCTGGTGAAATTATTCTCTTTGGTAAACTACGAATGGACATTAAGGATGAATTTGATGATAAACTGGTTGTTCTTTACCAGCATAGTAGTTGTAAAAAACAATATAAACTTGATCTTTCCCGTGTTAAAGATTTCTCTTTGTTTCCTGGACAATACGTTTCAGTTCGTGGGGAAGTATCAGAGAAAAGGACAATTCGTGTCTCTGAGATAGTTGATACACCTTATCTAATTAGACCCTTTCCAAAACAACCAAAATTATTTGCACCAATCAATATTGTAACCGCTTCTGGGCCATTCCATTTACCCAATTCTGATGATTTTACACCGCTCACAAATCTACTCGATTATTGTATCAACTATCGACCTGAAGTACTCATTTTATTTGGACCTATTCTTGAGATGACATCAGCAATGTTTGACTTTTTCTCATTTGAATTGTTTAATAACGCAATTAACATGATCAGTGAAAAACTATTAGATGTTGGTATTAGAATTGTCATTGTTTCCTCTCCAAAGGAATGGCACACATCCCCTGTCTTTCCAACTCCACCTTACAATGGTTATTGGGATAATATTGAATTCTATCCTAGTCCATCGGTCATCGACATTAACGGCCTAATCATCGGTCTATCTTCTGTAGATATTACTCTCCATCTAACTAAAATTTAATCGAAAGGTGAGTAAAAGCTTTAATCAACAATAAGTTCTAAATGAATCTTTTTTTCCTTTTCTAGTCGTGGATCATCTGAAACTGGAAATCGTATCAAACGAATCTTAAGACACGTTCTAGTCCAGGGCAGTCTTTATCCTCTTTATCCTTCAGCGGACGAGGTGACATTCGAAACAACCAAAATGGACTATTGTCGATTCAGTCAAACTCCACACATTATAATTATTCCCTCGATGCTTCGTAACTTCATTCATGTGAGAATCATTTCTATTCTAATTGCAATTTAACCGACTAACTTTTCTCTCTCTCTCCCTCTCTCAGTCAATCGAAGGTTGTGTCTTCATTAATCCAGAAAGAGTGCGGAAAAACACTGTCGCTCGGATACAAGTATTTCCATGTAAATCTCACCAAGCGATCGTTTCCAAAGATGAAATCGTAAGACCAGGAACCATCGAATCCTCAATAAGTGCACAAGTCATAAAAATCTAACAACAATCAACCGAATCCACAAAGAAAAATCATAACTTTTATAAGTATTTTTTTAAACAAAAACAGAAGAAATCAAATGGAAAAAAGGAAAAGATTTCTAATTCTTAAAGCTTTACATAGAAAATATAATAATAATAATAATCGAGGAAAATATCTTGTCATCATATTGATTAAGACAACGAAAAGCATGTTTAACAATACGATTAATTTGTCCCTTTAAGTACCATAAATACAATCAGTATCTTGATGAGAAGCAAAAATAGTTCAATCATCATCATCTTCATCCTAATGGCACTTTTTTTGTTCATTGTTACATGAATCTAATTGAATCACTTGTTTAACTGTTGAAAAAGTGATTACTTCTGCCACCGTTGTTGGTGTTGCTGGTAATGTTTTTAACGTGATTGTTTTGTTGATTTAATGTACTATTGGCACCGGAATTGTTACCATACTTTTGTAAACCCGCTTGAAATGCTCTTTCAACCGTTGTCCACATTTCTAAAACCTTTTCATGTAAAAGCGGCTTCCAGTCAACAACAAAGTGATCATTTCGCTTACGACGACCGCACAAGGCAGTATTTGAGGTCACCAGAGCGGTAAAAAAAGTCGTTATAATGGGAATGAGAAAAGCTCCAAGACCGATAACAAGTAATATGGGTAACACATAATAGAAATCTGATCGATCCATTCCGCCATATTGTCCATGTCCATTGAAAAGATGAAAATCTTCATAACCTCGTCTCTCAAATTGTTGCTGTTGATGATGAACATGATGATAAGGATACAATTGATACTTATGATGGTATTCATCTAGATGAGAATGATGATTATGATGATGATCCCATCGACGTCGAGGAATATATTGAATCGCTTGATGGAAATGTTTATTCAATTTATTCTTGATTGATTGTCGTCCATTCGATGAAAATAAATCACTTGGTTTTTTCGATTCACTTGATGATTCATCTTCCATCGGCGATTCTTCAGCTAAATCTGTTATCCCGGTGGGCGAAGCGATTATCCTTCCATAGTGTCCAAAATGATGAAGTCGAGCTGATTGTTCATTTTGATCTTCATTATTATCATCATATTGTTTTCCTTCAACAGCTGATTGATCATCACATTGACACCAAGTTAAAAGGAGGCAAAGAAATACACAAATAATCAACATTATCATCAAAAGATCAACTCGATGATTAAAACATTTTGAAGTTCCTTAGGGAAAAAAATCTCTTAATTAGTAAAACTTAATGACAATTAACTGTATAGTCTCGATATGTTGAGATTGAATTAGGATCAACTAAACTTTTCCAAAACTTAATCAATTCACAATTAACATGGTAAACTTATCATTTTAGTGAAGACATTAATTATAATTTAACTTTGATTGTCAATCCGAAAATTGTTGTCATCAAGTTGAGAGTCACATTATCAACTGAATCAACTGGTTATCCACAAAGAGACAAAATTTATGGAACACAAATTAACTTTAATGATAAGATAATTGTCTAATTGTTAATGAAATTATGATGAACAATTAAGTAGACCTTAACCTTGATAGATTTGTAAGGAAAACCAACCGGAACATCAGAGAATCAGTGGCACAATTAAGAGAGAATCTAATTGTATTTTCTATTGTATATGTTTACAGAATCGTGTTGATTATCTTGAATTACTATTTAAAGATTTAGTAATCAACTATTATCACTGGAAAAGGTGTTAATTGTTGATACTTGATGAGAATTAACATTTTCCACTCTTACCAACAACAAACATCTAGAGGAAGAATAAGAAATTATTATTAAGGAAAGCGTTCAAATCTATTGTGATTAGTGAACAATTAAAAATGAGAAAACATAATTTAAACCAAATTTCTTGATTCTCTATTAATTGTTGTCAATAGCTCAATCTAATTATTTCAAACTAATAACTGGGTGTTTAGTTAATTGTAGAAGGCGAAAAAATGAAATCAAAGGTTACCTCTTGATAAAGAGAGAGAGAGAGAGAGAGAGAGAGAGAGAGAGAGAGAGAGAGTCAAAGACTAATTTTAGTTAATTGTTGTTGAAATTAGTAAACCTCAAAATCCATTATAATTGATCCAGAAGAATTACAATTAATTGATGAGTTCATGATGAGTGAAACAATATGAACAATTAAGATAATTAAGTTACAATCAATACATTTTGAAAGTTTTGAGCGTTGGAAAAATCTTTGATGAATCAATTTAAATTAATAACAGTGAATCACAATTAGATATAAATTTTGTTCGAGAGTTTAAATCAGCAATTAACTAATTGCTATCACTCATTCTCTGGCCAATTAAAATCAACGTTACAATATTCATTCTGAGTTCTTGGACTTCTTGGAGACTGGTTCTTTAATTGTCATGTTGACCCAATTGATTTATGGCAAAATTGATCGCGGGCTGAATTTGTATTACCTAATAATAAATAATAAATCACTTACAATTATTAGTAATAATTTATGACGGACCATCAACTTGACAAGATTATCCAAATGATTAACACATTGATTGTGCTCACCTTTTGATTTGTCCATTTTTCACCTAAACAATCAATGAGCTGATTGATTGACACTCACGTATGCCCACATTTTTTTGTTTCGAGAGGCTTAAAGGTGACAATCATTTAATTAATTATTCATTTAAAAAAATTTGATTTTATAATTACAACTTTGATTGATTTAAATCTACAAATAGATGAACTAATTTACAATCAACCAATGCAATCGAGTAAATAGTTGGATTTACTTGATTGATTGTGTTATTATCAGGAAATGTTTATCAAACTGTTACAATCTAAATTAATTTTATTTATCAATTTAATGAGCTTTTAATTGTTGAATCTTCGGACAAAAGTGTCTTGACATTTCCAATTTCTCGATTTATTTGTGATTTTTTTTGTTCTTCCGTTAAATCCTTCCAATTACGTCGATCAATCTAAAAAGAAAAAAATTAAGAAAAGTTAATCATTGACAGTAAATTTGGATAATTAAGAAACAACTATGATTCTTACAATGATTGGAGTGAAACCAAGTTGCTTGATTAATTTTAATTTGAAGATAAATCTTCCTTTCATGATCGGTGGATCATAACAGTAATGAGATTCATCGACAGGGAATAAAACAGTTCTATGGGAAAAAAGAGATTGATTAACGATTAGAATTTGGGTAAAAAATGATTTAATCGAATAAGAAAATCAATTAACTGTAACTATTACTTACACATGATAATTTTCTAGATCGTGAATTAGATCATCAATCAGGGAAATATTATGTTTCCCTCGAGAAACAAATTTATATGGTTTACCCTGTTTATCCCAAGCGATCACATAATCTAGAACTACGTTGACCTTTGTCCAAACTTTTCTCGTAAAATTTGACCTATGCCCAAGGGTAGAGGTCAATATTTCATCGAAATCATTATCTAAGAGATGCCGATCGGTAAAATGAAAAGCTCGACGAAATTTTCGAACATATTTTTCCAATGATTGTTTGATTAATTGTCCTTCGATCGCTATTGGTACCTCGGAAATTGATAGTCCAGCGTAAATATGATGAAAGGCTTTTAAAATGTGTCGATGTAATTTCATATTTTCACATAGATCATCAAATTCGGGACAAAATTTATTCAAATGTGAATAATCACCGATAATTAGTAAATATGACAAGAGACGAAATTTTTCCTCCTGAACGAGTGATGAAATCTTCATAGGATCTAATAGTATTTTAGATAATTGTTCCCATAATTTTGGCCTTGATTCAAAGAATCGCGATTCACCAAATAACTGCATCAAAATGGTCGGTCTGTAATCAGGATCGGTAAGATATTCATCAGGATGATCTTTTATCCAATTACAAAGATGATTAAACAATTCCACTGGATAATATTGATTAAATCCAAAAAAGGTAAGGCTTTTAATCAATCCTTTACAACCTAATTGTTTTTGATTAGTTTTCACCAGTTTAACCAATGTTTTATAAAATGATGGTTCGAATGACAATCTAACAGAATTGGGTGATTCCATGATTCGTTGGAAAAAATAATCTTTAACATAATTGTCCATTTGGAAATTTGTCTCGTATAATTTTTGCTGAATTATCTTGTAACATTTATCATGAATTGCGATTAAATCTTTCGAGTCAATTTGTTGGTATTTCTTAATTGAAGAAGGTAATTGGATCAATAGAGCCCATGCTAGTCCATAATCAATTGATTCGGTGAAAATGGTCATGTTTTTGATCAATCGATGAAGATATGGAACGGAGGAAGATTTTGATAAAAGAATCCGAGCCAATTGGGAGATTTCGGTGACATTTTGAAAATCGTAACTAAAATCGTCTACACGCCGTTCGACCACATTGATTATCTCTTCACGTAATTTAGTCCATTCTCTGGATTGATTAGCGGATTTAATTGCAAATCCACTTTGCTTCCAAATCCAGATTAGATGGTGAATACCAATTTCATTTAGTCTTCGGCGTATCTCTTGTAACGTTGTTATGGTTAAGTTATCAGAATCGGATAATTTTTGGCTCAAAATGATGGACACTAATGAGAGGAGATTGGCATCGGTTAGAACGTTAATATTAACTACAACTAATTTGGTTAGAAAATCAATCTCATTGGTGGTTAATTTTCGATGGAACTTTTCTCTTGGATCAATTAAATGGGATAATCTTGACAAGAAAACACCGGCGTTAATCCGACCAACATAATCTATGTTATTATAGATCAATTCAAACAGCTTATCCACCTTTGTAATCCGAGATAAATCCTTCTTTAATGTTTCAGCTTTGTGTCTATATTGATTAGCGAAATTTGGATATTCACAACCATCATCAGGTGAGAGATTAAATTTCTCATCATCAGAATCAGAATCAGAATCATGTTTATCTGAACCAAATGATGAATAAAATTGATAACAACAAAGTGATTCTTTGAATGGTAAACACTTTTGATCAACTGAAAATAATGTTACTGGTTTAGTTTTAATCACAGATTTAATTGAACTAACTGTTAATTGACTAATGGCACGAGATGATGAAGATGATGATGTTGGTGACAATAAAGATGAAGATGAAGATGAATTGAACAGTAACATGGAAGTAAATTGTTTCTTATTACAAAGGAACAATTTTCCCCATGGATCAGGTGAATGGATGAATAAAGATGATAAAAGAGATGAAGAACATGATGTTTGATACAGTTTACATTTTAGAATATTCATAATTAGAATAATTAAAGAAAGAATAACAATTAAATTCAATAGAAAAGAGAAAATTAATCATTTGAGAAAAGAAAACAAATCGGTTTGTTTATGTTTCTTTTCCAATGTGCAAACAACGTGATCACTTTTTCTCTCTTCATCTTTGTTACTCTTTTTGAATTTTCTTCTTCTTTTAAACTTGATTTTTTTTTCTTTTTTCTCTTGATAACAATTCGATTATAACAATTAACTAAAATTTTCGCAGTTTTTTATTAAAATCAATCTGAGACATCGATCATTTAGAATTCATTAAATTTCGAGTTGCATGATAAGCTAATGGCCAAGGTTTGATTGTTCCTGAAACAATTGGTTCAATTTGATTGGATTGAACAATTAAACAACCGTTTGAAGTTAATTGTTTACGAATTGAATCAATTTTCTTGTCATCTGTCCCCTTGCAACAATCGTCGATTATAATTGTCCGATAATTTAATGACAGTGAATCTTTGGCTGTGTGATAGACACAAATGTCGTAAGCAAGACCACAAATATAAACATCGGTGATTCCATTGGATCTTAATTGTTCATCTAATTGTGTCCATGTTATCGCTTCATTGTCCTTGAATCCTGAGTAACTGTCGACAATTGGATTGGTCCCTTTGTAGACTTTAATTGCTCCTTTAATCACCTTCAACTGGTCATGTAATTGTGATCCCCAAGTTGATTGGACGCAATGTTTTGGGTAAACAATTTGATTCCTTTCACCAACATGATCGATATGAAAAGTGAGACAATCAAATGGATTAACAATCAACGATTTCTCTTCACAATTTCCATCAACCTGATTACCATTTAATTGTTTTACTTTTCTCAGATGAACATTATCAATGAATGAAATGTGATCTTCTGGATGCCAATCAAGAGTATAAACAACAATCTCAAATGAACATTGATCAATCAGTGAATTGATGATTGGAACAATTGATGAACAATTAACTCCACTTGGAAAATTTTCCAATCCCAATGAACCAGAAATGAAATCATTTTGAACATCGACCACAATTAGAGCTGATTTTGGTTTAATCACAATCGACAACCATTTAGACCACATGGATTTAAATTCATCTCTATTAATACAACCATCGCCATCGCAATCAAAGGTATTAAAAACTTGAATCAATTGATCAGGTGAACATGATGATGAATCTAATTGTTGATTAGAACCATTGAACAATTGATTAATCATCCGAGTGAAACCTTCGAGATCCAATGAACCAAAGGCAGAAGCAAATTCATTGAACATCAAATCACAATCATCAAAATTAGAGTTACAATTAACATTAGAAGACATTTTAACATCAACACCGAACAACAATTAACAAAGCAACAATTTAATTGCTTAACAGTATCACAAACAAATCAATTCAATTGGTAATCAATAAAATGTCAACAAACAAAAATTGTCAACCGAAAACCAGAAAACCCAAAAAAAGGGATTAGAGTTAAATAAAAAATTGCAACTAAATTAATCTTAATTACTACTCAGCTAATTAACTATTTAATAGTTGATTAAAATATTGAATTAAGTGGAAATTGTAATGTTTTTATCACTTAGTCGGTTGATGATTGACAGTAATCGATGATTTAATGATTGGCCAATAAAATTAATTTCCATTGTAAAGATAATTGCGATTAGAAAAAGTAATTTGTTTAATTGTGCTGATTAGTTAATTGTGATTAGAGTGAGTTTCTTTTTTGGTCTGTTAGCCTGGAAAGCTACAGATTTTGTTTAATTGTTTAAGCAAAAAGAGTTCACATAATGTTTGTCATTTCATAATTAAAGTACATGGTTTGATTTTTGTATATAATAGTAGTTATTAAATTGTTACCAATTAAGTCTCTTGATCAACTTTGATATAATGTAGATGATTAAGACGACGGAAGAAGATAAACTAATTAAATTGTTTTGCATTTGATTATTTGAGAAAAAAGAAAGAAAGAGTTTGAGATAAACCTGTGTAAATGATTTAGATCATTTAAATCATTCGTTGGCTCATTGAGTTAGTCTCTAACTTTCTTGATTGATGATTATAATTAAAAGAGAAATATTGAGAAAACAAAAGAAAAAGTATTAATCACTTTCGTAGTTGCTGATTTACAACTAACACATAAAAGATAAAAAGAAAACTTCTAACTATTAAAAATTACTTAATGAGTGTTTAGACCCTTATGGTGTCTTTTAATGGCTGGAAAGATGCATTAGTATTAAGTGAAACTAATCATGATTAACTTGGACGATGGCTTCATAGCAGCACACAATTAAAAGCTTCGAATCGTTTTCTTAATTGCCAGTGGTTTTAAATTGTTAGTTAAGGACTGGCTGAAATAGATGATCGCCATTAGTTGATTCCATTGATTGAAAATCTTGATTAACGAGGTCAGGATTATCGGATTCAGATTTTTGTTGCTGCTTTTTGTGGATTTTGATGTGCTGTTGTTAGGGGAAAATTTGAGATAAAATTTTGATTAATGAGTAAATTTTATTTTTTTTTTGATTAATTGAAATATTATTTAACTAACCTTGTAGCAGGCCGACATTTCCGAGAATTTTTTATGACAAATGTCACAATTATATGGCTTCAAACCAAGGTGGCGATTTGAGTGTTCATTGAGTGATTGTTGTCGAGTAAAAGTTTTACCACAAAGTGGACAAACATAAGGTCGCTCTCCAGTGTGTATACGGAAATGTCGCTCCAGGTCACCTTTAGTCAGAAATTTAGCCGCACAATTGGAGCAATCCCATTTTTTAACACCCTCGTGTCGAAGTACATGTAACCGAAGCTGAGATCGTTGTCGAAACGCTTTGCCACACATTTCACAAAGATATTTCCTTTCGTCCAAATGAAGAGCCATGTGAGTTTGAAGTACTCCAGTTTGGGAGAAGGCTTTGTTACACACTGTACATTTATAAGGTCTTTCTCCAGTGTGACGACGCATATGCACCTAAATTAGGGTTACATGAAACAAGAAAAGATAAAAAAAAATGAGGAGCTGAGAAAGAGAGACAAGATAAATTAAAAACTTGGAAAAGGAAGAAGCATAAAAATGTAATGAATTTTTTTCTTCTAATTAAAAACTCACCTTGAGACTTTTCTTCTCTGTGAACTTTGATCCACAGACTTCACATTTCCATGATCTTTCACCGCTATGAGCTTTAATATGTCGTCGTAAGTTTCCCTTAGTTGAAAATATGGCTGGACATTTGTCACAAGCGAAAGGCTTCTCGCCGGTGTGTCGCCGCTGATGGACCAGAAGATTACCCTTGGTGGAAAATTTTGCTCCACATTCGTCACAAGTAAAAGATTTAGTGTGAGTCCATTTATGACTCGTGTGAGCAGAATGACTGTTGGATATTTTCCCACAGACATCGCAGGTATACTGTTTATCCTCATCATCGTTCACCTTGAGAGAAACATTTCCATTCGATTGGATAGGATTTGATTGATCTAAAATCTTATTATTGTCAACTGTTGTCGCCATTAGGCCATTCGTGGTCGATTGGTTAACCATAAGTGTTTCAAGTGAATTAGTATCAGTTTCCATTTCTAATGAAACGTGAGAGACACCAAATCGATCTATATTTAGACTACTTTCTCCACTTTCGCTGATGAAACTGCTCTCACTTTCCGCTCCAAGATTTTCTCCTAGACTCGAATTACTGTCTTGAATGGATGATTCAACAGTCGTATTATTGTTGAAATGTTGTTTAGGTGATGTTGATTGGATTACATTGGCTCGATCAGTTGATTCCAAAGCATATAAGACATTTGCATCTGTACTTATATCAGTTAGATCACCAATTTGAGTTTCATCAACATTATCAGCAGAAAAGTGAAGAGATTCATTTTCCATAACTGATAATTGATCAACATCAATCTCACAATCGTTTGATTTATTTAGATTTCCATTCATAGAAAGAGTATCATTTGCATCTGTGTCAACAAGTGATCGTGAGTGTGGTGGAGTAGATTGAATATTAGTTGTCCCAGTTGGTGATTGTTCAGAGCTGGATAAATTTAACGATAATGTTGGATCGTTAACTCTAGCATCTGATAAACTGTCTGCTGGTGAATCTAAACCTGTATCCGATAGATTAGTCGACGCAATATCAGGAAAATCGAGTGATTCATCTTCAGGCTGAGCAGTCAAACTTGTTCCACTGGTCAAGCTTGAATCAAAATCAAAATTTTTACTATTTTCAATGGTTTCTACCAATTCTTTCGTCTCTTTATTTAAATCATCATCCCCAAATTCATCAGGTATAAGCGCATTAATGTCAGCAGCACTGTCATTAACAATTCCCTGCAATTTTTCAGAGACAACATTCCAAAATTGTACAGCTCTAAGCTTTTCTTCAGCTGTCATGTCCGGAACCAAGGCCACGGCATCATCAATCTATTCAAAAACAAATGAAATAAAAAATGAGTTTAAAACCACAATGAACAAAAGGCAAAATTATCAATTGAACTCAAAAGAAGAGAGAGAGAGAGAGAGAAACAGGTTGAGTAAATAGATCAAACTCTGCAAGTGTAAATAAAGGTATTAACACAGGATAGAGTTTGAAACCTCTCAGTCAAAATGAGAAGTAAACGAGGAGAAAAAAATGAAGTAAATTGAAAAAGAACAGAAAATGAGGTTACCTTTGTCTTGAAGCCTAACAGCCGAGAGCTGAGGCCTAAATCATCCATGGCCAGTAAATTGGGTAATTTTGTATTTTGAGCCAGGTGATATAATTTAATAATTAAGGCTCTAATTAACTTTTATTACACTGGAAACAGAAGATAAACGTTTTTTAAGGAATATGAAGACCAGTGACATATTTATGGATTGTTTATTGTAGAGTTGAATAGAGAAAAAAACGATAACAACAAGAGTCAGAAAATCATAGCTTATCAATTGAACAGACAAAAAAAGAACAGGAAAAGTAACGAGAGAAAAAGATAGAAAAGTGAAAATTTAGACTTGAGTAAATTGGTAATTTAGAGCCAAGTTTAGACTCTAAACAATTTTCACAGGTTTAGTAAGTGATAAGGTATAAATTAATTGTGAAAAATTAACAAAAGAATAAAAGAATTTAAATCAGTTTAACCGTAAACAATTAATTTATAATTCCAATCAAATACAAACCAAACCAAAACATCAAGTGAACAAAAAATCTCAAAACCAGGCAAGAATAATGGTCGATACATCGATTGACCGATTCGATTGTTAAATGTTTTCTTTTTAAACGATCAACATATGAGTTTAATTGCTGGAGAAAATTTCGCCTCGCAATCACAATTAATTACGATACTAATTAAAGTTAATTACAAGTTTAATTTAATTTAGAACGAGAATTTATTCTCTTCTCTCTAATTGGAAACTCTAAATTCTATGACGTTGACACTTGTTTATCTTCTGTATTGGCCATGTCAAAGGTGACCTAATATGTTACACTCTTGGTAAGTATTGAGAAAATTTTCTTTTCTCTTTTGCCTCCATTTTGTTTTTAGTTGCGGTTTTTTATTTAAAGAATCTTTTTTTTTCGTTTTTTATTCTCTTTAGGTTAGCGTTAATATTTAGGTGATCGATTTGGTTGGACAAGAATTTTGTGATGTGAAGTAGAGACCAGAATTCGTTTGTCGTGTAAAATTGTCTTTCTCAGTATTTTAATTGATGATTTCGGTTTTTCAATTCGCCATTTTTTTTCCTGAGGTCCAACTTTAATCTTCTCAATATTATGTTTGGTTTTCTTTCTAAAGGTTTGAAGGATTAGTGGAGAGAGAAGTTTTTATTGGTTCCAATTAATCAAATGTTCTAAATTTTTTTATTCGTTTATCTTGGAAGGTAAATTTGATTTGACAATGAAATTAGGGCCATTAAATGTGTTCTCAGGTAAACGACCTCCATATGACCTTTCAGCGTTATTTTAAGAATGACCTTTGATTTTTTTCATCTCTACTGGTTTAGATTCAACGAAATCTTGAAAAATGACTTTCAATAACTTGAATGAACAATTTAGCGATTTCACCAAATGGTTACGATCTAAATCAACATCGATATGATTTAGTTTATCAAACTAATCATCTAATCGAATTGAGATGAGATGAAATTTAAGATATTGGTTGTTTCCAATTAATTTCAACTCTTAATTTAATGACGAACACGAAGAGTCCAAATGTTCAATTTCTTTCTCTTCCTGTTTTTCTGCGATTCTAATTGTATTTCCATCAACGATGGTAAAACTCACCAATGGGATACTTAAAAAGAGCTAAAATTGTAAGTTGATTTACTTTTAAATTACAAACAATTAACTAATTATTTTGTTTTTCTGCATTTTTTAGTGTCTCCATCTATTGGTAAGGATTTTTATGATTTTACTTTTTTTGTACAAAAAAAAAGCTTTGAAAGTGAAATTATTTGTCCTCATTTTGATTTAATCAATTAGCATGATCACATTATAATTATAATCATAACCGTTAACTATTATTATCATCTTCCAGTTTTTATGGTTTCATACAATTACGATTTTAAATTGCTCATTCATTTATAATTTGATCACACGAATTTCTTCAACTTTCATTTTCATTGTTTCTTTTTTGTTTTGCAATTATTTTCTAATTTCTTTACGATTAACTCTTAATTCTCTGATTTTCTTCATAATGGAATCCACACTTTTTACCAAAGCGAAAACACTTTGCCGTTCACTGTTACCCTCACCTTGGAGTGACCTATCACCTGAAGAAATAACCATTGAACCAATAACCACCGGTCGATCAAATCGCCTGTTTATCTGTACCCGGCCAATAATCGTACCACAATCAACTAATTGTGATACAATTTCTTCTGAAACCTGTTCATGTTCATCTTCATCATCAACCACCAGTTCCTCATCTCCTGTTATACTTTTATCACCTGAAATCTGTTCCCAACCATCATCATCTTCAGATGATGATTCTGATTACAATCCTAACGGTGACTTAATTAATACTCTTACTAAGCGGGAATCTGCCAGTAAACTTCATAAGGTAATCGTACGTTTCTATGGAAGTGACCTGACAGGTGAAGGTAATAGATACAAATGTGTCTCCGATGAAGAGGAGATTAAAATTTTAACCATTCTATCAGCTCGGTATATGTCACCCAATGTATTGGCCGTTTTTCCCGGCGGACGAATCGATGAGTATATTGAGTCGGTAACTTTTTCGCCCAAACAATTGGGTCATATTGATATTTTAACCATTCTAGCGGGTAAAATAGCTCAATACCATTCGACACCATTTAAATGTGAACGAATCTATGATCTTGTTGAAATATTTCGTGATAATATTTCCCAAGCAATCAAAATTTTATCCACATACGATGAGACAAATCTAAATGATGATCGCTCAGAATCATCAATTCTGTTATTAAGGAAAATTAAAAATTTCCTAACCGGTAAACCTGCTGACCAATTGACCAGAAAATTTGTCAATGTCAAACATAAAACGGTCTTTGCTCATTTTGACCTAAATTATACTAACTTTTTATTTCCCAAAAAGTCAAACAATTTACTAGAAACTAAATCAACGTTTGATGTTATGATTATCGATGTGGAAAACAGTGCAAACAATTTTCGTGGAATCGATTTGGGAAAATTTTTCGCTGAACTTTGTATTGGTGATGGTTCTCAAGATTTATATTATATTCCTGATTCAGCAATTGAAATATTCGTCGATCATTATCTTAATGAATGGAAATCAATAGTCCCTCCTGAACAATATGACCCAGAGACCGATAATCATGATCATTTGCTCCTCGAATTACAAACTGGCTTCTTATACAATACGATATTCAACATGGTCTGGAATGTATTACATCCCAATTTTGGGACACACGATTTCCTCCGCAATACTGCCCTTCGAATCGACGTCTTTAATCACTACAATCAACTATGGTCACAAATCAATCAATAGAATCAACCACTTTCACAATGGAAACCAAGTAATCACTTCAATCGAAAAACTAATCAGTACAATATTTCTTTTTATTCTTTTAATCACTTCCCTTATTCATATATATATATATCGATAATCATTTAAATAATTGACAAAAAAACCGACAATTTATATTGATTGTTTGACAGTTTTTCCACAAAAAAAAATCACGCAAAAATCAATTAATTGCTTCAGGACATTTGAAAAGGTCAACAATTGATTTCTTTTTCTCCTGTTAATCGTAATTATCAAAGACCAAAGTTGATTATTAAATAAAAAAACAAAATGCTTGATATGATTACTTAATTTGATGTAATTTATTTAGTTAATCAGTTGACTACAAAATCAATTCTATCTTTTATCTGATGTTAATAAGAGTTTCAATCAGAATGATTTGTTTTTGTAACAATTATAATGACGATAAAATTAACTCGTCAATTACATGAAGATATAATTAATTAATTTGATAACAATTTAATCCAATGGAAAGTGAAATATTTTCCTAAACCAATATAATTGTAAACACAATTGAAATTTGTGTCAGTCTATAATAAAGATTGCAATTATATTTAATTAGATTGACAATCAACCAACAATCAAGGATAACTTTTAAAAAGTTACGTGTGTTTATATGTTTATTTTAATTGTTAAATTAGGTCGATGATCAGATAGATAAATAAATAAGTGATTTAGCATAATAAAGATTGATAGTAAATCTAAATAATAATAATAATAATTGATTAATTGTTCTAATTATGATTAAGTATTCTCATGATTTTCTCAAGAGCTGTTTGATTATTTTCTTCAAGTGCAAAAGGAAATCATTTAACTAAAACAATTAGTAAATACAAGAGAGATTAATAGATTATTGTACGAATTGAAGTGAAATAATTAACCAAATTAATCATTTTCTATTTTTAATTGTTATCTTTTCTTAAATTGTAGTTGATTTTTCAATCTACAGGTAACGAGATTCATCAAATCCACGAATTTTTTGATTGTAGATTCTGAATTCTTCTTCGATCTCAAAAGGCTTTTCTAAATTGTATTTAGCATTTGGACAATGTTCTAATATTAAACTTTCGATTTCATCGTTAACTTTTAAATCGAATGACAAATATTTAAGATTAGGGGCCAATGAAAGTATCTTCTCCCAAATCCATGAAGCGATATCGGACCAACCGGTCAATTTGATATACTCCAATTTAGGAAAGTTAATTTTACTTTCATCGAGGTCGAGATACAAGTAACCATCTTCTAATATACTAGGATCTGCTATTCCTTGGAAAAACATTTCCAATACTCTTAAGTTTGGACAATGAGTTGACAGATCGGTGAGAAATTCAGTTAATTCAGGATCTATGGTGACAAATGTTGAATTGAATGAAACCTCTTCTAAATTTGGAGCATTTAAAATGATGTCATTGGGAATTCTGCTTGGGAATAACCATTCCAAGGTATTGTAAGTAAATTTGAACACTTTTAAATTGTTCATCAAACAAATTGGTGATTCCAGATATTTGTCCATCCTAATGTCCAGTGTAGTGACCTGTGGTATATTGCCAAGTATCATCTCTGCTTTGATATCAAATACTTCATAACTTTTACCATAGACTTTTGCTTCACATAGATCAAGGTAAATATATTTGGTGTTAATCAGTGAAAGTTGTTTCTTTTTATCTTCCGAATCTGAATTGTAGTCATAATTAAAGTGGAAAACTTTATCAACAAAATGGGTTAAATTTGGTGCAATACGAAGTAGTCCAGGTAAATTAACAATATACTCAGTCTTTTCCAGATTCTTGTATTCACTTTCATACAAATAATCACTGTGATTGACCAGTTTATATTTTTGGGTTCTACAAGCTTCAGTTACCAGATGATGAAACCTTGAGTTAACTACAAGAATATCAAAAAGAATAACGAAAACAAAAATATTAGATTCAAATGAGAAAATGATTAATTTCAAGTTTACCTGAAGCCAAACGAACTTTTTCTCGAATATTAGTTATGTAACTTATAATAATTAACAACAATTCATTAGGTAAATCAGCTAATTGTGTGGACATTTTACATCAAGAAAACAAAGACAATCAAAAATGTGGACAGTTAAACTGAGCTTTACACGTGGTAGAAATGAGAGCTGATTGTGTAGTTTAATCTTACCTAATTATGAAGTTAAGGCGACAATCAAATAAGCATGTGGTCAATTTGGTCTTCCTGTCAATCAAAACCCTTTAAATGAGAAAACAACGCCATCTGTTGGTACCCGAATTAACTAATTTGAAATTAACTTTTTGTTGAAAATTTTCAACAAAACTTTAGCTGAATGTTTGTTTTGTTTTTTGGTTAATTGTTATGGTTGGAATTAATTTTGTTGGTTGTATTTGCTAGAATTTCTCAATGGTGAACAAACAAATTGTTCAATTCGATGGAAAAGATGATCCAACACAAATTGATTAGAATTAGTTTCGTTTATAAAGTTTACAATTATCTTTTTCTCTTTCAATGGTAATTAGCATATTGTTGACTAATCATTTTAGTCACATCAAGTAGAAAACAAGTAAGTACCCATGGGAGATAATATGATGAAATGATTAGACACAGAGAGGAAAAGTTGAATTTCTCATTTCCAACTGGAGGTAATCCTGAAATTGGATAGAAATTGTCATTTCTTGCTTGACATTTGGATGATTAATACATTACCTGTTTTCTTGTTACATCATCCTGACAACAATTTAAAGTAAATTATGAGAAAATTGAAGAAAAACAAAAAGATGACAAAGATATTAAGAGGATCAGAAAAAGAGATAAACAAATAAACCAGTTAAAAGGATAAACCTTCAGGAAGAAACCAACCCAAGTAATTTTATAATGATAATTAAAATCAACCAATTAAGGCGTTTTCAGTCAACAAGTATTCGTAATGATTAGACCAACAATTAACACAATTAACCAAATCAACTGATACAAAACACCTTCCATCAAACAAAGAGATTGAGAGTAAAAAAAGAAAAATAGAAAACAAGTAAAAAGTAAAAAGTAAAGAAAAACATGAGATGAGAATCGAAATTTTCAACCAACAATCAGGTTATCTTAATCTGGAAGATGAAAAGATGGAAAGAAAAGAGAAATTGATTAGAATAATTAAATAATTAATTAGAATAAAAGAGAAACAATTAATAAATAATCCAAAAAGTGATTCATTCATTTTCTTTTTTTTCTATTCTCTGGTTGGGTTTCCCCTTTTTCTTCCCCGATTTTCTTTTCTCTGTCTACTTATCACTTGTCTCTTTCTATTCTGTAAATAACATTTCACTTTCTCTTCTCTCTCTCTCTTTCTCCCCAGACCGTTAGGCTGAGGTTATTATTATTCACTTTTATCAAAATTTAGATAAGTTCTACATTTTAATGTAAAAGTTACGAAATGATTGATAAAACAAGATAATTTGAACTTTAGATAAATTTGTTATTTTTTCATCATCAACAAAAACAAATAAATTTCTCACCTAGTGTTTTTATTTGAACTATTCACTTTGGTTTTGATTTTCTTGATTAACATCAAAAATTAATGAATAATACCAATGAGATAAACATTAAAAGAAGTAATTTTGATGTAATTAGTATAGATCATTAAAGATCAATATAAATAAAATCGAGAGAGAGAGAGAGAGAGAGAGAGAGAGACGAATAGAAACAAAAATGATTAATTCTATTCTAAAGATGATTATTTTGAAAAGGTAAAAATACAATTAACTTACTTGAATTTAGGCCAGCATCGGTTGATGGTTCATCATTCCATCTTGATAAATCGTTACAATAAATTAATTAAATTGTTACAATCAAAATACGATGGTCAGTTTTAATTTAAACTGACAATCAACTTGAAGGATAAATATTGTAACAATTTGTTTATTTTAGGCAAAATATTTGAATTTAAATTGAAAACAATAAAACCATTTACAAAAAATTAACTTTACACTTTGATTGTCATGTTTTAGATTAACAATTAATCTTAGATCCTTGATTGTGATTAAAACAGTTTATTGATTAAAAATTTATGTATTAGATTATATTTAAATCAAACCAATAGAAATGAATCTTAACCAACAATTATCTTTGCTATTTGATTCTTGACTACAATTACTTTAACTCACCAAATTAAGTTGATTAAATTGTCAATTGAAGAACAATACAATGTGATAACATTAGTTTTCTGAGGACAATTTATTACTTCAAATAGAAACTGTTTTGATGGACTTAATTGTGACCATCTAATTGTTAGTTCAGATAATTATAAATCAACTTCGTTTGTTATCAAATCAAAATTAATTCAAGACTCTTATGTTATTTTTAATAACTTGCTGGTTCATTAATTACAATGATTATTTGATTTCCAAATTGTTCGCTAAATTGTTTGATAGTTACACTAATTGTTAGCTTATATCATCTTGATTACAACAACATCTAAATTTGTCTCATCGTTTATACAATTATTATTACTATACAATTATACAATTAGCTTTTGATAAATTTCATTTACGATTTGGTGAATTGTAACAATCAACTTAATTTCATTAACAAAAACAAGTTAATTATTTCTCATCACTTAATTGTCAATTAAATTTAATTTTATCCATCATAAAGAGATAAACTTTAAAAATCAAGTGGAACTGAATTGGAACTTCTACCAAAGTGAGAAAAATTAAGATAATTGTTTTAATAAAGTAGTTTATATTTATCATGAAAGTACAGATTAAAATATCTTGATTTGTTTTCAAATTGATGTTAGATCAAGAAATTAGTTGAGTTTCTTGATTTTCTTTTACTTATATTGTACTTAAGAGTATAATTACCTTTGTGTAACTCTGTATCTATTCATTGAAACTTCTATCAAAGTGAAATTAAGAATTTTTAAAAGTACAATTATATTGACTTTCATGAAAGTGATTAAAATATCTTGATTTGTTTTCAAATTTGATGTTAGATCAAGAGAAATTAGTTGAGTTTCTTGATTTTCTTTTACTATATTGTACTTTCAAGAAAGAAGTTAAATAAAATTACCTTTGTAACTCTTAGTATATTCATTGAAATCTATCAAAGAGAAAATTAAGAAATTGTTTTAATAGTATTAGTTATATTGACTTCCATGAAAGTACAGATTAAAATATCTTGATTTGTTTTCAAATTTATGTTAGATCAAGAGAATTAGTTGAGTTTCTTGATTTTTCTTACTTATATTGTACTTTCAAGAAAGAAGTTAATAAAATTACCTTTGTGTAACTCTTAGTATTCATATTCATTGAAACTTCTATCAAAGTGAGAAAAATTAAGATAATAATATAAGAAAATACAAGATTATTTATCATGAAAGTAAGATTAAAATATCTTGATTTGTTTTCAAATTTGATGATCAAGAGAAATTAGTTGAGTTTTGATTTTCTTTACTTATATTGTACTTTCTAAGAAAGTTAGTTAAATAAAATTAATTGTGTAACTCTAGTATCATATTCATTGAAACTCTATCAAAGTGAAAAATTAAGATAATTGTTTTAATAAAGTACCAGTTTATATTGACTTTCCATGAAAGTACAGATTAAAATATCTTGATTTGTTTTCAAATTTGATGTTAGATCAAGAACAGTTGAGTTTCGATTTTTCTTTATTATATTGTACTTTCTAAGAAAGTTAGTTAAATAAAATTACCTTTTGTAACTCTTAGTATTCATATTCATTGAAACTTCTATCAAAGTGAGAAAATTAAGATAATTGTTTTAATAAAGTACCAGTTTATATTGACTTTCCATGAAAGTACAGATTAAAATATCTTGATTTGTTTTCAAATTTGATGTTAGATCAAGAGAAATTAGTTGAGTTTCTTGATTTTTCTTTTACTTATATTGTACTTTCTAAGAAAGAAGAAAAAATTACCTTTGTGTAACTCTTAGTATTCATATTCATTGAAACTTCTATCAAAGTGAGAAAAATTAAGATAATAATTATAAGAAAATACAAGATTATATTTACTTTCCATGAAAGTCCAAAAATTCCAATTATTAGTATCAATAGTTTAACTCAAAACCAGTAGGTGATTTTGAAAATCGGTTCAGTTTATTTTCATGCAAACTCTTTATACTAGTCACTCTTTGGTCTTGAATTAATCTCTTTATATTTTTTGTTCTTTCTCTCTTTTCTCCTGATGACCGAATGATCTTCGGGTGACCAGTGGCCACTTTTCTATCCAAAGTCTCGTCCTTGTCAAAACAAAATCTTCTTATTCCTCTTTTTTCCTCCTTTGGATTATCTTTCTTTTCTGTCTCTCTCTCTCTCTCTCTTTATCCTTCTCATCTCTCTCATTCCTGTTTCATTTTTTACATGCTATGTAAGTGGTACAGTCAATGTTTCCTCGTTTCAAAATCTATCTTTCTCTCTCACTCACTCACACATTTAGATTCTCTTACTGTTGACAATCCACCTCTCAATCCAGCGGTGAGGATAATCTCTTCATCTTTCATTTAGAGTAAGTAACGACTCGTTTGTCTCTCCCTTTTTCTCTAACGTCTCTTCCATTTGATTGTGACTTTTTAATTTCTCCTTAATTCCTTTTCTTTTGTTTGTTTCTTTCAATTTTTCCTCTTTAGATTTGTCAACTTTCTCCTTCTCTCATCAAGGATTCATTTAATTCCAATGCCGATAACACTGAATGTCTCTAAGTCATTGGAAAACATTTAAAATTGATCTTCTCTCCAGTCTTTTGGTGGGGTCTATACATTGACGTTCTTTCTCTCTTTCTTTTCTCTCTCTCTATCTTTCTCTCTATCTCTTTGATATTACATCCCTTATTTCACCTGATTCCTAATCTCCAGTATTCATATTATAAAAACACTGAGAGCTTATACCAAACACAATGAGTGATTCAAGTTCAGAAAGGGAATCCTTTGTTGCTGGTCCACGAGTTGTTACCATCCTTAAAATTGATTCTGGTTTTGGTTTTAATGTTCGTGGTCAGGTCAGTGAAGGTGGACCTTTACGTAGTATTAATGGTGAGCTTTATGCTCCATTGCAACATGTTTCAGCAATACTGGAAGGTGGGGCTGCTGAGAAAGCTGGTGTTCGCAAAGGTGATCGCATATTAGAGGTGTAAGTTGATCTTTATTTGACTTTTATGCTCATTCATAACCTTGTCACATGTACACCTCATCAGTATTAACTTTTCCCCTTGACTTATCATTTGTTTCTTCCTATGTATCTAATCAATTTCTACTACTTTACTCACAGAAATGGTGTTAATGTTGAAGGTGCTACTCATAAGAGAGTTGTTGACCTCATCAAGTCGGGAGGTGATACATTGACATTGACTGTGATCTCTGTTACACCGAGGGTATGTCTCTGATGATTGAGATTGAAGCATTTCCTACAATGTCTAATATTTTACATTTTCATCTTTTTATTTTAGGAAGCAGAAAAATTAGATCCAGGAGATGATGTTTCAGCCTTCACTTATTATGACTATAGCGAGAAAAGATCTTTACCAATTTCTATACCTGATTACAATTATATCGAAAGAAGTGGCCATAGATTTGTCGTTTTTAACATTTACATGGCTGGTAGACATTTATGCTCAAGACGTTATCGGGAATTTTCAAATTTACACAACAGTTTACGAAAAGAATTCCAAGATTTTCAATTCCCTAAATTACCCGGTAAATGGCCATTCGGTTTATCTGATCAACAACTTGATGCTAGACGTCGAGGATTAGAACAATATCTAGAGAAAGTTTGTGCTGTTCGAGTGATCGCCGAAAGTGATCTTATGCAAGAATTTCTAACCGATTTCGATGACGAACGGGTAAGTGCCATTGATTTTCTGAGAAAAACAGCCTTTCTTGGTAAAGTGTATTCCAATTCCTTCTCAAGGTTCTTATACCAATAACTGTTCCCAGAAAAATTCAAATACATTGAAATTTTCGCCTCTCTCTCTCTCCACCACAATCATAAATTTAATGATTACTTGTAGCTCATGATCTTCAATCATCATTAAAATCATGGCACATTTTAAGCTCTCTTTCTCCTTCTGTTCTGATTCATTGTCAATAGAAACAAAACAGTCAAGTGAAAGCATCGACCTTTTTTCTGTTATTGTAAATATACAAATTCGATAGAAAAGAGTAAAAGGAAATTGAAACAAGAAAATTACTACAGAATAGAACATGTTAAAAGGGTAATAATCGAAAAAGAGGATAAAAAGACAGAGAAAGATAGAGAAAGAGAAAATAAAGAAAGAGGTCACTTACAGAGGGAAGAATAATTTATCTTTCAAGTAAACATTTCGTGCATACGAACATGAAAAGTCACCACTACCTTTTACGAATTGATTATAATGTGTGAAGACAATATGATCGATATTACAAATCTTTCTTTCTATTTCCATATCATGTAATCTCTGAATTCGCAATCAACTATTCATTTACTATTTACATAGTTGAATTGTTGGTGAATAAAAAATTCTACTCATTCTAATTGATTTGTTTTCCTTTTCTCGTTCATAGGAAGGAAACATTGCAATGGTTGACCTAAAGATCCTTTTACCCGATAGATCAACGATCGTAGTAACTGTCCGTAAAAATAGCACCGCAGCTCATGTTCTTAAAACTGTGATGGAGAAAATTAATTTATCACCCAAAGTATCCCCTTACTTTGATCTATTTGAAATTGTCGAATACAATTTTGAACGTAAATTACAATCAAATGAATTCCCTCATAATTTATACATTCAAAATTATTCAACGGCAACATCGACCTGTCTTGCAATAAGAAAATGGCTTTTCTCAATTGCTAAAGAAATTGATCTAAGTGAAGATTCATCAGCGGAAAGTTATTTCTATTGGCAGGTAAACATAATTATCCTCCAACTTTTTCAATCATAATCACAATCATAATTTAATTTAATCATTTCTTTTTCTTTCTTTCTCTTTTTCTCTTTAGGCTGTTGATGATGTTAATAAAGGACAAATCAAACCCGGTAATCAATTATACGAATTAAAAGCTCTTCAAGATTATACAAAAAGAAAAGAGGTAAAAAGGATTGACAATTGTTTCATTTTGAACTTGATAATTAACTTAATTGTCTTTATCCATATCAGTATCTTGCCTTAGCTCGTCAACTTGAAGGTTATGGTGAGATCTCATTCCCTTATTGTATGAGCGATGCCCGAAAAGGAGGTCATGTTATCGCTTCCATTAGTTTTAACAATCTCAAACTTCAAGCTTGTAAAGAAGATGGAACACCAGAGGTTTGTTTTACAATGGAAATTGTAATAATTAAATTGTTTGTCAACTAATTTTCTCTCTTTCTCTTATTTCCTTATTTATTCAGACACAAGTGATTGAATTTGCTTGGAATCATATTAAATCATGGGAGATAGATGAAGAAGGATTATTTTTCGCTTTTCAATATTGTCGACCCGATAAAAAACCACGTTTAATAAGAATCCAAACACCATATGTGAGCTTTAATTCTCAATCACAATTAACAACTGGTTTTATTACAATTGATTAATTGATTAATTTATATTTTCTTTTTCTTCAGTTTGTTTTCATGCACGATTGTTTCCAACGAATCCAAGAAGAACGAGCTTCTCTCAATGGCACCGATTAATAACTTAATTTATATATTTTCTCTGGCATTCAAACCTTCAAATATGCTAATTAATTAATCACATAATCACCATCAATGGCCATCATAATTTCACTCACTTTAGCACCGTAATCACAATACATATATGAACACAAACACTTTTCACAATCAATGAAGTGTATGTGTTTATTTCTCTCTCTCTCTCTCTTTCTCAATTCTAGCAATACAAATCTAAAGTTGACACAATTATCAACAAATATCTTTAATTAGTAATATATAAAATTAATCATCATCCAGTATCCTCCTCAATTCGTGTGATATCAACTAAAAATTGCACAATTTCTGCAAAGTGGATTGATTTTTTTTCTTCTCTCCCAGTTTTAAATCAAATTTAATAATCAACGGAATCCTGATCTTTTTGTTTCTCTCACTATCTGTTCAAATCAAGTGCCACCAATCAAATGCATATCCGATTTATATAAATATGATAAAATTAATGGAATCAAATTGAACAGAAAACAAACAAACAAAAAAATATATTCTATTAACAACAACATCAACACAACAACAAAGTGCAATGTTAACAACAATTAACTACTAATTAGGGTTAAATTTAAAGTGACGGCAAGTGCCATAAAATTATAACAAGAACTGAATCAAATAATTGAATCCAAAAGAGATGATTGCAGATTTAAATTGAAACCTTAATCCTGATCTTCATCTTAATCAAACCAACTCTTTTATTCACCTTGTATATGCATATAAATTGTTCCCCTCCTTAATTTAATTTAATCATTCCCAATTTCTATCTCTTTTTCCATCTCAACTGTAATTTTTTTTTTGCCTGTGTTTACCTTAAGTCTTTTTTTTGTGCTCACCTTTACACTTAACTTTTAATGTTTACACACTCACGAACTGTTACCTGCTGATCAGCTGATATTCATCATGATGGCGAAAACTGTTTTTGTTTTTCTGTTCACAATTTCCTGTCTATCAATCTGAAATTTCCTCTGGTGGATTTATTATTATCTCTCATCATTTCTCATGTTTCTCTCTTTCTCTTTCTCTCCATGTAGACAATAATTCAATTGATACAATTGGATTATCTGATGATCATATTGCACAGAAACCTCATGAATATGATCAGTTGATTAAATACTTGGAGTATCAAATTTTACTCATCATACAACATCATCAACAACAACAACAACAATAATCAACATCAATCTTAACATTGCCTTGAAGGCAGAAAATTGTGTCTCTTGTTGACATGTTAAAATGTCATCAAGACAACAATGTTTACAATTATTATTACAAGAGTCTCATCATTTGTTTTGGACAAAACAATAACAATTTCATCTCTCTCCTTCCAATATATACTCACAATTACATCACCAATATCATCTTATCATCTTCATCGTCATCTTAATGGATAAAAATTAGTCTCCACTCGTCACATTGCTACGAGTTTCAACCAATTCATTTTTCTATGTCACTCAAAAATCTCTCTCTCTTTCCTTAATTAGTATTCTATTCCCATGGAGAGAAGCAATTTCCCGTTTTTTTTTGTTCCAAACAAATGCTGACATTCAATTGTCACTAAAATATTAGTTATTATGGTAAAAAATGGTCCAATCAATGGTTAATTCAAAAGCTTAATTCCTGGTGAAATGATTGATGATGATCATTAATAGGAGACAATTAATCTTAACAATACTCATTCTTCTTGGAAAAAAAGATCAAATCAATTGGATACACACGAATTTCAGTTATTCCATTGGTCAACTTTCTTTCATTGGATTAAACTAATTATAGTAAAAACGAGGAAATTAACAATCAACATAATCGAATTAAATAAAAAGGTAACAATCAACCAAGGAAACCTTTTCTAAAACCTATGATTCAAAGGAGATTTTTGGCAAAATGAAATCAAGAATTATATTTAATAATTATGCAAGAATCCAAGACGAGCAAGGACGAGAAAATTAAGAGAAAAGGAAACAATTAAATTAACAGCAACAGAAATTGATTTACAATTAATTCAATTGAGAAGCATAAAAAACACAGATTTTGTTTGCGTGATGGTAAACAAAAGTTAATAAGAAATGTATTCTACAATCAATTGTAAAAGTTTTATTTTCACTGAATACACAAGTATCTCAAATTTAACAAATTGATCGCAATCATTTAATTGATTGTTGTCTACCAATTTCTAATTGTGTTAAAGGATTTTGATACTAAATCTTTTCTTTGTTGTTCCAAGAAAATCAAAGGTAAGGTTAACATGCACAGTGAAGGTTGAGAAATGTTGCTGATTGAATAATGAAACCATTCAATCAGTTAGTCAATTGTTATGGATTTTAATTGTTTGATTAGGTTTACAAACTGTTATGAACAACGAACGACAAAAAAAAATCATTGACACTTTTTGGTGAGAGAGACAAAGTGTATCTGACTGAGAGGAGAAACACCTTAGAGCTTAATTACAATTTAGAATCTAATGATTAAGGTGGATCAGTTTTTCTCAAGGTGATTTTGTTTTCTTCCTCTTCGATGATAATGTTCATTTAAAGAATTGCTATACTTTTCGACTAATTTGTTTTTCTCTTCCAATTTCGTAAAATTTACATCTTAGTTCGAGGGATTGTCTTTACATCTCCTATTATGTGTCTGTCCAAAGTTTTAGGTGCGACTGTAGAGGCTCATATGTGTTTCTTTATTGAGCGAAGGGACTGTTCTTGATGAAATGTCCCCATTTGAAGTGATTAAGTCGATTACAGATCCAATCTCCGTCTACACCTTTGGTATATTCACGAATAAACCTGTAATTACAAAAGGTCATCTCTGGATCGGGCATGAAAAAGGGTCGACTTTCCTGAGTGGTCATCTTTTCCTGATATCCTCTGATCACATGGTAAATAACGGTGATTTCGACAAATTTTCTATCATCCCGTTCAAATGCACGAATTTCTTTGGCCAACCAAAAGACTATATCTGAATCGTCTACCTTTAAATCAGCCAATTGAGTTGGAGAAAATTTAACAAGATTCTCTTGAATTGTTCTTAAGGCTTCGGGTTCAACTAGACCTTCTAACGAATCTGTTTCTCCTCTGGACAAATTATCGGCAATTACACAAATAGCCTATGAGAGGGAGAGAGAGAGAGAGAAAGAATAGAATTAGAATGAATTGTTGACAAGGAAAAAGAATCAAATCAAAATCAGTTACCTGTCTCGTTCCATCAAGAAAAGTTTGCAATGAAAACGATGAATCGTAATTCGGTTTGATTACTAAGAAAAGATTAAATATATTCTTTATCGTTGCAAATGGTCCTGGTGTTGTAATTGGATCGACGAAGTCCATCAACAAAGGCGGAAGATCTTTGGTTAATTTATCGAATCGATCGTTGAAAGGATTTCCTTCAAAAGGATTTCCATCATTCTTTTTATCACCCTCAGAGAAATAGGCAACAGATGATTGGTACGAATTATTAACTGATCGAATCCACTGGAACCATTTAAGATAAAGTGAACATAATCGACTTGATGTAAGGTCAAATATAAGGTCAAACATTGGATTGGACATTTGACGAACCAACGAAGAGGTAGTTAAACAATTGTCAACATTATGATTACATTTGTACCTTGAGGTTGAATAATTGTTACTCATGTTGATTGACCATCTCTGTGAACAAGTTGAAGTAAATCGTTGATAATTAACTGAATATAAACTATCAGTGAATAAAATAGTTCGAGATAATCTTATTAATGGATAAAATCTCATTTTAATTAACAAGGAAAACAGAAAAATAATCACAATGAGTTGAAATTTTCTCACAAAAAAACAAACAACAAAGAGGAAGAAAAAAATTTTCCCGATCAGCTGATTTTCCTCTCGCTTATCATTTGTTTATCTTCATTTTGGCTCCTAATTTGATTCCTAATCGAAACCATAGATTTAATTTACTTTCTCAATTTAAATGAATTAAATCATCTTCTTCTTTAATCTAATAACTCGAAAATCACAATTAATCAATTTGTAGAAAAGATTAAAATCAAAAACCGAATCAATTCCATTGAAATAAAAGGTTAGTTGTTTATCTTTAAAAGTTTTTTTCTTCATTTCTCTTCGAGTGATTTACTAATTGTTACCATTAAAAAGGGAATTCTTTTAATTTCTACGTTGCTTTGCATTTAGAGTTTACAATTGGAGGATTTGGTTAATTGTTCTTTTAATTGTTCATTCATTCGCTTCTTCTATTGCCTCAATGATACATTCTTTTTTCTCATTAAAAGCCGATCGAATTTGAATTCTATTCGATTGCCAAAAAAGATGATATCTAATTCCTTTGGAAGTAAATATTGGAATCGCACAGTGATTAGCTCGAATTCTCTCAGTTCGAAGGCAAAAATCGTCCCGACGATTCCAACAATCATATTCAATTCTTTCCAGAGTTCCAATGAAATCGCCCTGTTGATAAAACGATAAGTTGAAATGAAATTTTCTTCAATCGATTTGATTGATTCACTAATCATATACTCAAATAATGAAAGATTTACTTACAGGAAAGTTAATTGTTGACTCTCTAATTGTTGGATAGATACATTGTGACATGATTGTATTACGAGCCTGTTTATTTATCGCTAATCCTGCACATGCACATAGTTGATAAAAATGATGAGAAAAACAATTTAGCCACAATTTAATTGTAACAATTAAGCTGATTACCTTTTTTACAAGATTCACTGAATACATTTGCAGCTTCGGGTCCAAGTAAACCAAAATCAAAGGCATCGGGAATCGTTAGGCCAAAATGAAAATTAAATTGTAACAACACAATAGAAATTAAAATAAACTTCATAATTACAATTAACTGTTGTATCTAATTGGATATTTACGTAGCTAATTAACTGAATAAGAAACAATTTATTAATTAGACTGATGATCAACTAGAAACTTTGACTAGTAAAAATTAATGATTAAGTGTTGGAAACGTTGATCTTTATCATTATCTGATTAACAATTAGACAAGATTTATTGGCGATCAACCATTTAATTGTAATTAAATTGTTGTTGCTACCTTTCAATATCTGAAAATCAACATCCACAAGGATTTAATTTAAATTGTGAAAAAGTTTTCACTTGATAATCAACTGATGACGATAATGATAGTTTACTATTGTAAATATTCATTGTCATCAACAATTAACAACAAATCTCTCATTCATTGTTAACAACAATCAATTTTGTTCATTATAACATCAAAAAATTTGTACAATCAACAAACAACAAAAAATCACATAACAATAATTAACTAAATTGTTAGAAGGTAAAAAAAAACCTTGAACCAAACAATTTCCGTTGTATTATTATAATGAAAACCATGATGATCAGTAAATTGTTGTTTACTTAATAAATATAATATATGGGAAGATATTGACATTTTTAATGGATAGAAATTGATTAAAACTATTAATTATTGTGACAGCACATAATTATCACATTTGATTAACCAGCAATTACCTTAATTGATGAAGCGACAAGAGTAACAATCAAAATGAAAAAAGCACCAACATTTAACTTGATTGTTGATATTTCCTTTCAATTGTTTCTCTAGGTCAAGTTTGATGATCAACAAGTTAATCATTTCTTAAATCATGAATGAATACAAATCACATACACACACATACACACACATAGGAAACAGCGGACAATCAAATCTAAATTGTAAACAATCAACAAAATGACAATCAAACTCGTAATTAATTGTAATCGATGCGAAAACGGAAAACAAAACAAAACCAAACGAAAAACTTTCAACTATCAACATTAAGATGTTAATGTTTATCGATTGTTCAACTAATTGTGATGTTATTATGTTTGTTTACAATTTATTAATTATCTTCATCATCTTCTCAATGATTATTCAAATGATCATTATCGATATCGGTCATTGAACGGACTTTTGAACCAATAAGTTGATGATAATTTCCTATTACCTGTTGGCTGTTTGTCCTTTTTCCCTTGAAACCTGAATCTCAAGTCTCACTGATTAAGATAAATTATATATTATATTATATGTTATATACATGAATCTAAATAAAAATCTTAAAGAAAGAAAGAAAAGAAAGAGATGATGATGATGATGATGATGATCAGGATGAAAATGGACTCATTCACTGTTAACCTGTTAACGGTTAAATGTTTTGATAGTTTTTTTGGTGCTTTTTTTAGCTTTCGTTGCCACATCATCTTAATCACTTACATTTTTGATTCAATTCAATTCCCATTTCTTAATTAGCTTCATTTTTATCAATTTCTGAACTTAATTATGTTTCCCTTGTGTTTAATTGTAAATAAACAGTTACAATTTCTGTCTCTGTTTCCGTAAATAACTTTCTCGTAACTTTAAATTGTTCATTCATTTTTACTTTTTGTGTTCATATTGTTAATCAGTTAAATTTAATTACTAATTGTAATCGTAATGGCAACAGGATATGATGGCCATTTTTTGGCTAAAACTCTGCTTGCTGGAGGTAAGATTCATTTCTAGTTAATTGTTCATTTACTTAATCAATTGAAGTGCTTTTTTTTGGTACTTCGAATCGGATGAATTGGTCAATTAACTTGTTTACGATTCATCGATTCATCAATCATTTGCTTTTTTTTTTGGTTCTTTTCGATTATTGTCAAAAGTTTTGTGAGAACTTAATTGCTAATTAATTAGCTATTTTATCGTCTTTTTTTTAATTGTGTCTCTTTAAGGTGTCGCTGGAATGACATCGAAAACGGCAGTCGCTCCTTTGGATCGTATTAAGATCTTACTTCAAGCCCATAAGATTGGATACAAGAATCATGGTTAGTTAATTGTTGAGTGGAATTTGTGTCCAGTCGTGTTAATTGTTTCGTTTATTTGATCAGGTGTATTCAGTGGACTTCGGGCTATCATTGAGAAAGAGCGATTCTTAGGATTATATCGTGGTAATGGCGCTCAAATGGTCAGAGTTTTCCCTTATGCTGCCGTTCAGTTTTTATCCTTTGAGATTTACAAGAAGGTGATTAAATTAAGTTTCTCTTGAACGGTAATTAATTGATTGTCTTTCTTAATCATCAATCTTATTCAGCATCTTACTAATCTCTATGGGTCTGGACATAGTATCAAATTTTTTGCTGGTTCACTTGCTGGTGTAACTGCGGTCACAATGACTTATCCTTTGGATTTGGTTCGAGCTCGATTAGCATTTATCACTCCTGATGATTTAATTACAGCCAAAAGTGATGGGAAAACAATTAGTTTAATGGAAAGATCAATGATCATCAATACTCTCAGACAAGTGTATGGTCAACACGGTATTCGAGGACTTTATCGAGGCTTAAGTCCAACACTTTTAGCTATGATTCCTCATGCAGGTAATTATAATTAATCGATTTAATTTTTTGTTCCAATTCTCATTCTAATCAATATTCTGTCGATATTTTTGCTCTCTATCAAATTTTAGGAATTTCATTTTATTCATTTGAAAGGCTTAAGCATTTAGTTTTTACACATTTTCCTCAATTCTGCTCGAGGCAAAAAGATGGTTCAATTGTCCTAAGTTTCCCAGCTAAATTGCTTTGTGGTGGAATCTCAGGTAATTAAGATCACGGTGATCGAAACCTTCACCTAAATCTTTTCCTAAAATATAATAGTGTTAATTGTAATTACAAATCTCTAATTGTTTAGGAGCAATTACTCAACCCATCATCTATCCATTGGATGTTGCTCGAAGACGAAGTCAACTGGCCACTGCCGATGCCGAAACACGCAAATATGGTGGAAATCCAATGAGAACTTTATTGACGATCTATCGGGAACACGGAATAATTTCTGGCCTTTATCGAGGAATGAGCATCAACTATATTCGCGCTGTACCAATGGTCGCAGTCTCATTTACCGCTTACGAGATAATGAAACAGAGCCTCGGGCTAAATACTGGACTTTCATCTTGAATTTCATTCCAATCAATATACTGAATGTATTGAAATTTTTTCTCTCATTACCTTAATCATTCACAATAATTTCATTAATTTCATCTCATCATCATTGATAATTTCAAGATCCGTTTAACAATAAAAATCCCCGTTGATACAAAATATTTTTCAACCGATTGCTAAATTGTTATTACCCAATAATTAAACATGAAAAACAATTTTCACGATTAAATTGATTGAGTTAATAAGAAACAATTAATTACGTAGATATATGTAATCTCGCTATTGATTTTGGCTCAAGAATTGATTGTTTAATTAACAACCCGGATTCATTTGAATGAAAAATATTAATAAAACTAATTGTATTGATAAAATTAAACAATAAGTTGATTGTTCTCATCTTTTTTTTTAATTGTTACTTTTAGAGATTAAAATCTTATATTGATGATACAACTTTTATCAATTACACAATTAAATTAATCGCACTTCAGTAGTACAGATTATTAATAGTATTAATATATAAAAGTGTCTGATTGATCAATGAATTTCATTAGTTAATATTTGAACATATTAGAAGTTATTTGAAAGAGAAATCAAATTGTCATTAAAATGGTAAAACTAATTGTTACTTGTGTTTTAATTACCATCATTGGCTCAGCATTTGCTGATCCTGATCGACCAGGTAAATACCTTGAACATGATCGAACCGTAATTAGCTGTGCTAAATACAAACGAGAAGCCAATCAACATCAATGTGTCCTCTCACCTTTTCAAGATGAGGGTCCATACTACCTTCCTGATGACCACGAGCGATCTGATATTACTGATGGTCAATCTGGTATCTATTTAGACCTTAACATCAACGTGGTAAACTCAAACGATTGTAATCCAATGGAAAACATGTATGTCACATGGCATACAAATGCCACAGGTAAATACTCAGGTGTCAACAATGAAGTGGACCACCACCGCCATTCAATTGGTCAAGGGGAATCACGGAGGACCAGGTAACGATAGACGACCACCCGGAGGACCAGGAGGACCTGTATTATGGGTGGATTTGGAAGAAAGCCAGTTTCCGATGAACGATTCTTCGAGGTTACCAAGTGACCGATTCAAATGGTCAAGTTAACTTTAAGACTATTGTGCCTGGTTGGTATAATGGACGCTGCCTTCACATTCACATTGAAGTTTATCCTAAAAACTCAACTGAACAAGCTGACATCTTATACGTTGGTCAAATTTTCTTCAAGAGCGAACTACCCAATGAACTTAAGTTAATTGATTACCGGCCAATACCCAACGAATCACCCTCAATGAAAACGACGGAACTACAGAACCATGGTAATGAAACAATTTTGATTTGGTCAGCAAAGGAGCTGATTATAAATCATCAATCACCTTTGGTATTGACCCAACAGCCAAAGTTACTCCTCCCTAGTTAGTTCGCCCTTAATTTTGTAAACCAAATGAGTTAATAGTTTTTTTTCATTAAAATCAATAAGCATAATTAAGTAAATCGACTTCATATTTATTACATTGTGTCTCTAACTCTTTACGAGCAATTACCAAACAGATCATTTATTAAATGGATCAAGTCAAAGTCGATTAGCCGATGCCGAAACGCGTAAACATGGCGGAAATATAATGAGAAATCCAATCAATTAAATCAATTATTCATAATTAATTTTACTAATATCAATAGTTTAAAGATTCAAAATGTTGATCTATTGCAATAATTTAAACTTATTAGAAAACAATTTTCACGATTAAATTGATTGAGTTAACAAGAAACAATTAATTACGTAGATATGTAACTGCTATTGAATTTGGCCAAGAATCAATTGTTTAATTAACAAAATCTATTTGAATGTAAAATAAAATAATTTATTGATAAAATTAAACAATAAGTTGATTGTTCTCATCTTTTTTAATTGTTACTTTTAGAGATTAAAATTTTATATTGATGATACAACTTTTATCAATTACACAATTAAATTAATCGATCTTCAGTAGTACAGATTATTAATAGTATATTATATAAAAGTGTCTGATTGATCAATGAATTTCATTAGTTAATATTTCATATTAGTTATTTGAAAGAGAAATCAAATTGTCATTAAAATGGTAAAACTAATTGTTACTTGTGTTTTAATTACCATCATTGGCTCAGCATTTGCTGATCCTGATCGACCAGGTAAATACCTTGAACATGATCGAACCGTAATTAGCTGTGCTAAATACAAACGAGAAGCCAATCAACATCAATGTGTCCTCTCACCTTTCAACACCGAAGGTCCATTTTACCTTCCTGATGACCACGAGCGATCTGATATTACCGATGGTCAATCTGGTATCTATTTAGACCTTAACATCAACGTGGTAAACTCAAACGATTGTAATCCAATGGAAAACATGTATGTCCACATTTGGCATACAAATGCCACAGGTAAATACTCAGGTGTCAACAATGGAGGAAGTGGACCACCACCACCACATTCAATTGGTCAAGGTGGACATCACGGAGGACCAGGTAACGATAGACGACCACCCGGAGGACCAGGAGGACCAGGAGGACCTGGTGGACTCGGTGAACGAGAACCTGGTATGGGAGGACATGGTGGAAGACCAACTCCCGTTTCCGACGAACGATTCCTTCGAGGTTACCAAGTGACCGATTCAAATGGTCAAGTTAACTTTAGAACTGTTATTCCTGGTTGGTATACTGGACGTTGCCTTCACATTCACATTGAAGTTTATCCCAAAAACTCAACTGAACAAGCTGACATCTTATACGTTGGTCAAATTTTCTTCAAGAGCGAACTACCCAGTGAACTTAAGCTAATTGACCCCTACTCGACCAATACCCAACGAATCACCCTCAATGAAAACGACGGAATCTACCGAAACCATGGTAATGAAACAATTCTTGATTTGGTCAGCAAAGGAGCTGATTATAAATCATCAATCACCTTTGGTATTGACCCTACAGCTAAAGTTACTCGCCATTAATTTTGTAAACCAAATGAGTTAATAATTTTTTTCCATTAAAATCAATAAGCATAATTAAGCAAATCGACTTGATATTTTATTATTAATTGCTAATAGAGCTGATTAATACGAAAGTGATTCAATCACAATTTGTCAACAAGTTGATTTGATTACAGTTGAACAATTTGACTCGGTATTGAAAATTGACTTAATGTCTTGGTAATACTACCTGTTAATTGTCAAGGAACAAGATTTGATTACAATTAATTACACAGGTTAACAGTTTAATCTTACATATATTAATCATATTTAAAAAGTTGATTCTTAATCATTTACAAATGTTAATTGATCCTTTTAATGGATCAAATTACAAAAGCTTTGCAATTTACTATATAAAAGACTTTTGATTTATTAACAATTAGGTCACTTTTCCATTGATTGTTGATAAGGTTAATTAAATTTTCCTTCCCATTGTGTTTCATTATAAGATCATTTCGATAATAATTTGTTACCTCTAATTTGTTTTCCAACACTAATTGATAATTATCATCATTAAAATGTTTCGATTTGTTATTGTTTCAATTTTGATTATGTAAGTTAATTGTTACTTTTATATTAATTATTTTGTATCGTTGAATTATGATTGGATTGATTGTCTATCTAATTGAAATTGTTCATTTGAATCTTGTTCCAGGCTGATGGCTGGTCAGTTTTGTCGCTGTGAAGACGAGGGTGAAGCGAAAGTCACGGACTCAAAGAAGCCTCGGTCGAGGATCACTCGTGAAGAATTGGCTCGACTTCATCGTGAGGCCATAAAGGAGCACGAACATCACCTTGACCTGTTCGAGAATTCATTCAGTTCACCCTTGTCATCGACTCGTAAACCCGTTTGGCCGAATGGAACCAAACCAGGATCTACCACATCCAAGCCACCAAAAAAACCCACGAAATCACAATCGACAAACTTAAACTAAAAGAGTTTCATTGAAATTTTAATTCTAATTCCAATGGTAAATTATGATAACTAAAAGTGGAAATTCGATTTCCTTTCAATAAATTTCACATTCGAACTTATCAACTATTAAAAATTCCGTTCGATCCAATTTTCATATTCCACTTTTCCCGCTTCTTCATTTTCTCCTTTCTTTTTGTTTATCTTTGCAAATTATTCCTTGGGTTTGTTGACAGTTTTCTTGTTGATTTTCGAGTAATTTTTTTCTGTCAATTGTGATCAAGTAATTTGAAATTTGATTGTTCGAATTGATATCATGTTGGAATTGTTTTATTGTGGTTACAAGTCTCATCTTAAGTTGATTAGTAAATCTGATGAGGGTGAGGGCGAAGATGGAGAAAAGTCTGAAGATAAACTAATTATCCCTCTTAATGAGGTTAACTTATCTGATGGTAAATATGGAAATCGAGTGAAAAAAGGTTTCATTGGTTGGTGTTCGTTGTTTATTATTACTGAGAGTGGACATTTACTTTATTTGGCCTCCGTTCCTGGTCCTAAAAAAGATCCAGTGATTCGTGAATGTAATCTGACCAAAAGTTGGGATCTAAAGCGTTTAGAGTGCGGTAATAAGGATGTTTTCTTGGTGCTTTCTGATCGGAAATTGAAAAGATGGAGGTCACAAGAGTATCACACTGAACCTGAGATCGTTGATCAATTAAATCGAGATGGAGCAAGAGTACAAGAGATTAGCATTGGTTCCAGTTTTGTTTGTGTTCTCATGGAAGATGGAACAGTTATTGGAATGGATGAAGAGGAATCTCCGGTTACTCTGAAATTACAAAATTCTGATGATGTTTTCGTTTCGGTTTCATGTGGCCATGAGCATATTCTACTTCTAACAAGAAATGGCCTCGTTTACTCTTATGGCCGAGGTACAAAAGGTCAACTTGGCCTTGGTAGTTTGGAAGATGTTTTCGATGGACAGAAAGAGATTGAAGCTCTCAGTGGAATCAGAATCATGCAAATTTCCGCCGGTGGTTGGCATTCACTTGCTCTCTCCGAGTTCGGTGACATTTATGCTTGGGGTTGGAATGAAAGTGGACAATTAGGTAATTATATTCTCGAAGAAGAACAAAAAAAATCTCAATTCTAATTTGATTACGTCTACAGGGATTGGAAACAACAGTGAATCTGTCAAATCATTGCCGACATTAATCAACATCGAATCAATTAATTTCACCTCCATTAGCTGTGGTTCTCGTCATTCAATGGCCATTTCGGAAAATGGTTCATTATATTCATGGGGCTGGAACAAGTGGGGACAATTAGGTTTGAATCCGAATCAAATTAAAACTTCAAGTGTCCCGATTAAAATTGATTTCGACCGCAAGGTTACCTCAATCTCTTGTAAATATTGGTCTTCGTTGATCGAAGTTATTTGAGAACAATCAATAAGATTAACCAATTAACTTATATTCTTATGTAAATATATTTTATTGATCAAATTAAGTTAATTGTCTTAATTAAGTTTTCAATTGTGAAATTGAAAATTGTTTGATATTCTTTGTCTTCTCGATTTTTTCAGCCTGTTTTTGGCTATTTTGTGATGTAATTTTACTCGAAGGTTGATTTTTACTCTTTCTGGCAGCAATTACTTTCTGTCGGTGTTTTTTAACGCGACGATCATGTTTACGATCAGTTGAATCTTTTTCTGTGTCTCCCTTAATTGGTCTCTTTGGTTTTTCCTTGATCTCTTCGGGAGCAAGGAGAGTACCTTCACCCACGGACACTGGAATTGCCTCTTCCGCTGTAATAGCGGGTAAGTTTCGGATAATCTTGATTTCGGGTTCTGGTGGTTTGGGAGTAAAGTGGTAACTTGAAAGTGCATCTAATTGTAGGAAAACGGAGGCCATTAATTTGCGAACTTCTTTATGTGTTTCATTTTCTTGTTCAACTTTTTCCTCGGTTGTTTTTTGAAGATAATCTTTCTCGTAGATTTCACCAAGACCCACTTTACTTTTCTCTTGGTCGAGAATTAATCGTCTCTTGTATTCGAATGGTTTCTCATTGGGTTTCACTTTACGTTCCACATCGTCCCAGATTCCATCTTTAATTCGTTGTTTGATTAAATTCTCTATACTCTCGGCAACATCTTTGTCAATTATTGGCGCTGGACGAGAAACAAAATCATATTGCAAGTGATCTTCGAGTAAACTGTTTGACGGCCTTTTATCGGCTGTCACTTCACCAGTTAATTTCCACGGTTTAGCTGACAAATTATCGTCTTCTAGTTTTGCAATTCGTTCTTTTAATAACTGCTGTTCTTTTTCAAAAGTAGATAAACCTGAATTTCGAGCAGCAATTTCTCTAGGTCCTAACAGGTTATCAATATCATCATCTTCATCTGAACTTGCGGGTCCCAAAAGGTTAGCGAAATCAGTGTCATCACCTTCAATGTCTTCATCTTCTACATCAGCAAAATCCTCGTCTTCTTCTCCATCTTCCTCCTCTTCCTCTTCTTCATCATCATCAGCATCATCTTCGTTTTCGTCATCATCTTCATCAAATTTTTCATCATCAAAATCTAGATCATCTTCATCCTCTTCATCGATCCTAAATTGAGCTGGTATCTTCTTTTTGGATTTTTTCACTTGCTGTTTAGATGCGATAGTTAACTTAGAAACATCATCATCGAGATTTTTCAAAAAGGCTTGATTGTCCTGTTCGATTTGAGCCCAAATCTGCTCTTCATCAAATCCTTTTGTAACCAGAGCTTTAATCCCAACACCAGAATTGTCTTTTAAACATTCAAACAATTTACTAGTCAACTGTCGAAAATTGTTCACTCTTTGATCATCAGGTCTATAGATTCAATCAACAATATAAACAATTAAAAAAAAGAATTGAAATAATCAAAATTTATAAGAAAAAAAAACGTTCATCACAAAACTCACCTGAGGAAAGATGTTAAATCTCCGACATTTGAATTGAAAGAATTGAAAATTTCTTTCGAATCAAATTTAATCCGATCTTCCATCTAATGTGAAAAGTATAAATTTCAACAAATACCAAAGTAAAATAAAGTTAAACAATTAAATTAAAAGAGAAAAACATTTAAATGAAACAGAAAATAAACCAAAACAAAAAAATGAAATTCTAAACATGTGCTCGGTCATGTGATCTTTTTGCTCGATAAATAGACCAACAGTTGTACGAACAACTTGAAAGAGAAATTTTTTTTTCCCAATCAAATGTAAACAAAAAGTGACAATTTTAATTGTTGTCGATTTAAAGAAGTTCAATCATGTTTCATTTTCGTTTTCCGACAATTAATACTTTATCCAGTGTAACTAAATTAAGATTAAATTGTCAAAGTCTGTGTGATTATCACCATTCATCAGGTATTTGGTTTAATAATTTATTACGATGCAAGAATTTGGTTAATCCAGTTACTCGGATTAATCAGTTTCCAATTAGATTATCTTCAAGCTTAAATCAACAAGTGGTTGATAGATTTAATAGTTTTAGAAGTGACCATGGACAAGGAGATAAAAAGGATGAAGATAATTCTGGTTATCAATCACCGTAAGTTGAAATTTTTATAAGAGATTGATTATCATCATTTGATTTTTTAATTTCTTCTCTCAGTTTATTAGCTGCTGGTTTTGTTTCTGGATTATTATCGTTCTTGGGATGGGAAGATTTATTATCTAAAGAAGATCCTTTCATCCTGACAATCAAACGAGGTATTCTTTGTATGCAACGAGAAGAGTTTGACAAAGCTGAGATTATACTACATGCAGCACTTACAAATTCTGTGAATATGGTTAGTGGAAAAAGATTTAACCATGATTCGGTTATATTAATGTTGATCTTTTTTTCTATTCTGAAAGGATAACGAGAAAGCAGTCATTTATATATATTCTTTATTGGGAAATAATGCATTTCTCAAAGGTGATTTAGAAAAATCAGAAACAATCTACAAAGATCTGATAAAACGTCTTCTAAAACAAGGTAACAATTATAATCTCAAGACTCTGAGTTTTAAACCACTTTTTGAACTAATAATTGTATGAACGATTCAACAAGTGGTTGAAAACTCGAAGTCTTTGGCTGTATAACAATTAAATAACAATATTATGTATTTATTGATACTTGTTTTCTTTTAGGAATTGAAGAAGATCATGAAGCAATGGTTGAAATATCGATTAAATTGGCTACAATTTACAGTAAATTAGGAAAATTTTCCAAAAGCGATGTTGGTTTTAATCATTGTATTGATATTCAAAAGAAAAGAATCAACCACCTTGGAATCGAAGCAAAATTAACCAAAGGAGAAAACGAATTAACCAATGAAGAAATCAACAGTTATGCTCTTTATGGAATGGTACTTGATTTCTATGGGAAACATTTACTTCGTAAAAAAGAGTTTGAAAGTGCCTTGAAATATACTCTCGATTCGTTGAAAATTTGCGAAAAAGTTAATGGTCCAAATGGACATCAAACGATGGTTTTACTGAGCGATGTGGGAACTTTATTAAATTTAACTAATAATTTCCATGAAGCCGATAAATATTTTCAACGAGCAATCAAAATTGCGACAATCATTGATTCTGATCATCTGAAAACACTTTACTACAATATCGGAATGAACAATTTAATGAGAAAAAATTATTCCCTCGCTCAAACTAACTGTGATGCTTCATACAGAATTGCTCGTAAAGATGAAGACACAACAATCATGAACATGGCCGAAGATTGTTTGAAAAAAGTGAAACAACAATTATCATGAAAAGAATCAGAATTTAATCTGGAATATAAAAATTTTCCATTGTTAAATCATCTTTACAATAATTGCTATTTAAAAGACTTTGTTTCTCTCTTTCAGCATCTCATCACTTGAGGATACATCAATTGCTCATCTTTCGGTTAATTGTTGCCGTTGTTAATTGTACACAATATATAACATTGTTTTTGTTGATAGAAAAGCAAATTGTATTAAATACAGAAAATTTGTTTAGTAAATTATTACAAATATTACGTTGATTTAATTTGTTCCTTCTGTTCTCAGATTACTATCGTTTAGAAGCCAATCCTCTTCGGAAAGTAAGAGAACTGTTGATTCTTTATGTTTAGTTGTGAGAGATTTTTTCGCCTCTTTTTTAGATGCCGAACCACTTGAAGTGTCATGAGATTTATTTCGTCCTTTATTACTTGTAATTGTCGAACTGGCGACCATCAATGCAGCAAGATCACTTTCATCGTCATCTTCATTTTGAGTCATTGATTCCGATTCCTTTTCAACTGAACATGGATTTATTGGTGAATCGCTTTTAGATGTTAAATTGGTTGATTGTTGACCGGGAGATGAAAGTTGACTTTGATCAGGTTCATCAAATGTTTCTGATGAAATGACCTCTTGACCTGATGATGATGAGGTGGTGGTGGTGGTGGAGATTAGGCTGATTCGAAGTCAATTTTACGCCTATCGATGTAAATTTGAGCCATGTGGCACTGATATTCCTTGGTCCGTTCGAGGTATTCATCTGATACCGCACCGTAGAAGGCAAGTACTTTATCCATTGCCCATGGTGTTTCTGAAGTAGTGTCCATGTAGTTAATTTGTTGAGCTATGGCCTCCCAATTTATCGGCACATTTTCTGTTCTGGTGAACCACAAGATAACGACGCCAACTTGAGTCTTATTGAAACCAAACCCCATTTTTTCAATTTGTAGATGTTCACAAACTTTGTTGACTGTTGCTAAAAATGGGACTGGTGATTCAGAAGATCTAGATTTTAGCCAAGATTGCATTATAAATACAACAAAAATTCGAGGTTGTGATGGCGAAAAAAATACTTTCCCTTTTATAAGCAAATGAAAAAACATGAAAATGTTGATATAATTTCCGTTTCCTGATAAGTTAAAAACATAAACAAAGAGAAAACCGGAAAATTTGATATAAAGGAACTGGACATTGACGCCAAGAATTGGCAATAACTGTGATGTTACTTGGATTGTCTTTTAAAATTTGTAAAGAATCAGATAAATTTTTTGAACTAATAATTGTATGAACGATTCAACAAGTGGTTGAAAACTCGAAGTCTTTGGCTGTATAACAATTAAATAACAATATTATGTATTTATTGATACTTGTTTTCTTTTAGGAATTGAAGAAGATCATGAAGCAATGGTTGAAATATCGATTAAATTGGCTACAATTTACAGTAAATTAGGAAAATTTTCCAAAAGCGATGTTGGTTTTAATCATTGTATTGATATTCAAAAGAAAAGAATCAACCACCTTTGAATCGAAGAAAAATTAACCAAAGGAGAAAACGAATTAACCAATGAAGAAATTAATAGTTATGCTCTTTATGGAATGGTACTTGATTTCTATGGGAAACATTTACTTCGTAAAAAAGAGTTCGAAAGTGCCTTGAAATATACTCTCGATTCGTTGAAAATTTGCGAAAAAGTTAATGGTCCAAATGGACATCAAACGATGGTTTTACTGAGCGATGTGGGAACTTTATTAAATTTAACTAATAATTTCCATGAAGCCGATAAATATTTTCAACGAGCAATCAAAATTGCGACAATCATTTGAAAAAAGGGAAACAACAATTATCATGAAAAGAATCAGAATTTAATCTGGAATATAAAAATTTTCCATTGTTAAATCATCTTTACAATAATTGCTATTTAAAAGACTTTGTTTCTCTCTTTCAGCATCTCATCACTTGAGGATACATCAATTGCTCATCTTTCGGTTAATTGTTGCCGTTGTTAATTGTACACAATATATAACATTGTTTTTGTTGATAGAAAAGCAAATTGTATTAAATACAGAAAATTTGTTTAGTAAATTATTACAAATATTACGTTGATTTAATTTAAGTCCGTCGAAACAGCTTCAACAATAACTGTCTCTTGGGGTTCATCTTCCGTTTCCGTTATCTGATCTTTATTGAGGTTTGATGGACCTTCACCGATTTCTGACTGATTTGTGTCCACTATTGATGACTCGTTTTTAAATAATTCCATTAATCTGTTAAATCTTTCAACAACATGATCACAGGGTCGATTGAGTTTACAAGCGATTTCGTTGAACAGTTCGATTAGATTTGCTTCATCGTCGTTTGAAACTTTAGCTTTACAAAATTCGAGTAGCAATTTATCCTCCGCCAAAGTCCAAGATCGTTCATCATTAGAATCACTAACTGAATCACTTCTGACAATTGGACTTGGTTCATTTACAATTGGTGATTTAATTGGAGATGAAGGTGAAGCAATTGCCACTTGTTGATTGGATTGTTTTGATTGTTGCTGTTGTTGATTTCGAGTTGAAATGATTACAGATGAACGAGATTCTCGAACTGGTGTATATTGTACCTCAGCGGGTTGCATTTTTTTCGGACCTTGAAGATAAATTTTACCACCGATGAACCTTAAACTACAGGCAGCGCAATGACGCAACGGTGGTACAGTAGTTGATTGTGACTGTTGATTACGTTTAGATCCTTCTGGTTCACCTAATGGAAGACCAATAACCGATGAAGTTGTAGCGATGACGGTGGTAGAATTAGAAGTACAAGTGGCAGGAATTGGATTCGAAGCGGCAGTGGCAAGATTTCCACCGTCAATGGTATTACTATTAACACTATTATTGTTACTACCGATGCTGGAAATATTTCCATTGGTATTGTTATTATTACTATTATTATGACACAATTTACAGGGACATTCATTGGTTCCATATTTACGTTCATCTCCACTTATATCAACGGAAACATTTTCAAATAAATCATCAGCAAGAATCGAACCCCAACACCGAGACCCGAACTACCAGCACCTCCGCCATCGCTTTCACTGTTCACTTCAACTGTGGCCGGTAAATTGGGTACATTTTGAACATTGGTTATCACAAGGTTATCAAAATCTTCATCACTTGCAAATAAATAACTTTTAGGTTTCTCATCAAGAAAGAGACTAGAAAATTCATTAATTAGATATGGATGACCACTAATTGCTTTACTAACGGCAGCTTTAAGTCGTTGTTTGTCAACGGGAGTTTCAGATGCTTTTAATTGTATTAAAGTTTTATGCAATCGAGGGATACAATTTGGTTCCACCGCTGAGTAAACCTCCAGTTTACGGATGAAGCTCAGGTATCGTCGCCAGTGAAGATATTGGTACATTTTACCGCATTCTTGGGCCTCGGAGGCGTTTAAAAGTAGGACAAAATCTTCCATCACTTGTTGGGCATTTACTTTTCGCAATAATTTCTCCGTCTTATGGTGTAGATCTTTTATCGAACTGTTATTTCCACCGTTTCCATCGGTTTCACTCGAGTTTGAACTTCGATTTTTACCAAATTCACTCAAATACGTTAAGAATTGGACATAATCCTCGTCACTTTTTAAAACTTCTCGAACTTTGCTCACGAAACATTGGACCATAATTTGTTCCTTCTGTTCTCGATTACTATCGTTTAGAAGCCAATCCTCTTCGGAAAGTAAGAGAACCGTTGATTCTTTATGTTTGGTTGTGAGAGATTTTTTCGCCTCTTTTTTAGATGCCGAACCACTTGAAGTGTCATGAGATTTATTTCGTCCTTTATTACTTGTAATTGTCGAACTGGCGACCATCAATGCAGCAAGATCACTTTCATCGTCATCTTCATTTTGAGTCATTGATTCTGATTCCTTTTCAACTGAACATGGATTTATTGGTGAATCGCTTTTAGATGTTAAATTGGTTGATTGTTGACCGGGAGATGAAAGTTGACTTTGATCAGGTTCATCAAATGTTTCTGATGAAATGACCTCTTCTATTGGTTCAGAAATATCGATTTCAATTCTTTCTGGTTCATCAATTTCACTTATTGATTCTTTGCTGGTCATCTCGGTGTCAACGGTCAACATTTGTTCAGCACTTTCTAAATTACATTGATCATCACAAGTTATCATTTTCGGAGGAGATTCTTCAATTAAATTTGATGTAATCAATGGAGGTGGTGGTGGTGGTGTCGATGATGGAGGTTGATGATGATGATGATGAGGTGGTGGTGGTGGTGGAGATGGAGGTGTTGATGATAAAGATTGACTGCTATTTGATGGTAAAGGTGAGGAAACAATTAAAGGAGTGTTTTCTAAATTGATCACAGGTACTTCTGATGATTTAGTAATCTCTGTAGTGGTTATGTTTTGATTGTTGAGTTTAGGTTTTATGTAGGGTAATTTGTTAAGATAACGAAATCGCCGTAATATTAGACTGGTCTGCTTTTTGGGCGATGATGGATTCGTTGGATATTTAAGTGAGTAAACACCTTTGAGAGGTGAAAGTTTAAGACGGGGAAGAACTTTTAATTTTGTTGATGAAGTAAATTGTGGATCCAATTGTTTACATAACCATTCAGGGATTTTATCAAACACTGAATAGGTTAGTTTAGGTTCAGGTAGTGATCGGGAAATTGGTAACAATTTACCATTTTTAAGATAATATGATAACGGGTTATTTTCATCGTAACTACCTGTTGATTTATCTTTAATGTGACGCTTTTTGTTTTTCACGTGCATCTGAATTTGCTCAGTGGTTTTCACTGGAACAAGTAGTTGTTGAATATATGAGTAGATATGTTTCTTTTCGACCTCTTTAAATTGTTCCAATCCAAGAGCGATTAAATGATCTTCAGCTCGGCTAAATTTGGTTTTCGTTTTGCAATTACCTTTTCGTCGGGATTCACCAGCGGTCACATCGGGATAGCCAGTGTTTGGTAGTAGTTCATGGTAACAGAAAACTTGAGGATAAGAAGCTATTATTGGCCTGACATTTAAAGGAACTGGACATTGACGCCAAGAATTGGCAATAACTGTGATGTTACTTGGATTGATTGGATTGTCTTTTAAAATTTGTAAAGAATCGGATAAATTTGGAGTAGCAAACAGGGAGATCTCTTTGCCCTGAGCGAATTGATTCAATTCTTTGATCAGGAAAGAGGCATTTTCAGCGATATGACCTAATGTTGAACTGGTCATTGTGAGCAGATAATGTTGAGTGAGTAGTTGGACATGTTGAGACATTTGATGATAAAGAAGTTGAATGTCTTCCTTGGTGAAAAATTTACTCCATTCAGAGAGATCACTTGAAGATAATGATTTTAAATCAATCCTTTCAACCGGTGCGATTGACATTTCATCCTCTTGAGAGGTTATATTTACATCACCAGTTTCACCAGTTTCTCGTCTAATTATTTCATTTACATCATCAAATTCATAATCAGGATCTTTGGCTTCATCTTCATCGAGAAGTTTACTTGGATCATCTTGGAAAAGAGCTTTTAAAAAGATTGACCATTCATCGTCTTCGGCCATCGCTTCTTCATAAAGATCTTCAGTTACATCGGGAAATTCAAGAGTATCTTTGGGCTCCTCTTCAATCTGAAATTTAGATCGAGTTCGTAAAGCGATAATATCACTTTCCGACATTTCGATATCCGATGTTTCTGAAGATAATTGTTGCTGTTGTTGTAGATGATGATGTTGTTGATCTTCTTCTTGTTGTTGTAGTTGTAAAGGTTCACCCAGGAATAGATCTTCAATCAATTCTTCCTCTTCATCTTCAACCTCTTCCTCTTCAGCTGGATTGTATTCATCATCGTCTTCATCACCATCCAACTCAAGAAGATCAAAAATTGAAAACTGTTTTATACTACTCACAGTAGAGTGAAAGGTGATTGTTAAGAAAACAAAGATTACTAAATCATCCAAGTTAAAATCCAATAATCGGACAATTAAAAACAAAATACTTACCCTTTATTAGGAGATGACAAATCCATTGTAAGGGAAAGTTAGATTACTCTCAACAGCTGATGAATAAATGGAAAAATAGAAAAGCTTTTCAATGGAAAGAAAAGAAAAACCAATTGATTTAATTGTCATCAATTTTTGTTCTTTAGAAGGTTATTCTTAATTCTATAATAAATTAAGTCACAATTTTAAAGAGTAAATTTAATTGTAATTAAAATAAGATACGAAAAATTGTCTTTCTCATTTTGAGATTTTGTTCATTTGTTGACAAAGAAAAAGTAATGAGTCGTGAAAATAGCGTATCTATGGTAAGTTGCTATTCGCAGGGATTTTTTTCTTGATAATTTAATTTCGTTTTAATTTTTTAATTAATTGATTGAATTTTAAACTAAAAGCTTTTTAAAGATCATTAGTTTCTTTTTCGTTTGCTGGAATCTCTTTGCTACCTTTGAATTTCAATGAATTAATTAGATAAAAAGAGAAATAAATTAAGACAATAATTTGATTGCCTTTTGGTAGATTGAAATGAATTAGTTGTTGTAATAATTAGTTGATTAATTACAAGATTAACTGTTTCATATGGATGATAATTTCTCAGATAATTGTGAACAATCAGGGTCATTTGAAGTGGATGGAATTGAGTTTTTTCAGTTCTTTTTGAGGAAAATTTTCTGATTCCTTTAAATCAATTTTCTTTTCATCAGGAATTGGATTGTTTTCATCTTTAACCATAGAGTTTTTTACAGTTTCTTTTTCTTTTTCATCTTCTTCTTCTTCTTCCTCTGATGAATATGAACTTTCAGATGATGATGATGAAGATGATGAAGATGATGAAGATGGTAAATCAGCTTCTTCTTTTATCCTGGTAAGATATTTCTCCTGGATAGAAACAATTTCCTTTGAGGTTTTACATTCACTGTAAAGGTTAAACAGTTCATCGTTAAGGGTTAGAAATCCATGGCCCCATTTGAATTTCCCTAAGTAATAATCAGCCGCTTTATCAAGTCCAACAATCTTAAAACAAGCAGCAATCGCTTCAACACATGATAATTCACAAGGTCTACCATAATTAACTGGATTAGCGGCTACAAGATAAGGTAATAATCTCATGTGTGGACCTTTCATCCGGTGGAAAGGAGTCTCTGCCAATTTGGCCCAAGAACAATCAACAACCGAGATACCATGTTTTTCAATTATCTCCTTGTCTTCCGGTGAAACACTTTTAACTGCCATAGGTGATAAAATTATACCACCGAAACGATTTCCCAATTTAAGTGTTTTCAGTAAATTGTGTCGCTGTAATTTACGACCGGTACATCTTTTAGGATCACATTGGTTTAGATCCCACATGTGAATCTTGTATGAAGGAACTTCTTCCTCCGAATCACTGGACGAATCACTCATAACTTCAAATTAAATTAACTTAAACAACAAAATGAAAACAATTCACCAACAACAATTAAGCAAAACAATTAGAAAAATAAAAAATGTGATCAAATAAAAAGTAAACAAACAAAGTTTCCAATGGAAAACACCAGATGGCGTTAAGAGCAACCGATTAATTTTTTATTCTGAAAAAAAGTTGAAACAATTAACTATTAACAATTAGAATTAAATGAACAAACAATTAACTAATTGTAACACTGAATTGAAAAAAGGAAAATTTCCTAATATCATCAACAATCTGATTCCTTGCCTTAACCATAGTGAGAATGTAAATATAATTATGAATTTAAAGTTGAAAGGAAATCGATGAATATAATTAACCAACAATTAGCTGATTTATTTTGGTTTTTAAATGGAAAATTAAAGTGCGAATTAATGAATTGTATGCAAATAAATATTATGATTTGAAATTAATTTTAAGATTGAAAGAGTCTTAAAGGTAAACAGTTATAACAGAAAAAGTTAAATGATAATAATAAGTTTCGTTTCTCTCTCTCTCTGGATAAAATAATAAAATCATCTTCGAGTCCAATGGTCATGTTGATGTTTCAATTTAATTGTAACGATTAATATTATCATAGATCCAATTTAAATGGTATTTAACATCCACATAAACTCCTGGTATAGCTTTTCGTCCACAACCTTCACCCCAAGAAACAATTCCAATAAGATGAGCCTTTCCATTGGAATCCCGATAAACCAATGGACCACCAGAATCACCCTGACATGAATCTTTCCCACCCTCAATTAGACCAGCACAAATGAAGCCACTGGCGATTCCACCTTCATAAGTTGAATTACATTTATCCATTTCAACCAGAATAACATCAACAGCTAAAAGATTAACTGAATTGTCACCATCTTCCTCATCAGTTGATCCCCAGCCAGTAACCGTAACAAAATTAACTGACCCACGATCATTTCTTGTCGGTGGTAAATCATTGAACAATTTAGGAAGACAAACTGGTCCCATGTGTCCATTTGATTTAATTAAATTCAAAGGTGAAGACAATTTAATCAGACTAATATCATTTATATTCGTTTCCTCATTAAATTCTGGATGAACGATAATCTTTGAAACATCATGAACGAAATGGTAATCATTGGCCTCCGATAATTTCGTTATATTGGCAACGATTTTGAAATTATTCTCAGGAATTCTGTACGTAAATATAAACAAAAGAAATTTTCTCAGATTAATCAGCTAATTAGCAAATGAAAGAGAAGAAGAAGAAAAAGAAAAAAATATCAAAGATTCGCTTTGTAAGGAAAATATCGAGGGAAAAGTAATAACAATGTGACTGAGTCAAGTGTAGATATTGAAAACTGGATCAGTAGAAAATGAGAAATCCACCTGATGTCAGGTAGATTCTGTTTCCATGTTCAATAGTTGATTAGGTAATAAGATTATTGGAACAAGTGAGCAACAAACAAATCACATGTAAATCACAATTAACCATAAAGAAGAGAGAGAGAGAGAATCAGATTAACAAGAGTAAACCGAATAACAGAAAATATTACAATTTCCAAAGAGGGAATCAAGTGAATTGGAAATTGTGTTGATTGTCACGTAGATTAAAAAGGTGAGATGACAATTAGTTGATTGTTGTAAATGGACAAAAGAAAAACAATTTACCCATGAACACAATGAGCTGCTGTTAATATCCATTGATCAGAGATGATTGAACCACCGCAAATATGAACAAATTTTGATTCGATTGATGAATATCGACGAATTGAAACTTGCCATGGGAATTCACCCTCAAGGGCAGTTCGTCCACCGATGATCCGATCATTTCCTGAGGTCACTTGTAAACTAATTCCACACGATTGATTAGCGTTATCATTCAATTGGTGTTGATTAAAAATTCCCAATTGAAGTTTATTCAATAAAAGGGAAGAACCTAAAAGTATCAACAGAGGAAAAACCATAATTAGAGTTAAATTGTTTTTCTCTTTCGTTTTACAATTTAATCTGATTGATTGATTTTTTTTTCTTATTTTAATTTTCTATTCTTTCCTATTAATTGTTGTTTCACACTTTCGACAAATTAAATTGTTCATAATGTGCGTTTGAGTGAAAATATTGCTACGTTAACTCGTTCGATGTACTTGAAGTTGCTCAATCGATTAATTATCTAATTTTCTATGATTAATTAAGATTTGTAATCGTTAATTAATCTAATATGTAATAGATTTGTGGTTTAGTTGATGATTAATTGATTGTGAGAAAAAAAAAGGGTTCGCAATTTAAGTTTCGTTTAATTGTTGTTTTACAATTTTAACTTTGAAATTTTATCAACATTGATGATGATGGTTGATCACAATTGTTTCTTGTTCTTGGTGGTGGTTAATTGTTGTTAAATCAACAATTGGCACTTTTATTGTTACTGATGGATGTGTGTTTTTGTTTGTATTATATAAATTGTTACATATCCAGGTAACATTAGATTGTGAAAGTTTTTTAATTATCTTTATGTGATGAGGTTTATGTATTTAAATTGTGATGTTTAAGTTTAATTGGCTCGTCTTGATGATCCAATATCGTAGTTGAGGAGAGCGGCGTTAATTACAACTGGGCCATTGTATTCCTCTGGGGCTGGAGTTGATGCTAATGTGTTACCATTGGCACTGAAACTGTTGGCGGCTAAATTGTTTGAGGCAAAGTTATTAGTTGGGGCAACTGATTCGGGTTGGGAATTTGGTCTGGGGTTGATTTGGATAAGTCGTACACCAGGTAATTGGGGGAATGCGGAAAGTGGGTTAGAGTTGATTTGGTTGGCGATTTGAGCTTGAGCTGGGGTAAAGGAAGGTCGTGATTGATATGTTGGGGCAGCGGGTTGGGGTCGGAATTGCTGTGGAGCAGCTTGTTGCTGTTGTTGTTGTTGAGCAATGGCGGCGGCTTGGGCTTGGGCTTGAGCTTGTTGTTGAGCTTGAGCTTGAGCTTGGGCTTGTTGTTGAGCTTGTGCTTGTGCTTGTGCTTGAGCTTGGGCTTGGGCTTGGGCCTGTGCTTGAGCTTGAGCTTGAGCTGCAGCTTGAGCTTGAGCTTGTTGCTGGGCTTGTTGTTGGGCTTGTTGTTGAAGTCGGAATTGGAGAGCTGAGTTGGTTTGTGGATTGAAGCTTGGGTTGAAACCTTATGAAAGATACAAAGAGCTATTAATAAACACTTTCAATTGCTAAGTAAATCTGTTTACCTTGATGAGCGGGTGCGGCTGTTGGTGCAGCAGCGGCAGGTTGTGGGGGATGAGCGAACCTTGTTGGTGGAGCTTGTGGGAAGTTCTGTAATAAAACAGAATTAATAAGATATTAGATAATCGAGAAAAATACAAGAATAGAAAATAACTATTAATATTATTTTTCGTTGGATTCGTTTTCGTTATTTAACTTGGAAAATATTTCAATACATTAGTTTAATTCTTACAACATTCAATTATCTACCATAGAAAGTGAGGTTTGTTCAAAATCAATTTGAAAGTTTCTCAAATCTAATTGTTCGAAAATTTTATAAATTCTATTCTCACCTGGAATTGTGGAGCTGGAGCTCGTTGAGGTTGAGGTGCTGGTGTTGCAGCGGCAGCGGCGGGTGAACCAGCGGGTTTGTCCTCATCTATGTTGAAACCATCTTTACCTGCGGTGTAACGGACGATCCTTTGTTGACCATTGGCATCAACATAACCGTAAGCACCTTTAACGGTTCCGTCGGGTAAACGACTTTCCTCTCGGAAAGATTGACCTGAAGGACCTTTACCAGTATCATAACCGAACTAAAAATAAACAGAAAATCAAATCAAACAATTAATCCAAATTTAGAGCAAATTAAACAATAAAATCAATCAGAAAATGACCCTTGATCAATCTAATCGCAGGAAAATTAAAGTTCAACAATCAACTAATTACTATTTGATGATTAAGGAAAAACAATTGAAAAGATAACAATCAAATTGAAGGTAAGTCAATAAAGGAAAGTGTTTAAACAACAAACTGTTAACTTACTAATTAATGCTCACAATTAGCATAACAATTAGCAAACAACAACCACACACAATCAAATTAATCCATATTTATATTAGTGATTAAAAACCTTTTCAAATTTGTATAATTAGTTATGAAGGCGATGATAAATTAACTCAATGAGATAATAACTAAATGTAATCAGATTAATCAAAATGAAAAGTTAATTGCGATCAGTTAAATTACAATATTCTAAATTGTAACAATGGAAAAATGATTTTCGTTCATGATTAATATTTAATTGTTGGAACAATTGTTACTAATTGTTAACGAATCTAAATTATGGGATTGGCTTTTATTTCGTAAATTGTTATGATTAGACCCACGTTCTTATATTATATCAAATAGTTAATTGTGTTGATTATTATTATATTTCCGGGATAAAAGTGATTATTAATCATCAGGTTTTCTGAATGATCAAGAATCAAATCAAATGATTATAATCAACAAGAACAATTTAATTTTCACTTTTTACCCTCAGGTAAAGGTTTCCAATCAACAGTTAGCCATTGAAACAATTAACTAATCATTGAAAGATTATTGATATTTGTTAATTGTCTCAATCAAATTTAATTCTTCCTGGTTTGATTAACCTAATCATTGAAATATATAAATCATCATTTAAGTTCAATGATAATGAATCAATTTGTTGATCAACAATCAACATCAAATGTTTGAGGTCATTAAGTTAATTAATTTAGTTTGAAAATTAAATACAATTTAACTAATTAGTTCAACTTTTTTTAATTACTATAAGTTAAATGTCAAGGTTTAATTGTGTATGTTGACCAGCAATTAAGTCATTGATCAGATTAATTTTTGACAAAAAAAAGGTCAATAATTAAAAACTATAAAGTTAATTGTTACCTGGATGTTAATCATTATAATACAATCAATTAATTGTCCATTGATTGTTTTTTTTGTTGAGTTTTTCAATCATACTGAATTAATTGCTTTCAAGTTATTAATTGTTATTACAAATAGATAGTTAAACAGCCAAGGAATGAATGTCAATCAGTTAATTGTTGTTCAGTTAATTAACATACACACCTAATCTTGTTTGATTTAATCATTGAAACATTTTGACCAATTGAAATCGTTAATTGTGAATCACGTTAATCACGTTCAATCGTTGATAATGATTAGATAGATTTTTAATTTCTTTGGTTTTTGATTGTTGTCGTTAGAAAGTTAATTTAAATTGTTGATTGTTAATCATTAGAAAGGTGGGTTGATATATAAATGGGAATATGTTGATTGTACCTAATAAATAATCACGATTCAAAGGTTATCAGGTTAATTAATGGTCAATCGATTGGTGAACCAATCAACAAATTGTTAATGGTCAGTTTTGAATGATTTAAAAGTGTCAATTATTTTGTTGAGCTTCAAAATCAATAAATGTTGATTTAATCATTGATTAGAAATACTAATTGTAATTATTACTATCAGAGCCTTAAAGAAATATGTTAACTTTGAATATGATTAAAAGTTTTGGGTAAATTAAGATACACAATTAAAATAAAAGCTAATTAAACAGGTGAAAATTAATTAATCAACCTTTTAATTGGCAATAAAACCAAATGAAACAATCAGCAATTAGCTTAATCATTGACCTTTCAATGTTAAACCATTAAATTCACCTTGAGCAATATTAGCAAGATTGTCACAGTTGATTAAGATAATCACTGATTATTGATCAATTAAGATTCTGATTAATTGCTTAAAATTTATACTCAAAAAGTTAATAAGGGAAACAGATAGAAAACTAAGTTAATCACAATTAAAGCTTTTTAATCACAAATTTTGACACTCAAACACGTTTATCTTAACACTTTGATAACCAACAATTAGCATGTTGATTGTAAACAATTTACTTCAACATTTAAGAGAAATCAACTCTCGGATAATAAATGAAAACTAATCAGTATTTTGGTTTAGATTATTTTCAAATTAGTCGATAGTTTTGATCGAGTAATTAAGCTAATTAACTTACCTTGTAGTCACCAGCAAGATCTTGACCAATGTTCACATAGTGGACTTGAGCGGGAGGGTGAATTGGTGCTGGAGTGGTTGTTGTTTGAAAAGACTGACCATTGAAAGATTGTCCTTGAAACTGACCAGTAACGGTGATAAAAAGGATGGCAAAAGTAGCCTAGACAATTTGAATGATCGGAGGGAAGAGAAAAAGAAAAGAAAATTGAATCAATAACAATTAAAAGAAATTAACTGCACAAAATTGAAAGTAAAACTAATTTACTAATGAAACTCACAATTCGAATCATTTTGGAGGTTAATTGTTTATCCTAAATTGTAAATTGATGATTTATAAATATTGATGAAAAAAATTATTCCTCTGACACCGAATGAAAAATGGAAAATGAAAGTGATTCGTTTGGTCAGTTTACTTTTTATACGTTGACCTGCCGACGAATTCAAGTCAATCTTCAGTTCGAACCAACGGAATCTTCCGATTCCAATGTATTCTCCCTTTCTCTCTCTCTCTCTCTCTCTCTTTCTTACCTTTTCTTCCTTCTCACTCTCATCATCCTCATCATCTTCATCATCATCACTGACCAGCCCAGACAACAACAACTTCATCATCTTAATTGTGTCTTATATGTTTTTGGTAACTTTTCCTTAACCTAATTTTCATCATCATGAAAGGTGTGGTCCATTGATTCATTTACCTTCCTACCTGAATCAATTCCTCCCCCTTCCTCCCATTTATCATCATCATCATCATCATCATCATAATCATAACCATCTTGATTTGATCATAAACTGTAAATAATCAATGGAATCAGCAACAATTAGTTGTATACCAAACTAATGATACTTTTTGTTTCTTTAATTTTGTTTCGTTAATTTGCTTTTTTTCAAATTTTTTTTCGTTCATCATGTTTTCCAACAATTAACATTGCAATGATTAAATTAACTATCTTTAAGCTAATAGATTATAATAGTTAATTAATTGTTATCCATTGAAGGAGAGACAATAAAGTCCTCGTTGTTGATTATCAATGTCAAATTTGGATTTCGTTTCATTTTTAAGTTTATCACCTTGACGATTTTAATCATTTACTAACTACAATTAAAAATTTAAATCATCAATTGCCATTGATATTATTTTAATTGTTATCATTTAGCATTTTAAGATTCATTTTCAGCAATTTCAATTGTTATTTGATTGTGATTAATGGTTAATCTTAACAATGAGAAAATATAAAATCATGGTTTAGTTGGCCTAGAAAAGGTAAATTGAATTAAACAAAAAAAAAGAAAGTTTTCTCGATGGTTAGTTAATTGTTACAATTAAATATTCAACAATTTCCTCCTCTGCAAAAAGGTGAACAAGATAAATTACGACAATTTGTTAATTATTAGGAAGAAAAATCAAATTAAAGCTAATCATAAATCTTCATTAAATCAAATCGCTAATCTAAAATCCATGTTAATCTAATTATTTTTTTTTCTTCGTCTTGATTGTTGATTACGAATTTAACTAATCAATTGGGTGTTGTCTTGTCTTAATTATTGATCTTAATTGTAATCATTGATTTTCACAATCTAGTCAATCAAGTAAATAGTTACACCTAACCAAAGTATGCGAATTAAATCACGCAATTAACTTAATCATCAGGTTTTATTTTCGCGCTCCCATTGATTTAAGAATCAAAGTTAATCATCAAATCATCGATAGTTAATTGTAAATCATTAAGTGTTTGTTTTTGTGACAATTTTGTTTCATTAATTGTCCTTATTTAATTTGACAACCTTGAGAAAACTGTAGCAATTAAGAAAAAAGAAAATTAAATCTCTTTAAATTTCCCTAAATCATGTTAATCATGTTTCTAATTGTTAGCAAATTGTTGATACAATAAATCAGACCATTTAAAAGTAAATTAAGTGTCAATATATATATACAACAATTAGTAGCAATTAACAATTATAAAACCTTAATCAGATTTTCTTGTTAAACTATCAAAATTGAACAAAGTTCAACCAATTCAGTTGATTGTTATCAAGGTTAACAATTAACTTAAATTTGTTTTAAAAAAATTGATCAATTGTAAAATCTATTAATAATTAATTTATTAACTTAATCCATGACAATTAATAACATGTGCTCAGTGATTAATGTAAATGGTTAATCATAAATAATTAAGATCACATTGAAAGTTAATCACAATCACCAGATACATGAAATTAAACCATCACTTTTGTTTTAAATTGTCATTAATTGAATACATAATAACAATTAAGAATCGAGACCAATGTAGCAGTTAATTGATAACATTTAATTTGATTAATTCAAGAGACATAGACAATTAATATCAACAATAATTTACAATTTAAAATCAAATGTTTGTAGACACAAATTAAATCAATCAACGTGACTTTATGTTAATCAACAAATCAATATGATCACAGCAATTTGAATCCTCTTAATCCTCACGTTTTATAAATCACACTGATCATAATCATCATCAATTGAACACTATTAATAAATTGTTAGGAGATTCAGAGAAATCAGTGGACAATCAATTAGGATAAATTGTTTGGCATCTATTTAAATGGTCTCATAATTGTGATTAACCTACAATTAACATCTTGGGAAAAAAATTGTTCATCAATCTAATTGTGAATCTGTTAATTGTTACTCTGTGAAAGTGTATTCATATTGATCATAATCAACAATTAAGTGTTCAACAACTAATCAACAATCAACAAACTAATCAACATGAAAGGTTACATGGATAAAATTGAGGTTTGATTGTGAATTTAAATTAAAATAAACATTTTCAACCACAAACAATTAATTTCGTAATTTATCCCAATCAAATTAATATTAATTATTGAACTTTTTGTTTCTCTCCAGTTTCTTGATTACTGTTTATGATCAACCAACAATCAGATGATTATAAAGAAAAATTTTACTTTCTAATCAATGGATTATTAAGTTAATCAGCAATATAATCAATTAATTTAGATCAATGAATTAGACCAAAAAATGAATAATTAATTAATGTGAAAGATTAAGAAATTAACTTTTTGTTAAATTGTTTTGTTTTGTTTTTCTCGTGTAAATTTTTTAATTCATTGTTAATTTTTTCCCACCACAATTGAACACTACAACTAATTTAAATGATAATTAGAACCACAACAACAACAATCAAAATTATCACAATCATTTTACCAACAACAATTTAATGAATTTGGATGAATTTTTAATCGAGAATGGAGTTGATTTTAATTATATAAACGCAATCAGAGAGGAATCAGCAAAATTAGAAGTTGAATTCAGGTAAGAATAACAATTAAGACATCGAACCGAAAAATTAGATTTTTCAACTTTTCGATTTATTTTCTCCATCATTCTAGTCCACTGGACATTGCATTGGCCACTCGACCAGGAAGTGATGCTAATTTTGACCCTTCTAGTGCTCGTTTCTCTGAAGACGAACTTCGACCTCAGCCAATCATGAGAAAATCAAGGAAACAACATGTGCCCGATACTCTGAAAGACGCTCGATATTGGGCTCGAAGGGTCAAGAACAATATGGCCGCTAAAAGGTCAAGAGAAGCGAGAAGATTAAAGGAGAATCAAATTGTTCTAAGAGCAAGTTACCTCGAAAAGAAAATGAATCTCTCAGGGTGACACTCGATAAATTACGCCAAGAGAACGATAATCTCAAGAAGATGATCGATTCGGATTAAGAACTTTTTTCTCTCTCATCGAACCAAAATTCAACAATCATATTCATGATTCTTATTTCATTCTAATTGTTATTCTAATCTAATTAATATATACACATCGATTGATCGTAACTCTAATTGTTTGTCTTTAAATTAAAATAAATTGTTTCGAAAAACTAATTTCAATTGTTGATTATTTATATTTATATTGATGAGATTTAGTCAGTATTGAGACAATTACATTTACACAAGGATTAATAGGATTAAGAGTAAAGATAAATACAATTATAATGAGTAATGGATAAAGGATAAGGTGAGAATATATTGAGGATAATAACATAACTAAATTAAGAAACAATTAAGAAATATAATCTTGAGTAAATATTTAAAGTTTGTGGTTAAGATTTTAGACAATTAAATCTCAACTGATCCAGAAGATGTTGATTGTTGATGAGTGTAGAGAGTTTTAATTGTGATTAGAATTTCACCTTACCAGGAATATATTTATCGATAAGTGATTGATAATAAGGACGAAGTTGATCAATATCGGGAACGATTTCAGACTTTGTATACAAGTCGAACTTATTAAATTCCCTAATCCATTCCAGCATCGCTTTATCCTTCTCATTACATAGATACATATAATCACCTGACATGTGCCATGGATAAAATGAATGATATCTAATACAATAAAGAGCTTCCTCAGGTAATTTCATATTTGGATGGTTAACCAGAACTCGATACAAGTATTCATCATGGCCCCAGGACATTTGAACATTTTCCAATCCACAATTAGCATTGTAAACACCATACTTAGTATTATACCTTGAATCATATGCATCCGGATTAAGATTAAAACTTGTCTCTCTGTAAACAATTGAATCAGCGTATTCACAGCCAACCGGAAATGTATCACCGACAACTGACCATTGAGGTTCACCATAAAAGGCCATTACCTTACCAAGATCGTGAATTAGTCCAGTTAAATGAAACCAATCAAGGGTCGGATGTTTCCTCCTGATCTCTTCAGCGGTTTGAAAGGCATGGACAATGTTTGGCATGTCCACATCGGGATCCGATTCGTCGATCAGGTCATTTAATTTTTCCAAACCTTCCATAATTGTTAATTCCATTTTATCAAATTTAGTCCATTGGGCCAATTTTCGAGTTGCAAAGTCCAAAGTTTGGTGAGTGTGCATTTTAAGGTAAGTGTTTTGGACTCGCTTTTGAATTGGATCATCCTGAGGAAAAGATTAATCAACAATCAACAGGTTAGATTACCAATATATTAACAGACATGATTAATGATTAATTAACTTACTTGATTAGTTGTATATTGTCTGAATTGTGTCTTCTCTTTAACCTCTTCAGGTCGATGTAGTTCTGATGGATCAATAAGACTTACTTTAGGTGAAGACATTGGTGTTTGGATCATTTTAATACTAATTGTTACAATAAAATTAGATAATTAATCGTAATTATAATGTACAAATTTAAAGGGTTGAAAAGTTTTCTGATGAAAACAGAAAAGTTTAACACTCGATTTAGATGATTATTTACTTTGATTTTGATGTTGTATTGAAATTGATCACTTTTTCATTTCAATCACAATTTAAGGTTTTTAATTATGGTTGATTGTTGTTATTTGCCAATGTTTAAATACTTAATTCAGTTGTTGATTGGAAGATTAGATTAAAGTTAAATGAGGGAAGAAACAATTTCCATGGGATCTCTCATAGGGATTTTCTCAGCCATTTTACCAATGGTTCCTCCTCAACTCCTTCCTCCTCCTTCATCATCATTTCTCAATCGTTTCTCAACAATTAATCAACGTTAATCTAATCATTGTTTCAAGAGATCTCTTGATCATTAGACTTAATCCGTATACTTATCACTTATCCAGTTCTCTTAATCAAATCTCTATCTCTCATTCTCTGTCCTCATCAATTGATTATCTTAATTTTCTGTGTGGCCCTCACTCTTACAATAAGTTTTTACCATTGATTTTCAATTGATGATTAATGGAAGAGGCAGAAAACAAATCAGATAATCTCACCCAATGGAGATGATTTAATCTCTTATAAAATATCACCAGGAAAACTAAACATTAAGATCTGATTCAAATAAGTTTGATTAATCTGGTTCTCTCCGGTTAATTGTAATTTAATTGTCAAGTGTCGTTGATTAACATTACATCATCAAAGATTCACCATTGGAATCGGAATATATTGATTGTCATTAATACTTTTTTTCCCAATCGACAATAGACTCGCTCACTCTCTCTCTCTCTCAGTCTTAATTGTTGATTGTTGATGGTCTCTAATTATCACCATCTGATTGTCATAATTAAAAGATAGTTTACTTAATTGTTGAAATGATTTATCGTTGAAATTGTTTTCTCGCCAATTTTTATAACTAATCATTTGTTTCCGCAACTTCAATTTCAATTTTCAACGATTCCGATAACAATTAGTTAGCTAAATGTTAATCATGTTTTAAATTGATGACCATTAATCAATTGATTGACTGGTGTTAATTGTTATTAACATGGTTTCCATACTTATTACTTATCACTTTACAATCAATTCTCAATCTTAATTGTTGAATGAAATGAAAAATATTATGATACAATGTTAAACAATTAAGGCAATTTATTAACTAACGAAACAAAAAAAAATTGAATTAACTTTAATTTTTCACCATTTAGATATTAATTTATTTTGACAACATATAATTTATTATTATTATATTATTATTATTTGTTGATTCCGGAAACTGGATTTAGCTAATCATCAACAATTCAAATTGTTGATCAAAATTTAACTTCTTGGTCTTTGAGATTAACTTTAAGATGGTTAATTTTTTTTTTCAATTAAATCATCAAGTTAATCCAAAAGTAAATTGTTGATAATTTGTTTATTGCTCAAGGCTTTTACAATTAACAGTTAGATTATTATTATTATAATAATAGTAATTGGAAAATTAAAAATCGTTAATCATTAATTTGTATCAAAGATCAGATTAATTGTGGCAATTTAAATAATATTGATCAATCAATTGATTAACTCAAACTTTTATTAATCTCATTTTGAAATTAAATTATTAGGAAGTCACAAGTTTTGATTGATTTGAATTTAAATAAATCTAATTTTCTTAATTATCCCTTTTAATTGAATTTAGTTTATTTGAATTGAGCACAATCAGCTGATTGATGAAAAAGTGATCAGAAACTTTGATTGTTATTACAATTATCTAATTGTTGTTGTAACAGTTAAATTGGTCACCTTGGACTTAGATTATACAATTAATTAACTGATTAGGACCAAGATTAACGGTAAATTTATTAATAATACAAATAATGATCATGATGATTTAATGATTAACTAAATTTTCAATGTCTCTTTTTATATAAGGATGAAAAAAATTAATCTCCACAATTAAGGGTAACAATTAAAGTTAATTCTTTGACTATTGTTATGCTTTTAACAATTTACAATTCGTTAATTGTAATCGAAATCAAGTGATTAATTTTTTTCACCTTCTCTTTTAAGGTTTGGATATTTTTAATTGTACAAATTTGGACTAAATTGTAAATTGAACATGAAGAAATCATCAGTTAATCATGATGATGATTAAAATCAACAGAAAATTAAATTTTGGATTAAGGTGTAATCCATATTTGGTTATTCAGTTCCAGTTAATCTGATCCCAATTAAGTTGACCCAACAAATGATTAACTCAATTGATCTTGATTAGTAAATGATCAACGATGACAGGTAATCACTATTATGATTAAAATCGAATTGAATTAATTGTAGTTAAACAATTAAAAGTAATTTGCTTTATGATTGTTGTTGTTTTTAAGCAACTACAAGTACAGTTGTTGCAATATGATTATGATTAAAATCAATTGAAACACTTAATTGTAATTAACTGTCTCGTGTCTCTTTTCTCGTGTTAATTGTACTGAGATGAAATTAAAAATAATCAACTAATCATATTTACCTTTCTTAAGTAGTATCTAGATTAACATTATCTAATTGTAATAGTTAATTGTTGAATCTTTTACTTTGCACTTTAATAGATTAACTTTCAATCAAGATGAATTCAAATTGGTGACAATTAACTTATACTTACATAGAGTTTGTGTCGATTGATATTCAAATTAATTTAATTGCAAATGGAAATCATGTTTAGCTAATTGCGGAATTAACTTTTTTATTTTTATTTAGCTACAATCAGATCATTAACCTGATTGTGATTGTTTATAATTAAGGAAATTTATTTACTCTTTTGATTGATTGATTGACATATTAACTGTTTGTAAATCTATTGATTTCTCATCAGTTTGTTTGGTTAATTAAATGAAATTTACAACAATCAAAGAGTATCAATACAATTACCAAAGATGTTACAATTTATATCTAAATCAATGATCAGGTAAATTGTTACCAACCGTTAATTGTTTACTCTTAAACTATACATTCAAATGAATCATTAATTCAGTTGAATTCAGTTAATTGTGAAGAGATCTCTTGACCGTACAAGAGATCTCTTCACAATTAAAGTTAATTACTAAGGGAAATGTTTAATTGTAAAAGTCCTCCAACCGAGTGAAACAAAAGGATCAACTAATTGATTGTTGATTTAATTTGTTGACAGGGTGAAGAAAATTAAGAAAATCACAATTAGCTAATTAGGTGCAGATCTTGATTACCTTAAATCAAGTGAATAACAAAAACAACAACAACAATTAAAGTCACATGCTTATTATTAGTCTAATTATTTAACGAAAACGAGGAAACAATCAGTTGATTAATTAAGGAAATCTCCAAATCAATAAGACCTTCAGATGATTAGTTGATTGTGCTGAGGATGATTCATATTAGTTTACAATTAGTTGATTATTTTGATCAAAACAAAGCAAAAAACGAGGGAAAATAACTTGACACTAGAATTGATTTAGCTCTTAATTGTTGTTGATTGTGATTGAGTTAATTTTTTCATCCTCTGATTACAATTGGTTATCAATATTAAACAAGGTTAACCTTGTCTAATCCACTTGAATTAAACTCCAGCAATTTAACACGAGATTGATTAACTAATCTGATTGTCTAAGTATTATGGTTTAATCATAATCAAAATCATCTAATAGATAAATTGTTTATCAGTTGCTCATTTAATTACGTTTAATTGTTTCAATTAAGAAATTTGTTTTCATTGAAACTTTTACTTTCTCTTTAATCAATGTTATGTCACTTTGGAGTTTAATTTAATTGATAATAAATGAAACAATTAATCAAATCAATCAAAAGAAATGTTTTTATTGTAAAATTTACAATTTAAAATAATTTAATCATCATTACACTTATCAGATTGCAGTTTAATTGTTTAGGAGTTTACGATTATGTAAAAATTTGATTAGTTCAATTTAATTGAACTCTTGTCATTGATTAATTGTTGATCACCTTAATTGTTGTCTATAAACAGAATTAAATTGTTCAAATTGATTAATTGTGCTAAGACAATGAGCCGGTTTTTTGATATTTTTCCGCTTTCTTATTAACAAATCCCAGCGATCTTCCAGCAATTAGTTGATTGTTACGTTTTAAAAGTTCAAGCGATGATTTAATTGTTGAATTATCATTAAGATAATCAGTTGATTTCTTTCTGGTTGAGAAAATATCATTGATTGAGAAAAAAACAGGAGGCGATGGGAAACCTATGGAAAAATTAAATAGAAGGAGAAAAGATCAACAATTAAGAACAATTTTCTAATTCCAATTCCAACAATTTACAACAACAATCAACAATCAGCAATCAAATCAATATAATTACGTTTGTACGATCGAGACAATTTATCTTTCAAAATCAAAATAGAAAGATCCATTTCTTCATCCGATTAATACTAACAATCAGTTAATCAACTAATCACTAATCATCCTGTAAATCATAATAATAGAAAATCATTAATTAGTAATCATCATCAAAGTAATAGATTAACACATCTTAAGCTTAATGATTAAATCTGAAAAAAAATTGATTGCCAATCTTGATTGATTGAAAGAGATTGATTTTAATTATATCCAATTTTTTTACGATAAGTTGATCAATCAAATTTGAAAGAGTTAACAACAATTAAAAATTACGAATTGAAAATGTTCACCTTTTCTATTGGTCACTTTTTTGGTCAAATTAACGGAGGTGCGACTTTTGGACTTGATCTGATCGGATTGAAATGATTGTGGTGGCAGCGATGATGACGGCGGTGGTTGATTGATACTATTATTTATCGGTGGAAGCTGAACCGGCTTGGGTCGCCGTATTGATGAATTAGAGTCATCCCGACTTCTGGCTGAATAAGATGAAGATAATACAGTTTTAATTGTTGATTGTAATGGTTGTAAGATGATTGAGCGAGATGGACGAGGTCCATTTTCCCCACCAAGGGTCACTTTGATTTCCTCGCCGAAACTTTCGCGACTACTTAAAGTTACTATTGAACGAGATGTTCCTGACGATGATTTAGATGTTGTACTGTTATTTGGATGATCTAAATTATTTCGAGACAATAATTAGAAAATAAATTTAATTACAGAAGAAAATTTCAATTTGAATGTTGTTGATTAAGTTAAATTCAGTTTCTTACATGATTGTTTTGCTGAGAATCGAGATGTTAACCTTGATGGATCCCATTTAAAACTATCACTTGATCCTTTTGAAAATGAACCACGACTTTTGGTAGGAAAAGTGAAATTAAAAATAATTTAGATTAATTTAGGTTTAAATCTGATCAAATTAACTTAATTGTTACCTTGACTCAATGTTGTTCCAGTTACTTTCCGTTTGGTTTGAATACTTTAAAAAGATGGCACCTCGTTCACTCCTTGTTGATTGTTTTCCATTGAAATTTAATTGATTGGATTAATTTTTCTGTTAATATTTAGATTAGTTAATCAACTTACTCGGTAAATTTGATTCTAAATTTTTCTCTCCATTGTAAACATTCATTGATTATTTGATCTGTTAATCCTTTCGCCGGAGATTTACCAAGTAATACAATCTTATCAATTGTCGTCAAATAATTTTGTAACCACTGATCATGTTCCAGATCACATTCCTATTAGTTAGAAACAATTAACCACAATTAGTGTACCGTTAATTTATCAATTAAAACTCATTGATAACAGTGAATGACAAATTTTCGTATACAGCTCAGCAATAATTGATTGAGAGGTTAATTTGATTTGACTGTTAATCAAATTGATTGGTTATTAAGATCAATTTATATTCTCTAAATCAAAATCTAATGAAAGATAAAAAAGTTGCGTTTGATTGAATCTAACATGTGGTTGTATGGACAACGACGGTTTTGGCCTGGTGCTTAGAGATGATTCAGGTCAGTGTCTTGAAAAGTCAAGTACTCATATTGTACTTACTAGAACCAATTCTCTTCTCTGCAATTTCCAACTCATTTAACTGAATTGGTTCATCTGAATTGTTTATGAGTATCAGGCCAAACCCGTCGTTGTCCATACAACCACATGTTAGATTCAATCAAACGCAACTTTTTTATCTTTTATTAGATTTTGATCAAAACAAATACAAATTGATCGTAATAACCAATCAATTTGATTAACAATAGACGTTTATGTCTAGCACCATAAATTAATAATAGATGATGATAAAAGATTATCAACCAAAATGGTCACTTGATCGTTGAAAATGAGATGGGAAAAAATGACCAAAGGATTGAACAAATTAACTAAATCATTGGAATCAAATTTGATTTCAACTTATGGAACAGTTAATTAAAGGGAATCTCACCTCACCAAGGGAATAACCACTTTCTGTTGAGAAACCACCGAGTATGGAGAAAGTGTCATCAATATTAATTATGGAGTCACTCATATCACAATTAGAGAGAAATAAAATTAAATAATCGTTAAAATCTATTAATCTGGAAAAATTGGTCAACCCATTTGGTCAGTAAATGTAAACACAAACCACCAAGAGATTCACTATTCAGGTGAATCACAAATGGATTCGGAAGGAGAAGAGAAAAGGTTAGAGTCGATGGCCTCAACTCGAAATGTCCAAAAATCGAATCGTAATTATATCTTTTACCTTCTCATTCTTCTTCATGAGGTGTGGATCTCTCTCTCTCTCTCTCTCTCTCTCTCTCACTTGTCTACAATTTGTTTCCATGGAAATTGAAATGCAAATGAAAACAAAGAAACTCAATCAATTGGAAACATTTTATATTCTTAATGACTTTCCGATTATCTTCTTGTTTCGTGTCTTTGATTAGTCCATAATCCGAATATGACCACTTTCTGATTTCATCATTTTCCATCTCACTGATTAATATATTCACTTGGAACAATTTAATGGGATTGGTAGAAACTAGAGATAAGTTTTAATCATTTTTCTCTTCTTATGTTGACACACTGTTTGCTTGGGATACTTGGAGATGAGAAGAGCGAAAAATTACAAAAAAAGAGAAATGGGAATATATTGTTACTATTGGTTACAATTAATTGAACGTAAGGTTCTCAGTGGTTTTGATTTGATCACTGGACTGATCATGATGGTATTTGAAGAAGGGCATTTTGAGTGGATGGTAGATAAACAACATTTCGTGACCTTGATAGAGCAGCGGCGATTTCTTCGGCTGCTTCCAATCTACGAAGTTCAACTAAAGCTTCACCAGCTTTACCAAATGCTGCAGCCAACAGAGCAGCGGCTTGTGAATCTCCCTCAGCGGTGATAATTGCAGCAATTTTTAATTGTTCAGCCTTTTCTACTAAGAAACGAGCCTTTTCTGCATCTTGTTGGGCTACTTGTTTCATCTCAACAGCAGCGGTAAACTCACGACCGAAAGTCAAATGAGTCTAAAGATTATCAAGGAAAAAAAAGAGAAAATAAAAATTAGTTCACCTTTTAATTTACTGCAAACAATCAATTTATGAGAAGAAATTTGTTCTTACCAGTGAAATATCATCTAATAAGAGACCAAACTGAGCAGCTCTTTCTGTAAGCTCTTCACTGACTTGTCGAGACACCAACTCTCTTTGGGTGATCAGTTCACCTGCATCGAATTGAGCCTATTAAATTAGATTTTTAGAAAATTAAATTCTTGTTAAACCACATGGATTTTCAATAAAACTCATTTTGCAAATAGATACTCACTACAACAGCTTTAAGGACTTCATTTGTGATGGAAGGTAAAACACGTTCATCATAATCAACACCAAGGCTTGTGTACATTTTTGGTAAATTTTCAGGGACCGGTCTGAATAGAATACGCAATGTGATATTGACATTCTGTAAATCTAATAGAGGGAGAGAGTTATAATTAGTAATTTGAATATTCAATGAAAAATCACAACAGAAAACAATAAGATTTACCTTTACTACCAGTAACAACCGGTACATTCCTGGGTCTTGAACGAATATCAAAAATGATGGGTTTCTGTACCCATGGAATCAAAAAGTGAGTTCCTTCACCAACAACGTTAGGTTTAATTCCAGAGAATCGATCAAAAATGACTGCCCTATGGCCTCCGTCAACTAAAATAAAATAAAATGAAACCAAATAAGTGAAACAATTAAAACATAACCTAACCCAAAGCAATAACTATAAAAACCATTGCCAGGAATTAACAGGAAATAAAAATTATATTAAACAACAAGACATTTTCTTACCATTGTACAAAGCACTATTGACAATACCACCTGCAAGAGCTAACCCAAGACCTAATCGTCCAATTCCAGCTAAAATTTGAGCCATAATTAGTTAACAACAATTAGAAAACAATCAAATTTATTGATAACAACAAACATAAAATAAGAAAACGTGATTGTATTTTATTAGCGCCTTCTGGCGAATGCATTATACATTATTCTTCAGGGTTAACTGAAGGTCCTTGCGGACACTGAACTAGTCGTTCAGTTTTCTGGGTTAGTATTTTGTGAATTTGTTTAAGGTTATTTATTTTCATTTTGCAGTTTGTTTTTTCATTTAAATTCCATGATTCTAACCAATATTCTCTCGTGCTATTACAGTGTTTTAAGTAGTGATCGATGTTTCTTGTTTTTCTTTTCTTATCATTTATCATTTGGTTGAACATGTTTATCTCTGTGATTAGGTTGTTTAGCTGTTTTAAGCTAATTTCCTGGTAATGGCTATACATTTTTTCCATTGGTTCTGGAATTAGTATTGTAAACATTGATGGTTTTCTATTGCTCATTATCAACTTTTCTATCTTCTCATTTAGATTTACTTTGATGTCATCCAATGTGTTTATCCGATTCTTTAGTTTTATCGTTCTTCTTGGTTCCACAGGTATCATGTTGTTTATTTCCGTTGCCTTCCAAGTGTAAACACCCGTGTGCATTTCGAGCATCTTAATTATCATTCTCGTACTGATTGAATTTGGAAATCTTATGATGTTTGTTGGAAGTTCGAAGTTTACTCTTGTGTTCTTATATTTACTGATTAACATGAAGAGGGCTAGAAGTGTCGTTCTGTTTTTCGTTCCATCCATTGTTTCATAAACTGTTTCTTCCTCATCCAATGAGTATTTGTTTGATCTTTGCTTGATTCTAACCGTTGGTAACGCTGAATATTTCATTTCTCTTTTCCAGAATTTTTCCACACTCGATTGATTTGGTTCCGAAAACGTGATTTGTTTATCATTTATTTTGACGATGGGCCAGTTTTCCAGATTAGTTGATGTTTTGTTTATCGCGATGATTTGATTTCGAAGCCAATGTTGTACTGGATTTTCCAAACGAAAGAGTATAATTGGTGACCAGTTTGATGATCGTTTACTGAGGTTTAGATTTCGTTTTAATCTCTTGTTTACAATTTCTTGCAGGTTGTTAATCAGATTTTTGTAGTTTCCATTTCTGTAGATTGCATGTGGTCCAAGATGGTAAAGGATCGAGTTCGTGTGTGCTGATATCACCATTCTTTGATAATGTATTGGTAGGTTGTTAATAACTCGGAGCTGTGACTGAATTTTACTTTGATGTTCGCTGATGATTCTGGTTAGACTTGTTTCATTGATTGGGTAACCCAAGTACCTTCCTGTTATTTTTTGATTGGAGTTTTCCGGATGCTTGATTATTTTCGTTTTACTGTCATTTAACTGTAGGTTTATTTTTAGCAGTTCGCTTTGTACAATCAGTTTTTGATTTTCCACTTCACTCTCATTTGTAAGTAACACAATATCATCTGCAAAGGCAATTAAATTAACTTTCTTTCTAACACAGTTTCTAATTGCTTTGTTTAGGCCAATAACAAAGAGAATTGGACCCAGAGACGATCCCGCTGCTGTTCCAATGTCATCCGATTTGTATTGAATTTGATTATTTTCACAGAAACGTAAGATTCTGTTAGTGTGAAATGATCTTATCATTGAGATCGTTCCTTGATCGACATACCGACTCAGTTCTTCCAAAATTGTTTCCATACAAATGTTGTCGAATGCTTTTGTTGCATCGAGGGATACTACCAGACCATTTTCGAGGTGTTCTCTTATTATTACATGGAAGTCATCATTGTTTACTACTGAGTTGTAAGCAAATTGTGTGTTAGGAATTATTATTTCCATTAGTACTTTTTGCACTCTCTTTGTCAGGATTTTGTCATAAACTTTCAGGATGTAATTTGCGATTTTAATCAGCCTGAGATTTCCATCTGGTTTGGGTATATAGTGAGCCCCGAAAGTCTTTATCTCTATGGGAACGATTCCATACTCGAATGATTGTTCAATTGCTCTTATGAGATTAATTTTATTAGCTTTCCATAATTTTTCCACATTGTTTTTGTGTAGTTATCAGCATTACCGGATTGCGATCGAAACGTGAAGTTCATCATCATCTCCCTCTCTGAGTTGCTGATTTCTGATCTGTACCCTGTCTCTGTCTTTAGTTCTGGTTTTTCTCTACTGAACTCATCTAATTTTGGTTTCATTTTTCTACTATTTACTAGATCAAACAGATCATCTTTTTTTCCTATTAGTTTCTTCACCATGTTCCACATTTTTTCTGAATTATTTCTGATTTTGAACATGTACTTTCTTGTTCCTTTTTTACTTCCTATTCTAACTTTTAGACATTTTAGCTCTAATTCTCTTATTCTTTGTGGGTCTGCCTTCTTCCTTTTGAGTTTCTGAATTTTTCTCCTTAGCTTTCTAATTCTTCTATTGTTTGCAACTTTTTTCCTTCTTCTAAACTTATGATTGACCTCTTGTACATCGATGAGCGATTTAAAGAGTAGTCTGAAGTCAGTTACGTGAGCTAATTTGATTTTGTTTCTATTTGTTATTGATTTGTGAGTTAGTTTTTCATCTTGGATAAATCTATTCTGTGGTTTAAACTTTACTGTGTAGAGTCTATGATCAGCTAAGAATGGGCCCTCAATTATTTCAGTTTCATTGACATTGGTTAGTACAATATCTATCCATGACTTTCCAGAGGGTGATTGTGAGAAATAACAGTTGTTCCGATCGTTAGATGGCTCTCACATCGAGGGGAGAAAGAGCAAAGTGCGAAAGAGGCAAAAAACTGCCGAAAGAGAAAAGAATTTGTATCGACCATCGATCATCGAGGATAATCGATACCGTCGATAGCATCAAAAATTAAAATTGTCACTTGAGGAAAAGTCTATTCGTCCACGAAGTTGTGGACATTCAGCACACGCGACTATTTGTCCACAATCTTTTAAATATATCATTAAATTAGCAGAAAATTTGAAAATAAATTTGTTAGTCCAGTGATAAGGTGAATGCCCATAGAAATTTTATCTAAGGTTCGAATCTTGTTTAATATTTATTTTTTTTTAAGAATTAAAGGTTAATTTCTTAATTTTTCAATTTTTTTTATTTACCAAAGCTTTCTAATTAGATTATTAGATAGATTGTATTAAGGTTAAATGAAAATTCAGATATTTCCATCAAATAGACAATTTTTATACTTTCTTGCCCATCTTTCAATCTTAATCAAATTTTTATTCATTATTAACATTTAATTTCTGGTGCTCTATTTTTAACCTCATATTTAATGGACTAACATGTGTTAACAAAGTTTCTAATGTAGATTTGCTTTGAAGCTATTGTTAATTCTTTTCTTGGCAATTTAATCAACTTAATTAAGTTAATTAAGTTAAAAATTCGACTTGGACCCGATAATATTTGATCCTAATATCGAATAATATCCGATAGGATCAGATACATAATGTGGACATTTAGGGCTTACCGTCACTTGAAGTTCAAAGTTTGAATGTTTATTTGAAAAAAAAACGTGTTATTTTTTTTTTGTTTTTTATTTGTTTGGTGTTTTTTCTGTTCCTCAAAATGGATTCTTATGTTGATCGATCGGCGATTGATGATGTTATTAAAGTTTTCAAAACTTATTCCAAAATTTGTGAAAAGAAAAAGAAAACCAATCTACTTTCTGTTGATGATAATAATGACAAAATTTATCTGCAGATGAGCTTCAAATTACCACCAGCAAATAGGACAACTTATATAAACAATTATCGTCCTCTTCCACATCCATACCTTAATTTAATTGATCCAACAATTTGTATAATTGTAATGGATCGTAACCATGAAGGTTTACCCGATCGGGATTATGATCTTCGGATTACCAAGGAATATTACGAAAAAAGGGTAAGGCTCAAGATATGTCCGTAAGCTCAACTTTTCTACTTTCAGTTGACGTTTTTTCGGCTTACGATTCGCGGCTTTCTAGGAAAATGATTTAATTTAATTGATTAGTCGATTAATTCAGCAATCTAAGATTATTTGACGCCTTGTGGGTATAGCGGGTACATGTTAGTCCACATTTAACAATGAAATAAAAGTGATTAGCGAAAGATGTGGCTAATCAGCTGTCGACCGCTAACATTACATGAATTGTGTGATAGTTTGATTGTCTCAGGCCCTCCGGGCCTTCCTTTGTCCATGGTGACCCTTAATAGTGAAAACCTAACCTAACCTAATTTAAACAAACACAATTAATTGAGAAATTCAGTTAACTTCCATATGTAGCTGTAATCGTAAGCCGAAAAAAAGTCAGCTGAAAGTAAAAAAGTTGAGCTTACGGACATATCTTGAGCCTTACCGAAAAAGATTGATTGAAGCTGGTATTTCCAAGGATCTGATAAAACATCGACTCTTCATCTTACCAATGAGAGAATTACTAACCGAGTATCGGTTGCCAATAATGAAACGTCGTCTTGCCTCATCATTTAATGTATTTATGGCCGATTCTCGGTTAGTCTCAAATAGATTTAAATTGTTACCCAAATTTTTAGGAAAAAAATTCTGGATTGAAAAGAAATGTTTTCCAATTGGAATCAGTTTAAAATACAAAAGAAAACACCTGAAAAACTCATTCAATAAAGCGCTTGGAACTTGTTCCCTTTATATAACTGGACATGGACCCGATTCAAGTGTAGCATTTGGGCTTTCCAGACAATCGGAAAAAGAGCTAGCCGACAATTTAGAATTTGTTTGTAAATCAGTTTATAAAACTTTCGGTAAAGCAATCCAATTATTGAAGATCAAATCAACAAAATCATTGGCGATACCATTTTATGCTGATCTCAATCAACCCATCGAAGAAGTGAAAAATATAATTCCACGAACAGTTCGACTTAATGCCAATCCAGTCATAGATGAGCATCCATTCTACGACAATGCTGAATTGATTGTTTATCCGACTGGTAAAACTGCGATAAAAAGGCCCCGCAATTGGACTCCAGAAAGTGATGAGGAAGAAGATGAAGAGTTTTATCGAAATCCATCATCATATGGGGCAAATCAGAATGGAGGTTTCAAGAGACAATTTAACTAAGCAATTAAATGACATGAAAGAGAAACTTTTTTTCTATGGCAATTAGATTGCGAGCCCTACATGTAAATCACTAGATATGTTTTGTTTTGTTTTGTACAATTAAATGTAACACAATTGTCATGATTATGTGTTTGTTTGTTGAACAATTAAAATGTCAGTGAATTTAAGTAGATGACAAGAAATGAATATAAAATGAATGAGAATAAGCTGATGTCATTACAATTAACGTTGATCAAGGTAATCGTAGTTAATTAAAATTGTCCTTTTGGCAAGAATATAATCATTATAATCAACAAAATCAGCCATGATTATGTTTGGTTTAAAATTGGTCTTTTTAACTTCCAATAGCCATTCTTCAATTTTCTGGTTCCCAGTTTTGGAGAGTCGAGAGTAAAGGTTATTACAAATGTTTCGAACTACCAAAGCTTTGGACGGAGACAAAATGGCCTGATGAACAAAGAAAGTATCGGACGGACGATTAGAAAAGCCATTCCATAAATAGAGGATCAACTTTGAAGGTAAAGCTGTATTAGCCCAAGGATTTGGTAACATGGTACTAGGCCAAAGTTCGTTGTATCGGGCAGAAAGGTCATCATTTCGATAGACGATTATTATTTGATATCTTTTGGCCCACATTTCAGCTAAAGTTAATTCATCGAGTCGTCGATATTTAACATAAGGACATATCTTATTGCCGAGTAATTGAATGAGATTGTTAATCAAGGTAACATGTTGAGCTTGTGATACCGAATGGAAATGTTGAAAATCAAGGAAAACAATTTCCCGCTCATTAGAATGGAGAAAATCTCTTATTGATCTTAACATGGTAAGTATTTTATCTCCATATAAACCATGGACAAAATATAGCTCATTGTCAAAAGGGTCAGAGGCCGTTCGAAGGTCAAAATAACGAATTCCATGGTTAAGTTGCTCTTTGATGTCAACTCGTTGGGTTTTAAACCATTTTTTAATCACAAAGCGACCAGTTAATTTAGGAAATAAATGAATTGCAGTTAATTAAAGGGAATCTCACCTCGCCAAGGGGATAACCACTTTCTGTTGAGAAACCACCGAGTATGGAGAAAGTGTCATCAATATTAATTATGGAGTCACTCATATCACAATTAGAGAGAAATAAAATTAAATAATCGTTAAAATCTATTAATCTGGAAAAATTGGTCAACCCATTTGGTCAGTAAAGTAAACAAAAACCACCAAGAGATTCACTATTCAGGTGGATCACAAATGGATTCGGAAGGAGAAGAGAAAAGGTTAGAGTCGATGGCCTCAACTCGAAATGTCCAAAAATCGAATCGTAATTATATCTTTTACCTTCTCATTCTTCTTCATAAGGTGTGGATCTCTCTCTCTCTCTCTCTCTCTCTCTCTCTCTCTCTTGTCTACAATTTGTTTCCATGGAAATTGAAATGCAAATGAAAACAAAGAAACTCAATCAATTGGAAACATTTTATATTCTTAATGACTTTCCGATTATCTTCTTGTTTCGTGTCTTTGATTAGTCCGAACATGATTAATTCTTCCGATAGTCAGATGGCTTGTATCGAGATGCAAAAACTTTTTCTCTAAAAAAGTAAAAATTTCGAGAAAGTGTGAAAATCGCCCAATTCAGCAATTAACTTGAATTTGAAAATAAAACAACATTTAGGTTAATTTTATTCGAAATATTTAACACATTAAATTACTCAATCTTGTTTGTTTTTCTTCGTTTAAATGACGAGATGATACTTTCAACTGGACCAATTACAAGAAAGTGAAAAATTAATCCAGAAAAATATCCAATGGCAATTAAGAAACTTAAATCAGTAAGGAACTAATCAAGAGAAAAGAAAAGAAGAAAAAATTAATATTAATTTGAGTATTGCAATTAAGATAATCTTAATCTTACCCTACTATCCAGATAAACTTTAGTTTTATTTGCATAAAACCAAATGTACAAAGGCCAATGGGAAAAATAAGTGGCCCTCGAGGCCGCTAATGATAATTTGTATAAAACCGCATTCGATTGATGCAATTTCTCATTTCGAACCGGTTTCTCGTCGATCAATTTATTATGGTTAATGTCCAATTTGACTTTAGATTTAATCATAAGTTTATAAACTCGCTCATCATGGAAACCTAACCATCCAATCCACGCAAAACCAACGGACACAACGGCTTTACAAATAGTCGCATGAAGAGCGTACCAAAAGGGGGTAGTTTCGATCTTTAATACATTCCATAATCCTGGAGAATAAGCTGCCAGAACAATTAAGATAATCAATAGAACTGTAATTAGCCGAGAAATGATCTGCATGAAAAAGAGAGACATTGATTAGTTTAAATGGTTAAAATAATTAGAATCAAGGAATACCTTTGATAGACCAATAGATGAACTTGGATTCATCCAACAATGATAAGTGACCATTAGTGCCAATGAATAAGCAAATAGGTGAGATTCTGACCTAAGGTAAGTCTTGGTGATGTAACTTTCAATTTGTCTAACGAAAATGCCAAAATTTTACAAAATAATCAATAAAATGGAATCGTAACTATTTAAAACACTCAATACTTACTCCCAATGTTCAAACTTATAACCAGCTAATCTGTAGACGAAATTATTTGAATAATAAGTGTTAAAGACAACAGCAAGACCGATAATCATTACGATTGTATTTAGGACATAAGCAGTTCGAGGACTTTTCTTATATAAATAGACGAAGATCAAAGCAACAGCAAAGAGATGGAGCTCAGCGTCCATTGACCAGAATGGACCAATACACTTGACCATAGAAATGAAAAAAAGGAAAACAATCAGCAAATCAATTCATCAATCAATCTACAATCAATTACCATATCATAAGCATTCTGATAATTGTGAATATGTAACAAAGTGTACAACCAATTAGAGGCACAAACATCCGATCTCCATTGAGTATGATAAGTATAAACTGGACCAGTTCCCAATAAAGGTAAGATAATTTTCAAATTGATTGTAACAATTAGCGCAGGCCAAAAACTGGTGGAAAAATTGAGAAAATTCAAAAAGTAACAATTTAGATAATCATAATCAACCTGATCATCTACATGTAATTACATGATGAGTTTCTTGATGAAAATCCAAACGTATGTGGTTATCGGTGTGTCCACTTCAACAATTGACCAAACATGAGTACCAGCAGCAGTAGCACTGAATTAATTGTAGATTGTTTTTAATTGTTAGTTAATCATTTCTAATTTCTATTAATTGGTGACAACAATTAACTCACCCAAGGTAAATTAATCCACCATAAAGCCAATCACTATTAAATGGTTGATAAGTCCATTGAGAAATGAACTCTCTTAAAGTTGATAGACTTTCTAATTACAATTAATCAATTGATTAACTAAAAATATCTCAAACAATTAAATGTTCAAATCACTCACCTGTAGTGTAAAGTAAATTAGATATACAAATCAAAGCAAATGAATGAACCATTTGAAATATAATTGAAATTAATATTCTAAAATAGTCAATTAAACTGATTCTATTGTTAATTTGATTGTTAATAAGATTACGATTAGTTGATTGAATAGTGAAATGTTTCAACCATTTGAAACGATTTACTTTATCAAAGAAATTAAAATGGTCCAAAATCGTTGTAACGACAACGATCAAAACGATTCCAGATAGGAAGAGACTAATGAGACAGAAATTAATCGATTAATAAACAAGTTTCATTGGAACAATTAAGAGAAAACAATTAACTAACAATGATCCGAATTGAGAAGAGTTTGATTTACTCAATCGCTCCAAGAAAGTAGAGGGAACTTGACAGCCATGGAAATAAACTTTCTGCCAATCATATGATTTAATTGCTGGAAGAAAACAAACAATCAACAGGTTAGTTCGGTTAATTGTTGGTTAATCAATTGAACTTTTACCTGAAGTTATGAGATAATCAACTTGATCAGGTGTACAAATGCTCGGCAAGCAAAATCCAATGTGAATTGTTGTATTGTAACGAAGGGAAAACCAATGTGGATATAAATTGTTGTCCATTGGGATTACGGAGGCTTGACAATAATGAGTTGATTGTAGTGATAAACACTGATCATATCCCTCTAAATCAGCGTATGAAATTTCAAACATTTTATTTGGAAGGTGACTTGATAAGCTGAGCACTTTGATTTAGTTTAAATTGTCGAGAAAATTGATTCAGAAATAACGAGAAAAAATTAATGGACATCGGTTAATTGCTGGAAGTAAGTTTGATCTAATTGTTGTTGATGTTAACTGTTGATCAGTTGATTACTTACATTTCAGAGCTTCCGGATTATCTGATTCAATTAAATCACTGATATGTTTTAATTTAGATAAACATTTAGGTGTTAAATTGTTTAATTCTGTTCTGTTTGATTGAATGTAATTCCAAAATATACCAGAGAATCCGAGTTTAATTAAGGTTGATTGATTGGGCTTAGTCAACAATTTACTTTGAGAAACTTTACAATTTATTGAGTTTGTTAATCCTAAGATAATTAACAAGATGGACAATTGATTTATCACAATCAAGGGAAAAGAAGACATTTTTTTTGGGATTAAATTGAAAGTTTTATGATGAAACTAAATCATAGAATTGGAAATTTAAGTTGATGGTTTTGGATTGGAAAGTTAATCACAATTAGGAAGTAAATTAAGAGATGAATTAATTAACACTGAAAGAAAATGAGTTGATGGGTAAGATGAGAAATTGAATTAATTATGATTGTGATCGAGTGAGTTTCCAAGTTCAGATGGGAGGAGATAAATCCATAGGAATTAACTAATCGATCAAAGGACATCCAGTCAATAATTAAGAAAGAAATTAAAAATCTAATTAGTGAAACAATTAACGAAAACAAACAAAATTCTCAACCGATATGAATTAGTCAATTGAATTATTATAATTATGACCTTTCCAATATCAATTGATACACAAATTACATCAATAAATTAACAGTGGTAATAATTATCGATCAACGTAGTTAATCAACAATTAGAAATCAAGTTTCTTCAACTGGCTTTCCCCGAGTTAAAATTAAACATTAACAATTATGTTTTCGAGTTGTAATCAACAGTAACAATTAATTACAAAGGGAAATTTATTTCAAATGATTTACAAACTTTGATTGTTTCTATTAAGAATAAGCAACACAATCAATTCTTAATTGTAATTAACTTGAAGCCAATTGCTTTTTCAAGCTAATCCTTAACAGTTAACCTGTTGATTCTGGATTAACAAACTGTAATCAATTTGATTTTGATCAAGGTCAAAATTGCGATTAAAATATTTTCATTTAAATTAAAAAGCCCGAGAGCTAATTAAATAATGAAATGAAAAAAATTAACTAATCAAATCGTATTGAAAACAAACAATTAAGCTAAATGGTTTGTTAACTTTTCATTAACACCAAACAAATCAAATTAATTTTGTTTGCTAATCACTAATCACAAATCAGTAAATTTAAATAATCTCAATAATAAGACAATTAATTTTTTAATTCTTTAATCAGTAAACTTTTCAGTTCCAATGAAAACAAAATAATCACTTCAAGTTGAATCATAAATTGCACAATCAATGAATTAATTAATATTTAACCTTCAAAAGTGTAAATCCTTCAACGAGACAAATTAACTTGACTAATTAAGTAAATTTAAGATCAATCAAATATAACTTTTCGTTGATATTTCAATTAGTAATATTTTCACTCCAAGTTGATGAATTAGTTTTCAATCAAGTGATTGATGAAAATCTATTCAATGATAATCTAAATTAATTGTCTACCCAAGGAATAAAATTAAGATGAAAAGTATTCACAATTGGACTTGAGAAAGTGATGAGGAAGAAGATGAAGATCGAGAAAAAGAACTTTGAGAAAGAATTTGAATTACGCGCGTTTCGTTTTCTCTGCATTTGGTTAGGTGGCGAGAGAGTTTTTGTTTACTCATGTGGTTGAAGTTCAAACGTGTTGATAATTTAAAGAAAACGTGTTGAGTTAATTTAATTTAATTGTTTGGTTAATTGTGTTTTTTGTTTCTTCCAAAATGGATTCTTATGTTGATCGATCTGCAATTGATGAGGTGGTCAAAGTATTCAAAAGATATGCTGAAATTTCCATTGAGAAATCATGTGCATCAGTAGATCAAGTTGATGGTAAAAAGAAAAAAAAAGTTAATTTACTTTCTGTTGGTGAAAAAGAGGATAAAGCAATGGCCTTAGCTGGATTTGGAAAAAATGATAAAATGTATCTCCAGTTGAGCTTCAAATTACCACCAGCAAATAGGACAACTTATATTAACAATTATCGTCCTCTTCCTCATCCATACCTTAATTTAATTGATCCAACAATTTGTATGATTGTAATTGATCGTAACCATGAAGGTTTACCCGATCGGGATTATGATCTTCGGATTACCAAGGAATATTATCAAAAAAGATTAATCGAAGCTGGTGTTTCAGAGGATTTGATTAAACATAGACTCTTCATCTTACCAATGAGAGAATTACTAACCGAGTATCGGTTACCGACAATGAAACGTCGACTTGCCTCATCATTTGATGTATTTATGGCCGATTCTCGGTTAGTCTCAAATAGATTTAAATTGTTACCCAAATTTTTGGGACACAAATTTTGGATTGAGAAGAAAAGTTTTCCAATTGGTATCAGTTTGAAATACAAAGGAAAACACTTAAAAAACTCATTCGATAAAGCGCTTGGAACTTGTTCTCTTTATATAACTGGACATGGACCCGATTCAAGTGTAGCATTTGGACTTTTCAGACAATCGGAAAAAGAGCTAGCCGACAATTTAGAATTTGTCTGTAAATCAGTTTATAAAACTTTCGGTAAAGCAATCCAATTATTGAAGATCAAATCAACAAAATCATTGGCGATACCATTTTATGCTGATCTAAATCGACCCTTCGAAGAAGTGAAACATCTAATTCCACGAACGGTTCGACTTAATGCCAATCCAGTTATAGACGAACATCCATTCTACGACAATGCTGAATTGATTGTTTATCCGACGGGTAAAACTGCGTTAAAACGGCCACGCAATTGGACTCCAGAGAGTGATGAGGAAGAAGATGAAGAGTTTTATCGAAATCGGCATGATGACAAAGACGAAGTTCCTGTTACCAAACGTGTCAAGAGACAATTAAAACAAAAAAGTAATGAAATTGAAATGAGTAAAGAAGAAATTAAATGAAAACATCCTCATCCTTTTTTTTGCTATTCTATTAATCACATTTTCAGGTGAACAGTAAAACATTTGATTTTTTCAGATCATTAATTGAGCAATTGAATCAAATTTTCTTGATTAAAATACTATCGAAAAGTATCTCTGATTGATTATAACCTTGAGATTTTCATGAAAAACAATCAATGGAGTTGATTGTTTATCCAAACTTAATTTTCCATCAACCACCCATGTCGAGTTTGAATCAACTGTGAATGGGAACAATTAATTATCCCCGGATCGTATTGATTAGTTTTGAAATGATTTTTGTTTACATCAAATCAAAAGAAAAATGTTTCAATATTAATAAGCTAAGGGGAAGAAAATAAACTTTGATAATTTAAATTTTTACAACAATTAAAATGCCAATAATATATAAATAATAATACAAAGCATAAAAATTACAATATTATTAATTTAGTTGATTGTAGATATGTTGTTTTTTTCATCGGATTAGATTGATTGCTGATGTTTAAGGCTTAAAATGGGTTACGTGATATCGCAGACAATTTTTGTGATAACAATTAGATTTCAAGCACTACATGTAAATCACTAGATTTGTTTTGTTTTGTTTTGTTTTGTACAATTAAATGTAACACAATTGTCATGATTATGTTTTTGTTTGTTGAACAATTAAAATGTCAGTGAATTTAAGTAGATGACAAGAAATGAATATAAAATGAATGAGAATAAGCTGATGTCATTACAATTAACGTTGATCAAGGTAATCGTAGTTAATTAAAATTGTTCTTTTGGCAAGAATATAATCATTATAATCAACAAAATCAGCCATGATTATGTTTGGTTTAAAATTGGTCTTTTTAACTTCCAATAGCCATTCTTCAATTTTCTGGTTCCCAGTTTTGGAGAGTCGAGAGTAAAGGTTATTACAAATGTTTCGAACTACCAAAGCTTTGGACGGAGACAAAATGGCCTGATGAACAAAGAAAGTGTCAGACGGACGATTAGAAAGGCCATTCCATAAATAGGGGATCAACTTTGAAGGTAAAGCTGTATTAGCCCAAGGATTTGGTAACATGGTACTAGGCCAAAGTTCATTGTATCGGGCAGAAAGGTCATCATTACGATAGACGATTATTATTTGATATCTTTTGGCCCACATTTCGGCTAGAGTTAATTCATCGAGTCGTCGATATTTAACATAAGGACATATCTTATTGCCGAGTAATTGAATGAGATTGTTAATCAAGGTAACATGTTGAGCTTGTGATACCGAATGGAAATGTTGAAAATCAAGGAAAACAATTTCCCGCTCATTAGAATGGAGAAAATCTCTTATTGATCTTAACATGGTAAGTATTTTATCTCCATATAAACCATGGACAAAATATAGCTCATTGTCAAAAGGGTCAGAGGCCGTTCGAAGGTCAAAATAACGAATTCCATGGTTAAGTTGCTCTTTGATGTCAACTCGTTGGGTTTTAAACCATTTTTTAATCACAAAGCGACCAGTTAATTTAGGAAATAAATGAATTGCAGTAAAAGGTCCATCCCAAGATCTATCTGGTGCCAAACCTCGCCCATGAGACAATGAATAGGAACCAGAATCATGAGAGCCTAAAGAGAGAAAGAAAAATACAACAATTAGTTTATTGTTCTGACAGTTATTCCAACTCTAAATGAATCATTCAGCTAATGTTAGCATATTTTTTGTAGCTTTGAATCATGAAAGGACAATCTTATATTAGTTTGTATTGCAATCAAGATAAAAGTCAAGCAAAAACTTGCATATTTCAATCATTTCAGGGTTTTAATTAATTGATCGTATTCATGATAAAACTGCTAATCTGCTTATGGTTAAATAATAATCAAGAATCTGACTCGTAAGTGATTAACATGGAGAAAGGGTCGTAATAATTGACGAAGGCTATTGTATTTTTCCTTAAATTAACCTTTCTCAGGGTAATCAGATTAAAGGATTGACAGAGTGATTGTTCATGATAAACAACATGATACAATTTGTGAACAGATGAGTTTGCTTTTTACAACAATTAGTGATAAAGACAGAGAGAGAGAGAGAGAAAGGCTTTTAATTGACATTCATCAAGCAATTAACTAATTCATAACTTGTTGACAGAAACATAGTTAATTTGGTTATTGAGTAATTCAGCTAATCAAATACAAATTATACAGTTTAAGATACAAATAACCTTCATTATTATTAAACAATTAACTTGATTGTATTATAAGATTGAAATCACGAAACGAGAAGAAAAAATAAATTTCCAAAACAATCAAACCTTGGCCCAAATTGAATCTCAATAGAATTGAGAATAGGAAGCAAGTTTCAAGTGGATGAGGCTCTAACTTTGGACTTAAATTAAATCTTTTACATTGAAAGAATCCGAAAGAATAATTTTCTTAATGATATATTTAAACAAGATAATTAATTAGAAGCCAAGAAGCACAATCAACATGTTTTCCTTAATCAACACAGTGTAAGAGGTTATAGATCAATAGCTGATAGAACAAGTGAAATCATCGATCATTGGAATATGAAAGATTTAATTTAGTTGATTGATTAAACAAATAGATCAAGAGAGTTTCAATGTAAATGGAAAACTAATGAAAAGTGATTATTTGCAGAAAAAAAGAGCAAAATTGAAAGAAAAGGACACCAAAGAGAATAGAACAAAAAAGAAAAGAGAATAGAACAAAAAAACAGAAACAAAGAGAAAGAGAAAAAAAGAAAGGGTAGAAAAAGAACTAATGGAAGCAAGGATTTGTTCTATTTTATTGTTACTAAACTAGAGTTTTAATATACTACCATAAAGCTAATTCTCTGACAATTAATGGTTTAGAATAATTAATTTGAAAGGTAGCCAAAAGGTAATGTCACAAAGAGAAATGAAGAAAGAAAAAAAAATCTTATAGAAAATGTCTCATGTTCCCAAAGACACAAAAAGGAATCATAGTTGACTGGTAAACAGACTAAAGGGAATTGATGACTTAAGTCATTTGGAGAGAAGAAAAGAAAACGAGTATAAATACATAGAATATATTAAACATGGTAAATAACATGAGAAAGGAAATCAGGTAATGTAATATAATCAATAAATGTCAAGGGATGGGGATGATAATGATGATGATGAAAGAACAGAGAAAATAAAAAGATGACAAAACTTACCTGGGATTGAAATTAAATTGAGTGGAGTGTGTTGTAGTTTATTGGGTAAACGACTCATCCATTTATCTAATTCCAAGTAATTAGCTGGATCAGCGACGACCATTGTTGATTAAATGAACAATTAACAAGATAAACTACTCCAAATAAAGCGAATTAATTGTTGAGAAAACCAAATTAAAACTAAACTACAATTAAACCTCAACATCGGTTGAGTTTTGTTCATTTCTCATTCTAATAGTCAAACTCACCTGGCGCCCTCTTAGAACAATAATACAACTAAAATATTCTTTTTTTTTCTTAATCGAGTTTAATTTAGTTCAATTAAAGTTGATTAGTGGTTTTGTTTTTTCTTGTTCTATGATTTTCTGAACTATTAGGATTAAGGTGGATAAGATCAGTTTTGATTTTTTGATTAACATTTTTGGCTTTGAAAACTATTGATTGATTTTTTTTTACAATTTGTTTTTTTTTGTTTCGTTGGTGATTAGATAATTTTAACGATTAATTGTTATTTGGAGGGTAGTTTGTTTTTACATGTGATGGGGCTGATTGAAGAATTAATTGTTGGCAGGTTAATTGATGAATTTAATTGTGTGTTCTAAAAATTCTGAAGCTTTTTCCACGTGCAGGTAATGAGTTCCATCTTTGATGCAATGAGTTTTGAGGTTTGGAAAATGTTGATTTAATTTGACAATTTGATTATCATCAACATATTCGGATTTACCTCCATAGATTAATAAAGTTGGTCCATTGTAAACTCCTTGTGTTGACATTGTATCAATTAATCCAGATTTTAGTGATGCTTCAAGAGCATTTAAATTACATTGCCAGGTAACTTGACCAGATTCATTTTCAATCAGATTTAGAAGGAGAAAACCTCTAATAAATGGATCCTAATTAAGAAGAAGAAAAAAAAATAACAAATGAATAAGTTACTAAACAATTTAAATCATGTATTACTTACAATTACAATATTCTTGAGTCTATGGTCAACGATTTTCCTAACTTCGGTTCGACTAGAATTTATTGGAAGATCTTTAATTGAGCTCATCATTGCGCTGGTTATTTGGATATGATCATGAGATTGTTGTCCAGGTCTCAACATACCAACATCGACGATAATTAATTTTTCAACCTTTTCAGGAAAATTGAGAGCAAAATGAATGAAAGCCCTTCCACCCAAACTGTGACCAATCAATGTAGCTTCATTTATTTTCTTATTTGACATCATTTCCAATGCATCAGAAACAATAGCAGGATAACTCATCTCATCTGAATGTCCACTGGAACCATGATTACGAACATCCATTGGAATAACTAATCTTCTTGTTCTCTCACTAATCGCTTTAGATAAACTTCGCCAATTATGTCGACTACCAAAAAGTCCATGATATATAAGAATAGGATTTTTAGTTCCATCTAAAACTCTAGGTTCATATTTAGAAACACCAAGTTTCACCGGTTTAGGAAGAACACAATCACCATCATTTTTAACCAAATCTTCTCCATCACCATTAGTATTAGTAGAAAATGAACAACGTGAAAAAAGATAACCACAAATACCTAAAGGTAAACAATTAAAACGATTAACCGAGTAACCGATAACCAACGACGATGATGGAGAAAAAACAACACCCTGACGAAGACATTTCCTCAAAGCGAAGGATAAAACCATCATTAACAATTAATAAAAAGAATTAAGAAAAAACAGAAAACAAAATTTCTCCGAAAATTAAAAATCAAAACAATCAAAAAAAAACGAAGAAAAAAATTCCAATCATATGCTCACCTAGAAAAAGAAAAACTCACCAGATGGAGTAAGCGTATCGAAGAAAAAGAGAGAGAAAGAGAAAGAGAGAGAGATAAGGGATCGAGATCCGTAAAAGAGAGTATCAGATATTCTGGTGTTTGTCAGATTATCTCCTGAATGAGTTTCAGGTAACAAGAGAGTGAAAGAAACGAAAAAAAAGAGAAACATATTCAAAATGGTAAAGAGATCCTCTCTTAGAGAGGAGAAGACAGAATTGATGATGGAGCTTCGAATGACCAATCCACAGACTGGACTAATGTCGGGAACCACAACAACCACAACCACAACCACAACAACAACAACAACAACAACAAATATAACCAGTAACAACTCCAACACTAATGGTAGACCTGATTATGGTAAATCATCACCTACAACAGTAATTAAGTGTCAAACAACAACAACAACATCTAATAGTGAAGGTATTGGTGTTAAAGGTGATTTTGGTGATGGTGATTACGGAGATGGTGATATTGGCAATGTTGGTGTCGGTGGAGGAGGAGGTGGAGGTGTTGGTGGTGTTGGTGGTGATAATGCAACAACCTCATCTTTATTATTACAACGTGAAGCTGATCTGTCAATCGATCAAAGTGGACTTCAACGTTATCTACCCCATTGTGTTCAATTTGCATTCGCTGATAAAGGTGCTGAAGGATTGTACCGAGAATATTATGCCAACGAGAAGAGAACTGATTTTACCACCTTACTTTCAATTACTTTAATTGTTAATATATTAATTTTCACCCTTTATTCTCTCTCATATACACCAGCCAAATTACCACAGTTAATTGTTCTATTATCAACCCTGGTAATAACTTGCCTAATCTATTTATGGACATGTAAATGGGGAATACAAAGTAAACCCAATACAACAATTAACTATTATTCAACATCATCATCATCATATTGTTCATCAGTAACAACCAAACCAGATCATCAACATCATCACCATCATTCTCATCGTAATTCTCATAATAATAAGCAAAATTATCGTCGTTCACACCATAATCGTCATCATAATAACACTTCAACATCAGGTTCACCCTCATCTAGATCATCTTCATCTTCCTCATCAATATCAACCTCTTCCCATTCATTGTCCAAAAAATATTATCACCATGAAAATGATGGAGGCGGAAAAGGTGACGCTGGTCAGCAACTCATGTGGACATTAGTACCATTTATAGTTTGGCTTATTTTCATAGCTCATATTTTCTGTGATGTTACCCTTTTCTCCCAACCAAGGGAGCCAAGTGATTCTCTTGCATTTCTCCTTCTTTACACCTTCTCAATCTATGTAATTTATCCTCTTCGATTGACAATTGTATGTATTCTTTCAATAGCAATGGCAACTTTACATACAATTCCACTTTTAATATCATCATTTTCATCATCATCAACAACAACAACAACATCATCTTCTAATACGGATAACTTATTATACTACCAGGTAAGTTTAGAACTATTAATATTTTTGTTTTTCTCTTTAAATCTTTTTCCTTGCAATCCCTTTCATCATCTTGTTCACATTTTTTTTCTATTCAACCCTTAAAAGATTATTAAGAAAGAGAAATGAAGATAAGAAGATGAATATTGATGATACAGATAAATTCATATTCTATTCGGTGATAAAAGATGAAGAATAAGAGAGAAGAAAAGTCAAGAATCTTCATGAGAGTAGAAAAAGACAAGTAAATGAAGAAAAAAAAAATTCTTCTCATCTTTTTTTTCTCTCTTCTATTCTCTTCTCTTGATTCTTTCACATTAGACAATATTGATTTTCACCTCACATATATATTACATTTAAGAGCATTATCATGATGATGATGATCATCATCATCACCATAACTATTATTTCAACGATGAAAATATTTTCTTCAGGTTAACCTGGTTACAGAAAATATATAATCACGAATGATTGTAACTCTCACACTCACTTATATCTATCTTGGTTATCATCTTATCTCATGTTTACCATAGAAAAATCCAATGTATCCAAGGAAAATTGAAAGAAAATTGTTCAAAACTATTCTCTTTTACTAGTAAATTAGTGAAAACAATTTACTTTCCAATTAATTATAATCAACAAACAACAATTATCACAAAGTACTAATAATATCAACAAATAACAACTCCTTTTATCACTTGTTAGTAGTCACCGTAATTGTAGTAATCATAATAATAATAATCATGTAAAGTTAAGTAGGAAAGACAAGCTTAACTTGATTAACTTGTAATGAGGTTAATCCAATATTTATTCATGGTACACATGAAGATGATTATGATGATGATGATGATGATGATGGCGAAACATAATCAAGACGCAATTCATGTAACTTATCAGTAAAACTAATATAAAAGTAGAAGGAAAAAAATTTTGTAGAGTAAAAATCATCTTGAATGATTAAGCTTTCAGTAAATTGTATTATAACAGACAAATTGTTAAAATTAACTAACAAACAAATTACAATTACATTAATCATCTTACAACAATCAACACCAACTAGTTGAATATTTCTAAACTTATAACAATGATTATCAAGCGAAAATTATTCAAATTAATCTTCTGTGTTTCTATTCATTATAATTTCCCATTAATTTCCCTTATTAGAACCATCATCTTAATCTTACTCTATCATCTCTGTTGATTGACATGATTAGATTTCGGTGAATTTTGTCAATTTTCATGAGAATGAAAACTTTTCTCTCTCTCTCTCTCTCTCTCTCTCTCACCCTGAACTTATTAATCTGATATTCACTGTCTCCCCCTTCACCTTATTCATATGAACGATTAATTTTCTTGATGATGATGAAAATCATTCGTGTTGAAATGAGTTCAACAGTAAACTCTGTTCATAGACTTTCAATCATCATCATCATCATCATTCTTGTTGATTCATTTTCCCTCATTGAAAAATGATGATGAAAAAAAAAATTACAAAATTTCATGATAGACTAGCCACTCACCCACCCCCTTCGACCCATTAAAGGTCAGTTGATTCTGTCCAGTCAAAAATGGACATTCCAGTTATTATTATTTCCATCATCATCATGTAGCCATTTTTATCATCTCATATTTTTTTCATTCTGCTCTCAAGGAAATATATAATTTCTAGTTGAAGAGTTACCTTTTTTTCAACTAAATTCATTGAACTAGAAATGATTATCATGATAATTATGATAAGGATAAAGAAATGATGTGAAAAGAATATTAAAATTATCATGAGAAAAACTAATTCCATATGAATTATCTTTCTAATGGATGATAAATTTTCTTCTCATTATCATCATCATTATATTTTTTTTCTTTCTACTGATAATTCAACGAGAATGATTATATTTCAATCAGCTATTAATAGTTTCCTAAATTGTCAACCATGCAAACTAAATATCGTTGATTGTTGATCATTTGTTACATCTTATGAATACCTTTTTTTATCCGCATCACTTTTTGAATTGTATTTACTTTCGCCCCCTTTTCCTCTGATTTCTTGAACTTTTCATGATATTATCTCTCATGTATCTATCTGCCTTTGACTTTTTCCTTATCGACTTTGACAATTGCTTATCAAGGTACATAATACATGGTATATATTCATGTTGAACAGAAAATGATATCATCATTATTGAGTATATTTCCTTTTGTTCATTCTCAACTATTCTTGGAGAAAGAAAATCTCTCTCTCTCTCTCTCTCTCTCTCTCTCTTGATTCATGATATTCAGATCCTATTCAGAATGATGAGTAGGCTCTTTGATATTACAATTTCAAGTTTTCTCTGTGATATAAACTCTAGAAGCAGCTTAACCTTGTCAAGTATTAATATGCAATATTATTGATTCTTAGTGAGAAAGAAAGAGAAAACCATGATGATGATGATAATGAATTCTGAGTGTGATTCTCAAGTGTGATTTCTGAATTCTCTCTTTTCCTCTTTCAGCTACATGGTGACAGAACTTTTTTCCCAAACATCTCAGTTGTTCCTTTCTAATACTTTCACAACTTTGATTATTATTAATTTGTTTTCCTTGTCCATTAGTGTCCATCTTATCATTATCATTATTATATGTTTGTCTAATGTTATTACAACATCTAGACTATATGATTTGTTAAATATCCACTTGATTAACTTTACCATAATTTGCTAATCAACATTAAAACTTTCGTTACTTTCATTAACTTATAATGTAGATGGGAATTCATCTCCTCATCTATTATATAAGAAACATATCTAATTTTTATCTTTCACTCTCTCTCATTCTCTCTCGCTTTGACATTTTCACCGAAATTCAGTCATTGAATATACAAGAAATCACATATAATATGTATATCTAGATTGACCTTATCCATTGAAAAGGTAAACTCCAATTCACCTCCATCAGTCAATTGGATTTTCTTTCAAGGACTTGAGTTTTTCATGGGTTTATGGTGATAGAGAGCAAGAGTGAGTGAATTATGTTGATAACATGGATATTTAATGTTATATAACAAAAAAGAATCCAGAATATATATCATGAATGCTCATGTAAAGTTAATATCATTTATGTAAGATATAATAATAACCCTAACTAACATTTGATCATGAAAACTCAAACAAAATTAACTCTAATTCCCATTTCCCTGGTTTCATCTTCATATATTATTACACATTATCCAACATGATCAACAACAAAAACAACCAATACAATTACATATATTAACTTGATCACTTGTGAAAACATTAACAGTTAATATTGTTTTTATCATTAACCATCATCAATATCATTTAACTTTCTCACAATTAGATGTGTTTGTATATAATAATTCAAATGATTTATTAGTTGATTTTCAATATTATCAAAAACTTATTCAACTCCCTTGATAATCGTGTGACTAAATATAATAATAATAATGACAATAATTTTAATGATATTCAACTTAAGTATTGGTATATAATATATGTGATTTTATTTTGATCTTGACCAGAAATAATTCTGAAAATTTATTCATATAATATCGTATACATATCTCTTGTTAGTATCATGAAGATGAGAATGATAATGAATCTCTCTCTCTTTCTGACATATACCATGAGAGATAAACAAAAATGTAATATTTATATGATATGTTAATCTGCATATGTGAAATAATTGTGGATTGGTATTAATACCTAATTGTCATTTATTATCACGTTAGATTTCATATTGTACTTTTTTTCCTCAGAACTTTTTTTTCTCTCTCAACCATATTATTTATATATACGTTTTATTGCGATAAAAATATTTCCCTTGCTCTCATTTCATCTTCATCTTCATCATAATTCATTTAGTTTTTCGGTGTGAATTCATCATCATCATTTTTATCTTCATTCTCCCTCGATATTTGTTTCTCTCTCTCTCTCTCTCTCTCTCTCTCTCTCTCTCTCTCTCTCTCTCTCTCTATTACTTTAATGTGAAATATCAAAGCTCAACGTGATATTTTCTTGTAACTACATTTGCCATTTATTTCAATGTTTCCGTATTTTAATGATGATAATATGAAATGATGAGGATGCGAGTAAGATTTGAATATGTTTAAGTGAGTTGAAAAAATTGACTAAAATGATAATATAACAAATTAGATTTGAATCAAGTTGAAGTGATCAACTAAACTAAACTTGATAATGATTAACTTTAGTCATACAATTGCAATGATAATAAACTATGCCAAGGTTGATTAAATTAAGTTTTAGGTTAGTTTGAAAATCACACTAATAGTTGTTTGTTTGTGTCTTGTTGTTATTTTATCTAATTTCTTGTCAGTGAAAGTATAACGGTAAAAATGAAATCAACTTGGTGTATCACTTTGATGAATATTTTATACTTATATTTTTAGATGGTGAAAATATAATCTAAAGTAAATTGTAACTGATATAACAAAACTTGAATCTGGTATCACTTTCATGATTATATGTCTTGATTTCATTGAGTATCTTGATAATAATAATGATAATGATGATGATTCAATTTCATGGGCCAAGGACATTGAAGTGTTTCGTTGTCTTTGTGTTATATTTATCTACACATGATACACTGAATTCACATTTCAATTTCAATCATTTGCCAATTTGGGCTGATTCCATGATGATGATGATGATATCTCATTCCATTCATTTGTAAATTTGCAAATCAAGCAGAATCATCATGATAATGTTTATTGTTGTTTTCTTTTGGCGGGAGATGATTTTTCTTCATCCAAAAAGCTGATTCAGACAATTGAACATTTTGAAATCTATGATTTATATATATAAATATTGTCTCCTATTGTTGATGAAACTGTTAATTGTTTACACTGATTATTAGCATCTTGGATGATTTAATTTCACTTGATGACAATTGTCATCTATTGAACTTTTTTCTTCAATCAAATTGACAATCTCAATAGTAAAATGAAATGAAATGATCACTTTAATGATTACCTACTATTAAAATTA